TCACTTGAAGCTGTAGAATACAGATCTCCTTTTTGGATATCATTTTGAGCAGATATTTTGAATTGCATTTAAGGGTTAGAAATGTATACCGTTCACACACTATACCAAGCGGCTTACTATTCTTTTCATTTCTAATTGTTTTCATGTCCATTATTTTTCTACGTAGGCCGATACAACTGGAGAATCCCCCCGTGAAAATATCTGGTAGGTAAACGAGGGAAATATGCTTTTAAAGCACGGTCAGTTATCAGTATATATATACAACTGTTTGGTCTACATTTTCGAGTGTTAATTTAATGCAGCCAACGTAAACACCTGGTGCTTTTTTTTAGGAAATGAAGCAACTGAAATATTTTGACTTGTGTCATTTCTTATTACCAAATAATGACTAGTAACACTGAAATGGAGGATTCAGTTTTCTCTGGTGTCTGTATACCTTTCGCTATGTCTTTGACGGACTTTTAACTCTGTATAAAGTTATTAGAGGGCTTTTCCTGTGAACCCGTGTTCTTTATTCACCGTCGCAGGTGCAGTAGCAGTTGCTGCGCCAAATTTACCTCAGTGCCTCCCTGACGTAAAGCTACCGCTCAGTCAAGGCTACTGGCGGGAGGATAAGTGGCAGTCGCTGCTCTGCCAAATCACTGACTGGACAGAGAAAGCAAAGCTGACGTCTTGCTTACAAAACAGGACAATTTTACTGTTTGGGGATTCAACGACTCGTCAGTGGTTCGTCCACATTCTAGAGCTGATGGATAGGAAGTTCGTTGCCCGAAAGGGTGAACCAGGGTTCTTCTGGCGACGGTATTACGAAGACATCGACATGTCCATCACGATATCGTTTCCAAAAGAACTGGTCGGCAGTGCGACCGTGATACTGGACACCGTGTATTACGAACACGACTTGATAGACAAGCTGAACAACACGAGATGCAACTACGTGATCATGGTCAGCCCCTGGGCTCATTTCAGCCAGTGGACACGGGAAAGCTACACAGAGAGGACCGAGAAACTGCGAGAGGCTCTGATCCGATTCCGGAGGCGCTGCCCGGACGCCAAAATCGTCCTGAAAGGGCCCCATGCCCGAGACCACAATAACTTCGACGCCCAGATCTACTCCAGCGACGTGATACTGTGGGGGATAGGAGAGATAAACCAGCGCTTGCTCAGCGGCATCGGGGTTTGGTTCCTACCAATCTGGGACATGAACTTGGCTTTTCCGGTCCGAAAAACTATCCACATGCCGGTAACAGTCATCCACGAAGAAGTGAAGATGTTTATGAGTTACGTGTGCGGGGACAGTAAGATGCCCGCCTTGAAGGTTTAAGATGTTTAAGTCTACTCGACATTAGGGTACATGTAATAACGAGATTACTAACAGCACATAAAACATGCACGTATACATTAAGTGGTTTTAATGTCCTACATTTTCTGTGAGATGTTGAAAGTTTATGAAACTCCTTCCCAGGCTAACACGAGAGACATGCTGGCATAAGTTCTCAATTTAAAAAAAGGGAACATGTATGTATAAAGACAGCACCTTGGAAAATAAAGGTGTCAAGCCAGAGGACCAGGAATGACCACTACAACGAACGGTTTATTGGCTGCCATCATGTCCATTTGTAACGAAATTAGTCAGTATTTCTCAAGAATACAATTTAAAACTCTAGCAACACGTCTTAGATCATAGTTCCAAGATTCCAGCATTCCGGCCGTCACCGTTTTACGAAGAGCCACACATGTCAAAAATTACTATTTTTTTCGATTTCGATTTTTTCACTATTTTGCTTTAAAACATTATACTTAACCATTTTTTGCGTGAGCAAAACATCATTAATTTTCAAATTACATTAATGATGCAAGTGGCAGGCATCTAGATAATTGCAAGAGACGCGAACATGCCTGCCCCTTGAACGCGTACAAAACGTATAGCACGGAAAGGCGTAAAATTAGGTCAACTGAGAGTTTTGTTTTCACGAAGGGATACGCATCTTTACAGTTTCAGCTGCGCTGGCACTTCACCGTGCACGGACCGCGAAGTTGACCGGCCGCACTCCGCGAAAACTCACGATGCGCTATATCCAGTAGCGTAACTAGTGGGGGGGGGGGGGGGGGGGGGGGGGGGGAGGGGGGGGGAGGGGGCACGTAGCCCCCCCCCCCCAGCGGACATCCGTGCCCCACCCCGGGTTCCCCCCCCCCCCATTTGAAATATTGAAATATTGAAATGAACAAGAAATTATACACCGCGCTGTCGAAATGAGCGCTTGGACTGGTGCTCATGTATCTAAAGGCAATTAATGTATTAACCTATGTTATTACGTACGCGTACGTCAATGTATTTACACTTTTGTCATGCCAAAACTGTTGGGCAAACTACGTCCGCAATGATTACGCATGGTTGTATAATGTCGAGTGCATGCTCTGTGAATTTCACGAACACATCGAGTTCGCCGTTAGTATAGTAGTAGTTGATCTGTTGTAAATTTTGAAACTAGTGTATGCCCATACTACTGAGCGGGTATTCGCAAGAAAATTCTTCCCCGTGAGTATGTTTTTCATAAGAGTGTGACGAAAATGCCCCCCCGTCATTTTCTTTAGACTCACCTGATGTCTAGATTATCCTTAAATTTACTTCCATCCATGACTTGTGTGTAATAGATGAGCACCAGTCCAATTTGTGATTGTTTTAAGTGACTTATTTTATCGCTATTCCGCCACGATGTCAGCTGTTCTAGCTCATGCAGTACTCCAGCGCACATTTGTTTGTGTGTGCTAAAACAAGGGTTTGTTTAAATTCAAGATGGCCGCCTCCTAGACCTCTAAAACTATTTCGGATTGGCCTGTAGTTTGAAAAGATTATTTCTAAATTTAGTCTTTAAAACTCTGACAGGAATAACACACTAGAAAGTTGCCTTGATATCACTTTTATCTAGTTCAATCCTTTAAGTAAGTTTTTGGAAGCTTATTTATGAATAAAGAATTATTTACAGAATTTCTTGTACTTTTCGTCTGCTAGGAAATTTTATGAATGTTTATGAGATGACGTTACTGTATTTTCTGAATGGGATTAGGTTTGTTTACGCTCAGTTATAACTTTATTCTTGGGTTTTCTCGATGTAGGCCTATTCATTACAAGTCATTTCTTAGCTCATTCTTATGTTCAACTAAAAATGTAGGAATCGAAGATTATTGTATATTTTGATTGATGAATTTACGACATAAATAATTGATTTCTGAGATGATTGAAAACTTTGTTGTGCATAGTAATTTTCGCCAGTTTACAAGTCGTGGGCGTGGCTTATTTACTACGCGTAGGCCTATGGAGTGCCGCGCGTAAGGCGCGCAATTTAATGGTATAAAAAAGGACAGATTTTTGTTGATTTGGGTTGGTTGGTTAGTTATGTAGTTGGATTGTTCGAATCTTGTACTCTGCTGTTCGCTGAGGAGGAGCTGAGGAGGAGCCTAGGGGACTGTGACAGTGCTGAGAAGCTTTTTGGGGGAAATTAGTCTGAAAACGAAGGAGGAGCCACGGAGGAGCTAAGGAGAAGCTTGAGAAACTGAGGAGGAGCTTGAGAAACTGAGGAGCTTAAGGAGCCAAGGAGGAGCTGAGGAGCTGTGACAACGCCACAACAGGGCAATGTGTTCCTCTCGACTGTCTTTTAGTCACATGGTGGCGCTATTTTCAAGATAGCCGCGGAATGTGCATAGAACTTATTGTCGTACACTTAATGCTTTATCTGGCTTCATACTAAATTAACTTCCACGAATCGATTCGGTAATTCATTCGCAAAACACTTGGGAAACCTAACTTATATTTTGCAAATTGAGTACAGATAATAAATAAATAATTATGGGCAGCAAACAAAAGCTACTTACATCATTACCTCCACCAAGGAGGTTATGTTTTCTCCGGTGTGGTTGTTTGGTTTGTCTGTGAACAGGATAACTAAAAAAGTTGTAGGCAGATTTTCATGAAATTTTGTGTGTGTAGGGGTGGTCCTCGGTACAAGTAATAGGACCCATTAGATTTTGGACATGATCCAGATGCAGGATTCTTCACCACTTTGTATGTGCAAATATGCCATAGACCATGAAACTAGGTAGGGCACCCCTCCCCACCCAAAAAAACAACAACTAATGGACCCGTCCATTTTTAGGCCATATTAAAACTGTGCACTCAGTGCAAGTGACAAGCCGTGTATGTTTAAGTCATTATGCCAGCTCTCTGGTCCCTCTAGAGACCCCGCGGATAGCGAGCCCCTGTTTTACGAACCTTATGAAAACAGTGACGCTATGGAAATCGGCACAATTCTGCTAGATGCACTAGCTTGATCATTCTGTATTCAACAAGCGAACAATACTGTACATATTACTACAGACTGTTTCTGCCCTTTGATTTCAGAACATGATTGAACATTTTAAAAGTTCCTTGTGTTGGATGTACTAACAATATGGCGGGGAATTGTTAAGCCTTGGTGGAGGTTGCGCTCTCCGGGTGCTTTCTATTTGGTAATCTCTCAAGTACCAGTATATATGGTTTCAGACAAAGCTCCTTACGGTAATACACCTTGGGTGAACATACAAGGGGTGTTGTGCTTACTTAAAAAAAAAAAATCACAAAAAATCATGGACCACGAAATTAACAGAAGAGAAATTTTGTCCAGCTGTTTAGATAACGAATTAAATCCCATCATTTTTGGACGCCTTGTAGATGTTGTCATGTCGACAATTTTTCTCTGTTTAAATGCTAACTGTCCTACGAAGATGCATACTTCAGTAATTTTATCCGGAGCTGAATGTAATTTTTAAAAAGGAGAAAACTCTGTATTTTTGTTCAAACAACCTGTTCGATTCATCGTTCCCGAGCTTGGATAACAGAGTCAGCAACTCACTTTGTGAAAACGCTTAAAAATACACTGTTCTCGATCGTGGCACGTTCTAATATGCGATAACAAACGGATATACTGATAAAAACTGTCGATCCTTTCAAACTCCGATAGGTTCTACTGACGTTTACGACAAACGTAGGACAAAAACATACTCAGTTCCTGTTTGACCACATCGTCTGGCATGTGCACCATCTTTGAGGCTGGGTAAGCCATGTTCAAGTCCCAGATGTCTAAAAACCACGCTGCCGTTCCTTGAAAAGTTTCTCGTAAGATTTTGCCCAATTGATACAGCATAAAGTTATTGTAGAATATTCGGCCTTCTAAGCCCGGCTGATCTCTAGGATGTGAGCCCTTGACAACGACTGGAGCATCGGGGCATCTGGCCCGGAATCTTAAAAGAGCCTCCCGAAGCAGAGAAACTCGTTCCAGAAACATGTCTTTAGTCCACTGGGGGTAGTGCGCCCAAGGACTAATCAAGATGACGTAGTTGCAACTCCTGTCCTTCAAGGCGTCCAGGACATCCACCTCGAAACTGAAGAGGTTGAAGGGTGTGGGTCTGGGGTTTCTTGTCAAGCACAACGGATGAAATTTAAAAATTGTGGTCAGGTTGAATTCATCAAAGTGTCGGTAGATGTTGTTCTGCTCCAGGAGGTCCTTCCTGACGAAGGGAACCCCCAGCATCCCCGAGAGGAGCTCATACCACTGACGAGACGTGGAGTCGCCTAGAAGGTACACCATCTTATTCACCAGACACCTGCCGATGTCCCTGGGCACCTTCCACTCTTTGGTTCGGCAGGCTAAGGATACCCATGTTCGAGAGTCCCGCCAGTAGCCTGCGCTGAGAGGTTTAGGCTGGTCCGGTTCGCACTCGGGTAATTGTTTCAGCAGCAGGTCTTTTCTTGAGTCTTTTGCTGTTTTGTTGAAATGAAAACAAATGAAACCGCTTATTACTTCATTTCACATCTACACACCTTAAAAAACATGGTGTTTAAGGGAAAACAATCATATTCACTTCACTCGTTCCCTTTATTATTGCTTTCCACCACTCTTTTGAGTAAATTCTTGGGGGTTGATAATGGAGCTCTCCTCCCCCTCAAAAAAAAAAAAAAACCCGAAAATTATAATATTCATATATGTTCTCAACACTGTTCTCACATGCTTTCCACTCTCTATAAACTTTCCATCATTTCTTCAAAAGTGCTGATCATAATTTTTCTAATTTCCATATTGATATACTGCAAAAATATAGCCTCATATGGGAATGTGGTCTATAAGGTTCGCGACTCATGCTCAGAGAGTCAGGGGAGCGAATCCAGCTGCTGGCCATTATGTTGTGTCCTTGGGCAAGTCACTTTACTCCGACTTGCCTATTTTCCACCCAGGAGTATAAATGGGTACCGGCATAATATGGGAGTAACCTGCGATGGACTGGCATCCCATCCCATCCAGGGGGAATAGACATATTCTCAGTCGTATCATGCCGAGGAAACCGGAGATAAACGCCGGCCTGATGAGAAGTATTCATGAAATTGGTCTTGTTGTGACAGGCTTTAATTTTTAATTTTTTTATTTCTGTATCCCTTCGGGTAACCAGTGAAGTGAGAAAAGAAAACAAAATGCCGTTCTACAGAAGGCGCTATAAAATACTTTCTTTGATACAAGAACCTCATTTTTGTCACACCATACTTACCATTCGCGATTTTGATGGTTTTCGGGCTCAGTCTACGTGAGTAGTATTCGCTATAAAATAGAATATTTTAAAACAAAGTTGTTTGAAACCAACAAATATTAACCCTCCTGCTGTCCGACTATATGGGATCCGTGCACAAGTACTCCTTTGGGTCAGAAAAGGAGAGTTGGGGAGACCTAGACTGGTTCCAATGGGTGGGGGGAAATGGGTGGGTGGGGGGTAATAAAACATTTTGGGGGGCAGTCGAAAAAATCTTTAGCCTGTGTACGCGTGCGCGTGCCCATTGTCAATGGTCCGGAAATATGCCATAGAGCAACTTAGAAGTGCAGTCATTTTTATGAATGAGAAATGCATCAAACCACAGAATGGTGTATAACCATGGGCGTCGCCAGGATTTTTTCGGGGGGGGGGGGGGCAAAGCAAATTTTCCCCCAAAATTCCTTAACTTTTTCATTATATAATCAATTTATCATTTTTCCGAGCGTGAGCAGGGAAGCATTTGCCCTAACCCCCCCCCCCCCCCCCATCAAATTAACAGCAATATGGCTCCGCACCTATTTTTCCTTTTTTTCCTTTTTTCTTTCCTTTTGTTTTCCGGGGGGGAGGGGACAAGTGCCCCCTTTCCCCCTCCCCCTCACGACGCCGATGTGTATAACAAATGTATGTACAATGACGTTGGCTGCACATTATCTTCGGCTGTATAAATGCATGTGTGGCGTGTTTTGTCTACCAAAGTACCGATTTTTCATAGGCCAAAATGTGTCTACATTTTATGAATCTTAACAGCGAAGAAATAAACACAGTCCTAATGAATCTATTTGTTGATAAAGTGTTGGGTGAAAACTAGGGGGGGGGGGCAGGGAAAAATATGGGGGAAATTCCCCCCTCCCCTTACAGCGCCGCCACTGCTGGTCAAATTCCATCAACAGACAAAATAAAGTAACTAGTTGCTTCTTATGGTACAGCTGCTTTATCAGGTCACGTATTCTAGTCACAACCAGTCAATTCTGCATGCCTTATGTAAGCATGGAGCTCTTAAACTTTAGAATGGAATGGCTTTGAAGAGTCATTTCAATTCAGTTCAATTCATTATATTCTCATCATGTAAATACTTAAGTGTCCACGTTCAAAAAATTATTTTGTTTATTCTTTAGGGAATGAAAGTACTTTAAGAGTTAGTAACCAAAACATAGTTTTAGATCGATATTTTGCCAAAGTAACTGGCGTGTGTGTTTTTGGCTATTTTGGGGGCTGCAGAAACCGATTTGGGGTGATTATTTGAAAGGCCATCCAGCCTAAATGCAAAACAATTTCACTAATAACTACTTATCACTGCAAAGCACTGACCTTACCCTTCCTGTAAAAGAAAATGCAAAACACATTTTGGAACACCTTCTTGAATGTATTGATTTTTGACTCTTCCAAACAGCTGGAATTTTAAAATTTCAAAATTGACTTTTGTAGCCCATTTTTAGCCTTGAAAAAAATCAACTTGCCAGGGCACTCAAAATTATTTCCTTTTGGCTACAAGTAGGACCAACATCGGTCTTTTCATATCTGGTGAGAACATTTTGGGGTATTGTATACTTTTGGTGCGGTAGTGTTCCAAAATGGTCTGGAACAAAAACATACTCGAAAATACAACTAAATGTTTCTATAATGCTTTAAGTGTGAAATAAGTGGAGCTACAGCTCACTAAAACTGGGTGGTTGAGAAGGTTTTTGGTATATGTATTGTTATCCTTCGTTATCTTCGTTGTCTTCTTCTTTCTCACCAGGAACTTTAAATTGCTATAACTGCCAAACGCTCTGGCCAATTTCAACCAAACTTGGCCATATTGACAAATGACCCAAGCTTCATGGGGACGTGGGGTGTGGTCAGATCAGGGTCAAGGGTCACCTAGTGGTCATTTTATTGAAAATGACAAAATGCTTCTTCTCCCCCACTTCACTCACCCTTGAAATAACTGTTCCCTTCCCTTGGTCAGCTCCCGCGCCCTCTCGCGGATCCATGTGTTGTTATTGTAGACTGCTACGAGCGAGTCGCATTTCAGTCCATGCGCAGGTTCGTCGCAGAGGAGCACCGTTTTCCCCAGCGCGTACGGGTGTGAAAGCTCACATTTACCTGTCCAAGGTCCTCCTCGTCTGAGCACACAGGGTGTGGTGGACTTATTCACACCGTCCTCGAACCTACCAAGCCAGTTGATACGGTCGTAGGCGTGCCAAACCGTCTGCACCAGATAATCCACGGCCTCGCTAGGGTGTACCATGGTGATTTGTATGCTAGCCTTACCGGACCAGCCAGCGAAGAAATAGACACTGTACGAGCCGTTGGCGTGGTCCAGCACTCGGCCCGACGTGCTGCCTCCCCCTTTGGTGGCGAGGGTTGCGTACCAGAAATCCCCGCCCATAGTCCGCGATCGATTGGACGTGTCACGGGCCTCAATCATTACTCGAAACATCTGAGCATTGATTAAAAAAACAAACGAATACAAAGTCATTTTGATATGAATATCGATAAACAACTTCAACTCTTATGGTTGAGCGGAAGTTTTTTGCCAATTTTGTGTACACTGTATTTGCCAATTTTGGATGGCGCTGTCCGTACAACTTACTTGAATACAATAATTTCATTTCTTAGAAAAGACAACGAAGAAATAGTGTTAACGTTAACTGCACACCCCAACAGCAGTCAAATTTGAGGGAAACTTAATCGAGTAGGTGGGAACTGACACCTAATTTATATGGTGCACATGGTGGGATTCGAACCGAGATCTCTATATGTTAAAAGCGATGGGCAAATATACTACCACACACCATACCTAACCAAAGTGAGGTTTGACTTCTATTTTAACAGGAGTTAATCTTCCCAGGCGTGGTTCTACGGGGAGCTGGGGGGGGGGGAGCTAAAGCCCCCCAAATTTTTGTCTAGGCCCCAAAATTAAAAAAAAAATGAAGGGCAGTAGCAAAAGTTAGAAGGTGACATGCGAACGGTCTCCCCCCAAAAAAAAAAATGTTGTGAGAAGGGGGCATTTGTATACACTATAAGGTACATGTAGTATAGTGTGTATTGTAGGATTTCATGATTTCATCAGCGCTCCCATTGAAAATGTGGTGCGAGCCTTGATTTTCGGAGGCCTGAGTGCCCGGAGAAAAAAACCCGGTCTACATTTCAGCACGCCTCCCTGCAAAAATCCTGAATCCACCCTTGCTAGCGCCCCTTAAATATAGGCTCTAGAACCGCGCCTGAATCTTTCCCGTATGTAGGCCTGCATAATGGATCATGTGGATTTGTACGAATTTGATAAGATATTGTTTCCTTCTCCGTACCTCCCCTTCCGTGACGTTTGCTGGGCTTGTCAGCGAGATGGTCGACGTCTTGGAGCTAGTCATGCCCAGGTTGCCCCGCCGGTGTTGCCATCTGCCAGGCAAACCTTTCTCTACTGGCCCGGGCACCTCATGGGCGATGTATTTGGTGTTCCGGGCGGTGGGGATGGCGTTGAAACGAGGCCACGCTGCTGGAGTGACGACGCGGACGTCGTGTTTCAAGTTAACCGTTTGGATGTGCTCGGTCGTGTCTCGAACCTGATTAGGCGGGCAGGAAAACGACTTTGTGAATGCAGAAACTATAATTTTTGTTTTCAAAATCAAGGCTGAGATGTGTTTTATTGTTTTATTAGTATGAACCTGCATCATGGGCAATTCCAACGTTATCTGGTTACGGACGTCCCATTCAAAGCCTAAAACCAATTTGAAACAAAAATAAAATACTTGCAGTAAAAGGAAATATAACATACGAGGTAGGCCTTAGGCCTTAGGTTGGATTAAATAACGAGATATAAGCACTGTCAACGAACGTAACGGATGTTACGCTTTAAGACATATGGTTTTGATTTTAAGTACTCATTGCAGAAGCCTGTGAAGTTTCTTGCAATAATTTATTGAAATAATTTTGTTGTTGTAGTCTGTAGCTTCATACTATATGAACACCAATGACATTTTACCAAAAAATACTTTAATGTTATTGATGTTCATCACGTTGTTTGTAAAGGACGATACATTATAACGTTATGGACGTTGCATGTCTAAAATCAACATCACACGTGTAAAAGAAACATGCTGAATCATGGTATTCTAAGACTAAATTCTGTGTGTATGACATTTATTTCAGCCAAAAATACTCACAACTAGACTTATGTTTGTGGACAAACACAGGGCTGTTTCGGTAACTTTTTTGTGACATATATGTGACATAGTTTCAAGTATAAGTTCCATCCAGAAAGGACGTGTAGTATATATTAAATGGTGGCATATAAATATGTAATTACATTCTCGTAGGGCTTTGAATTATGACGTCCCATGTTATGTGATGACGTCACAATAATTTGTTATTGTATTTTTATGCCATGTAAGGCTGATAGGACAACATGTGTGGTAGAGGAACAGGATCAATACAGTTCTGTAGATATTGGCATTCAAAATATGCACATTTAGTATGACGTCACATGTCACGTGATGACGTCATCGTGACGTCACTTCAATTTTCATCTATAACACATCCCGGTCTAGGTACGTACCAAGTTTTAACCCAATCGGACCATGGTTATTAGTAAAAGTCTTTGCCTAATTTTCATTCATACAGATGCGAGTAAATGCTTCAAAATTGGAAGTAAAAGCAAATGCCATGTTTTATTCATACGAACATGGTATCATTTGTACTTTATGAACTTTGTCAATATTAATTTTTCGCGATTAACATATAATAAATGCTGTAGGTTTTGCGCAGAATAATTTGCTTTATACTTTCAAGGTTGCCCCAACCCAGCCTTGTGAATGACAAGTGCATATTTGATATCTGAAGCATTTACTCCTTTATATTCATACGAAACGAAGTAAACGATAAATACTTTTTTCTGGTAATGAAACCAAGGATTCCTCAAAAGTGCATGCCCCAGGTACTGTAGCTCGCAAACCCCGGGAAAAAAACCCGTATTGTGCACCATGTACGGGTGACTTGTTACACGGTACCCTCTGGAGACATGTGCACAACAGGGAACAAAAGAATGTATACGTCTCCACAGGGCAATTTTCTACAGGTGAATACGTCCCCACAAGGTTATCACGATATAGATATATGGATTTTACTTAAAAACTAGGAATTTCCAAAGTGTGTTGATTTGTCGCAAATTGAAGTATGTTATGTAGGCCCTAAAAGATATTAAGTCCAAAGTTCAGCCCAGGAAATTCATTCTGGTTAAAATAGAAGCATTTTGAAAGTACACTTGCAAACTCGAAAACTTCAATGCACGAGAACAAAGAAATGACTCCACAAGGATACAAAGTTCAGTATGTCTGGGCTGGGCGTGTTCATCTATTCGAAAAATTCCAGAGAACAAAACAGAACAATATCGTCCACGATTCCCAGCATACGTCCACGATTGGGTTCGTGTACAAAACCTAAGGGAGTCTTTCTAAAAAGTTTAACCCTAAAAGGGCCGGAATCCGGCCCCCCCCCCTCATTTTTTTTTCGAGATAGCCTTGTTTTTTTGTTTTTTTTTGCGACCCAAGCTATTCTGACTTTTTAGCCTCGAGCCTTGCGCATCTTTTGATACCAATAACATTCGATACCAACTTTTTTTCCGGCGCTACACGCCGTGAAAACTGAAATTTCCCCAGGTACACAGAGCATAATTACGATTCGCGCACATGAACGTTTAATTAGCCATATTTCCAAACCCTTTTACCTACAGTCATGAAATTTCTTGGGTATGTTTATTATAAGTTGTTCTATGCATGTACTGAGTTTAAAAAGTTTTCGTCACTCGATGGCCGAGATCTTAGGGGGTCCCCCCCCCCCCCCCCCCCCCCCGCTGAGAGATGGTCAAACTAACCCGGCCCTTTTAGGGTTAAGTACAAACAAAAGAGGGACAATAGGACGTCCACGATCGACGGTGGAGTAGGACTGTGTGCGCGTGAATACATGTGATTTAAAAAAGTTCTGTACATGTACATTTTTGACCTTTTTGGTCTGGAACTGAAGCGTGAGGGCGCACGTTATATACACAGCTAGTATTATTTTGACCTGTGTGTAAGTACATGTACGTATTGGGCGGGCCGTCAACGCGTTATGGGGAAGTAAATTTTTTTATTGATTATACAGTGTTTATACGTCGGAGAAGGGAAAAACCTAATTATTAAATTTACACCGTCTGTACGCAAACTCCATTTTCTGAATAGTTTCATTGCGGTATCCGCTGCTACATCCGATTCAAACCAGCCAACCGATCCCGTATGGTGGTCGAGTGGTAAGACGTCTGCGGGTAGTCTAAAATAAACACTTGTTTTTTACCTATTTGTAAAATATAGATCTTCCCTTGACGAATCAAATTTTGAAAACGGTTTTTCTGTGGCAAGGAAATTATGGCAATTTGAAGTTCGTGATGTCAGAAAGGTGAAACAGATCAATTGCAAGATAAAAATAAGGTTGGGTTAATGCAATTCTCTGGTTGTTGCACTTACTACAAATCATTACAAATTCACATTTACAGATAAAAGTACGTTCTGACATGTCACTTTTACAGTAAATTGAGTTTTTAATAAGAATAAAAAATTACAAAAGGCGGAAATGTGAAAACAAAACCCATATCAGCCCCGTTTTAGGCTATTTTACGCCATGCAACCCCCCCCCCCCCCATTGTCGTCACAATAAAGGCAGGAACTGCGTACACCGCCATCTTTTCCTCCAAAAAAAGGGTTAAAGTGGTCAGAAATTGCCTCAGATCGCACCACAGAGCATCTAGAATCCCCCAAAAAAATCGGGGTCCTTAAGCGGGCCCCGAACCCTACGCCTTAATTTTGTGGACCCACTTTTTGGGGGACCAAAAATTGTTTTGCCCCCCCCCCCAATAAAAGATGTTCTGGATCCGCCCGAGACTAGAAAGCAGGAAGTCGTGGTTCGAGTCCCACCCGGGAGGTAACACACTGAGTATACAGTGTTTATGTGTCGGTATAGATTTATTTATTTATTTATTTTTTAATACAGGGCCCTCAAGGAAAGCCGTTTTTTTAACTGAGGAGGCCACCCTGCTTAAATAAGACTGCAAATAAAATAAATAAATAATAAACACACATTGTGCCCTTACATGTATTCCTGTGATAATCTGCTGTGAAATAACTAGTCAGTAGCATGGAGCTATATGCATGTGTGACCGTGAGTGTGCACTTGAGGGGTAGTCCTTTTCTGGAGGGGTCCCTCAATGTATTCGAGTTTGAATGAATGTATATTTTAGCTCTTTGCATATACGTTGAATCTGGTAAGCGTGAGAGAGTAGCGCACCCAGGATTTGATTGGGGGGGGGGGGGGGCTAACAAATATATTGAAATCCGCAAACAAATAATTGTAAAGCTCCCCTACCCCGGCAAAAACAAAATACTGGCAGTCAGCTAGCTGTTTTTAAGTTAAGTGCAATATCTTTTTAAAAAAAGGGGGGGGGGGGGTGGGCCCTGGGACTGGGAGGGGGGACTCCAGCCCCGATCCCCCTCCTGGGGTTGGTGGGGCAGTTGGAGTCACTAGCCATGCACAGGCCTGTGCCACAGCAAATTTGAAATTATTCCAAAGCATAATGAGTATGAATGGAAAAGGGTCGGTTGAAAATTCATGCAGGCTGGAACATGTATAGGCCCTTCAACAATCCAATAACATTCAAAAATGGCAGAAATAGTTATGCATGATTCTGATCAGGCCGATGTTCTTTTTTTTCCCCCCATTTCTTTTGGGCAATATAATTTCCCAATATGCATGTATCGGGAAATGTAAACAGCTGGACACAAACTATGGAATATTTGTAAGCCTTTGTTTATATATTTCCTGTCCATTTATACACATGTACTTTGTATCATGCAGCATGATAATTTTTTCTGTATGAATAAGAGGGGCGGATCCAGGAATTTTTGCAGGGGAGGTTTTCATCAGCCAAAAAAATCTGAAATGTAGACAGTTTTTTTTTTTCTCCGGACACTTGGCCTCCGGAGGGGGGGGGGGGGGGGTCGTGCGATACTTTCAATGGGGGCGCTGTTCAAATCCGACGATTGTTAACCATATAATATACAAAAAAGTGTACAAATATCCCCTAACCAAACGAAAACTGTCCTGATTTTGTGCATTACTACCATTTTTATTTTAAGTTTTTTGGGGAAAACATTTGGACATAGCTGGGGGCGCTGTTCAAATCCGACGATTATTAACCATATATTACAGAATAGTGTACAAATTAAATACCCCTAACCAAACAAAAACTGTCTTGATTTTGTGCATTGTTACCATTTTTATTTTAAGGGTGTCAGAGCACGGGGGGGGGGGGGGGGGGGGGGGTGGTGTTGGCATTTTCAATGAATTTCTATGAAATTTTCTTTTTTTTGGACAGAGCTGGGGGGTTGACCCCCCCCCCCCCGATACACGCCTAATAAAAACGTGGAGAGATAATTATATTTTCAAATATATATTGCTTATTCAAATTTCTGCCTACATCATAAAATGCTCTCACTTTCAACAATATGTGGCCAACATATTGTGCACAACAGTTATGGACACATACAAAACAAATTCACCAAACACCTGTTCGCTGTTCAATTGTACTGGGCCTCACAGCCAATCGAAGGCAATTATGGGATTGTTAGATAAAAATAAATGAGTTTTATCCAGGAGCATGAGTTTGTGGACATACATGTAGCCTAGTTTGTGCATGGAGGAATAAGAACACATGTGTACATACGTGCTGAACTGTGAAACCTCTTTTGTGTTTAAGTGAAGAGTCCAAAATCCAGAAATGTGGTAGAGTTCAGAACATGGGTCAAAAGGTCATGATTATGCACATAACATTTACTAGACTAGCCAAACAAGTATTTCGGTTGCAGGTAAATAACGGGGTCTACCCGATGTTCCCCAATACGTATGTATATAGGTACATTTGTATGCACCCGTAAAACTATATAAATTCTTTCAATTTTTTTTTTCGGCCCAAACTATCATAGTTGTGTATTTTATAGGCCGATCAAATGCGAGTACAATTTGTACATGTACACACATTCGTTGGCCCTGCGTATTAACGGATCATCTGGAAAAGTGGGGCGCTGGCCGGTCTCTAATATAGGTTGTCCCGGACAAGTTTTTGGAAAATATGCATTTGAATTTGTAAAACATAAATTCAATTTGGCGCTGATTTTGAGAACGACGTATATCCTGGTTTCATTTTCGCAATAACTAGCATTCGATTTTATTTTGCATCATTCCAATAAACGAATGTGCATAACGTTTCATTTAAAAGCTTCAATTAGGCTTTCGGTTGACGGAAACGTTGCCGATTATTATGAATGCGCAATCCATTTTTTTATTTATTTATTTATGTTGTATTGTGACACGGGCTGAATTGAACATTGTTTTTCATTTGTTATAATTTAAATTAGCATATTCTGCATTCAATCTAAATAAAGTACCGGTATACAGGCCTATAAATCATGATACAGCTTTGATTGATTCTTTAATTAGTCAATGTTTTGTAGGCCTAAATGATCACTAATGTGTTTGTTTTTATATACACAAAGGCCTATTTGAAATAGGTAAATAAAATGTTAAAAGGATATAAATCTGAACAAAATCAAATTAATCAAAATATTCTTGTATAGGCATATTATTGGGACGGTAAAGGGAAACATCTTGTGTCATGTTACATGGGATCTGGGGACTTTTTTGTTGGTTCTTTGTCTCAATTGTATTTTAATGTCTTTCTGTATTTCTTGAAGTTCTCTCTCATTTTATCGGTTGGATAGTTTGGTTTTATGATGCGATTGTGGCACATGCTGAGCAAATAAAGAACGACTGTGTTCAGCTTAGATTTTTATATAGGATTTATTACAATAGTTGGTATGATTTAAAAGACTACAACGCTTGGTTTAGTTCAATCATCATGAATACGGTATTCAAAATTCAATCATTCAGTCAAACATTCCTCGTACGTTACTTTTGTGAACACATAAATGAATTCCAATGCTTGATCAGGCGTTACGTTAAGACTGCTGCGCAGGAAATCGGCTGCACATTTAGCGAAATAGATTGATGATAAATTAAAAAGAATACAGGATTGTGGATGTGCCTTCGATTTCGCGCTAAAATGAAATGTCAATATACTATTATATAGTATTTAAAAAACAGAGCATTCAGGAAATCGTAGTCTGATTTTTTGCGACTGAATGCACCTTCATGGAAATAAAGTTATCATTTATTAAATAGAAACAGGGGTTTGGAACGTTTATTCTATTTCGCACAAAAACGAATGCTTCTTTTACAAATTCATAAATGTGCACATTTTCCAAAATTGTCCGGAAAACCTACAGTAATATAATACATAAGGCGGTGTGCAGACTAACACAGGCGTAATATTGAAAGCTTTTAGCTTCATCTGTGACACTAGGCCTTTACTAAACTGACTAACACAGTGAACTGTCTGCACTATTGATTTTGCTTTTAATAATAATATAGGTTTCCCGGCGAATTTCCGAATTTTTCTAATCAGTTTCATTATCAGCCATTCAATTTCGCGTGAGTTTTGTACATGTGGTCCAATTAGGGTTTCTTTTTCATTTGGGGTTCATTTAATTTCATTTTTAGGCAGCCAAGGTTTTGCTGTGAACGTTCGTTTTCGTTTTCGGGCAGCCTATTTCGTTTTGGTGCATTCAAGACTTAACTTGTAGCAGCCTTAAATTAAGTCTTTGCAACCTTTTGATGGTTGACGCATTCAAATTAGCGAACATCTGTGCGCTTATAACGTATAACCATGTTTTTCGTTTCTTATTCGTTTATGGGCAATCGCTTTCATTGTTTGGTCATTTAAATTAGTAAGAGTTTTTAATCGAAATTTTGTCCTATTTTTCTCCGAGGTTTCCCCCCCCCCTAAAAAAAAAATCTTGATGACTGTAAAATGAACAATGTTACAAATCAACTGATATGAGGGAAACAAGATGCAACGAAATAATGAACTGAAAGGGACTAAGATAATTTCTTTTTCACTGTTGATCTTTTCTACCTGTTTAAACGTTTGATCAAGGGGCTTTTTTTACGTTGCAATTTCTTGACGTGCAAGACATGGGGACACGTAATATGTTTGGAAATGGTTGTACCGTCGGGAACACTTCTCTTGCGTTATTTCTTAAATGTTTTCTTGCGTATGTCTGACCGAACACTAACCATATTCATAGGGCCCATGCAAAGTTGTCAATGCAAACCTTGAAAATACATCTTTGTGTCACATTTAACCGTATTTGCAAGTTTATTTTCCATTTTGAGGGGTGCCATGGTGCCTTCTCCGTTTTTATGCTAATGCAAAGTTTCACATTCATTAGAAAACCTGTGATGGCATTTCGAGCATGATTAATGTTACACGGCTATTTCAACGAAAAAAGTTGCTAGAATTTTGGATATTTTGCTGTCATAAATTTCTTTTATGTGGTGATTATATGATGTGTCAGTACATGGTAGTAAGCCATCCCATGACCATCCCTTTCCCACAAATGTTTTCAATTAGCAAATTTTGGATGAATAATTTGAAAGAAAAAACCCTAAACTGAACAGTGTCTTCCTGAAATGACATCACCGTAACAGCGTTACTGGAAACTTTTGGCCGGGAAAACCTACAATATAAATCACCGATAATGGGTCACAAAGGGAGACATTCCCATAGACTTGTGCACAAATATTTCCAACTTTTATGACTCCCAGCCCCAATTTTACATCATTCTACCCTAACGAAGTTGGGTATTTTTACTAATTGGACCACGAGCAATCGATCTAGCCTATTTTGCAAAAGTAAATGTTGCCTCTAAATATAGGACCTGAGGCATATTAGGGAGCCATTGAAATGTCTCCCTAATTCCACGTCTCCCAAAGGTATGGCTTATGTAGCTAAAGTGTCTCCCAAAGGTTCTTCTCTTGTAGAACGCAAAACATAACGGTAAGCATGTGCTTTACAAAAATGAACATGTAATAACGACAAAATTTACGAAGTGTGAGTAAACGGCAGTAGAAATACATGAGATTTGAGGGTAGATTTGAACCGGTCCAAAGTGTCTACAGTTCAAAGAGGGGTTGGAAGTGTGTCAGAATGCCTTGGAGCCATATGACTTGGTTCTTGGTATTGTTGTGGTAAGGAGGCCCCGATGAGACAACCGAAGAGTTCTTGTAGGGTCGTATGGACGGAGCAGGTCGGTGTATAGCGCGGTGCTTGTCCGCTCAGGGCCTTGAAGGTGAGCAGGAGAAGTTTGTACATGTATTTAATTCATATTCAATGGGTAGCCAGTGAAGGTCTTGGAGGATTGGTGTGATGTGTTTACATTTCTTGAACGGAGAAACCAGGCGGACAGCAGAGTTTTGGATTCGTTGAAGTTTATTTACATCTTTGCTGGGGAGGCCTGTAAGTAGGCTAGACAGTTGAAATTGTAACAGGGACGGACCGAAAACCAAATCCACATAATGGCACAGGCAGGAATCGAACCTGGGTCACAGAGATACGGTGGAAGGCGGGGGAAAGTACCGCTTCGCCAACTCCTCTATTGTTTTATACACCTAACGGAGGAGCCTGTACTTAACATAAATCCCCTCTGTTAATGGCAGTTGTAGTGTTGGAGGTTCATCGTTACTACCACAGCGGAAAGAGTCTATAGAAATGCTTCGGTATAAGCAGAGTCCTTGGGAAAGTCACCTCTGTCATTATACTGAGCTGTGTGAAGTTGAGTTTGGATACGTTAGTAAGGGAAAAGCTTGCCCTGCTGAGAGCAAGGGCGGATCCGGGGGGGGGGGGGGGTCAACGGGGGCCATGCCCCCCCCCCAAAAAAAACCGAACCCATTTTTTTTTTAAAGTGACGTCGCAATAAAGGCAGGCACTGCGTACACCACCTTCTTTTCCTCAAAATAATTTAGTTATTAAAAGTGGTCAGAAATTGCCTCAGATCGCAACACAGAACATCTAGAATCTAAATTTTGTTTAATGCAATCGTTGAAGGATTAAAAACCTTTGTTTCACCCATACTATTTCAAAAGACACATTTCGATTCGTTGCCCGCGGGCAGTTCCTGCTCATTGTACTCGAGAGCGATATTTTTGGGGGGTTTTTTCATCCAGCAAAAGGAAAAAAACACTTACCGTTGTTCTAAATTTTGCTGACAGGGCCGCGTAGCCTAGTATGACGACGACGCACATGATCACCGGAAGGGCTATGAGAACCAGTCGGGGGAGACTGATCCGAAAACGCCTCATGTTAAGCCTACTCGACGATTGGTAAAGGAAAGACAGATCAACTGAAATTATGAAGAAAAAAATATGATTCACTGATGACGCTAATTTATTGTGTAGATCGAAGTCATGACTGCACGGCACGTACAATGGCAGCGGGAACCTAAACAGCGTGAGGGCGGGTGATGGCTGTTGTAGTTGATCGTGTAACGTTTAGACTGGCTTCCCAGTCGTTGATTTACTTGTGTGTCCTTGTTGATGTGTATAGACCTTTCTTTTGTTTGTAAACATTGCCGCCATTTTGTTTGGGCTGCAGTAAGGGTGCACACCGGTAAAAAAAAATAGGCCTAAGTCCATCCGCCGAGCTCTTGAATAAAAGTTATACCCTCAAAATAGTCTATATTAGAGAGTTTTTGGAGCCATAACATTGGGGAATTGAAGAGATATGGCAATGAACCTCTGGCCCGGACTCGGGGCTTCCAATTCTGAGCATTTTGGATACAATTGGGCTCGAAAGTGGCGCTATTTTGCCATGTTGTGGAGGGATCGTTTTTCAAGATGGCTGCCGTTCCGCTTTGGGGAAAATAGGGGTCGTCTTCTTTAGGCGAGAAATTCTCGAAAAGTCAATGGTCAACCCTCCAAAAGATGAAAAGAAATTGAAAGACGACATGTCGATCATCATTTTTCTGTGCAGCTTAAATACCTGTGAGAGTTCTGAGTATTTTTAAAAGAATTTTGAAGTATGGGCATTTAGCAGTAGTGTCTATGGGAATTTATTTGCAGGGTTGCATCCTATAAAGAATAACAAAGATGGCCGTTTCGCGCATGCGCTGTGCCGCGGCAGTGGTTTTTTCAGTGGGCGTAACCTACGGGGAGGGGGGAAAAGTGTTTTAAAGGTATCAACAAGGGTTTTTCCGTAACGGATGCTCCCAAATCGTAAGGGAGCAGTAGGCTATCAGCCGATTACAACAATTGCTAGTTGGAAAGGGGGGGGGGGGCATTTTGAGCTTAAAAGTAGCTGAAACTTAATTTATTGTCGCTGGGGGCGCTCTACAGCTTAGCAGGGGCAAAAAAGTCACTATTAGCGGGCCTAATATCGACCTCGGATAATTTTTTTCTTTCAATTTTTTTTCTCAAAATATTGACTTTGGAGATATTCTGCTTCTCCTGAATGTGGTTTTGTGTTAAAATTTAAAAGTTACATGCTATTATAAAGAATAACAAAGATGGCCGTTTCGCGCATGCGCTGTGCCGCGGCAGTGGTTTTTTTTTCAGTGGGCGGAACCTACGGGGAGGGAAAAAAAAGTGTTTTAAAGGTATCAACAAGGGTTTTTCCGTAAACGGATGCTCCCAAATCGTAAGGGAGCAGTAGGCTATCAGCCGATTAAAACAATTGCTAGTTGAAAAGGGGGGGGGGGGCATTTTGAGCTTAAAAGTAGCTGAAACTTAATTTATTGTCGCTGGGGGCGCTCTACAGCTTAGCAGGGGCAAAAAAGTCACTATTAGCGGGCCTAATATCGACCTCGGATAATTTTTTTCTTTCAATTTTTTTCTTCAAAATATTGACTTTGGAGATATTCTGCTTCTCCTGAATGTGGTTTTGTGTTAAAATTTAAAAGTTACCTGCTATTATAGGGTGCACACCGGTAAATAGGCCTAAATCCATCCGCCGAGCTCATGAATACAAGTGAACCCCTCAAAATATTCTATATTAGAGAGTTCTGGGAGCCATAACATTGGGGAATTGAAGAGATATGGCAATGAACCTCTGGCCCGGACTCGGGGCTTCCAATTCTGAGCATTTTGGATACAATTGGGCTCGAAAGTGGCGCTATTTTGCCATGTTGTGGAGGGATCGTTTTTCAAGATGGCTGCCGTTCCGCTTTGGGGAAAATAGGGGTCGTCTTCTTTGGGCGAGAATTTCTCGAAAAGTCAATGGTCAACCCACCAAAAAATGAAAAGAAAATGAAAGACGACATGTCGATCATCATTTTTCTGTGCAGCTTAAATACCTGTGAGAGTTCTGAGTATTTTTTTAAAGAATGTTGAAGTATGGGCATTTAGCACTAGTGTCTATGGGAATTTATTTGCAGGGTTGCATCCGTAAGCGCATAAATTGAAGCCGTGGTTGGCAACATATTTTTCCAAAAAAGTCCTCATAACGCTATCAACACATATTAAAAAGGCATATGTAGGAATTATTTTGCAGCTTTGTTGAAAATGTTGTATTTCCAAGTATCAAATAATATTTTGGTGATCTGTAATAACTCTTCTTCATTTTTGTAGTGTTGGACTTTCCATAGTTTTGCAGGCCGTGGTTGGCAAAAATGCAGTTTGCCAACCAAGCGCAGAAAGGTCTATAGTCACTATAAAAAATGGTACGGGCTTTATTCACGAGTCGGCCATATTGAATTGGAAAGCGAGGTAAAATAATATTTTTTGGAACTTGCAAAGAGAAATGAAAGCAATGACATAAAGTTAATCAAATTAGGTTTTGCCCTTCACCGACGTTTTTAAACACCGTATACTCAGTGTGTTACCTCCCGAGTGAAAGTTGGAAAAATCACTCGGGTGGGACTCGAACCCACGACCTCCTGCTTTCTAATGCAGATGTCTTACCACTCGACCACCGAGCTAACGGGATCGGTTGGCCGGTTCGAATCTGATGTACATAGCAGCGGGTACCGCAAAAAACGTCGGTGAAGGGCAAAACCTAATTTCATTTATATCACCCCGACGCAAAATTCCATCTTATAATTGACATAAAGTTAATTACAAATTAATACCAGTCTGCTCTGATTAATAGTTTAAAATGTGTGATTAAACATGACCTAATGTTTTAAGCCACATTAAAAGAAATGAAAGTGAGGCTAGAAGGCATAAATAGTCTGGCACCATCCCATTCAACAGTTTACAATACACAGTTTAATACAAGTTTGTCAAAATAATCAAAACTTTTTTGTGACGTGTGTCCAGGAAGAATGTGTAGATCTGTTTATAATAAATGGACGCATATAAAAAAAGTGACTACATTTTCATAGGGCTTTGAATTATGACGTCACATGTCACGTAATGACGTCATCATAACGTCACATCAATTTTCATCTATAACACATCCCGATCTAGGTACATACCAACTTTCAACTCAATCGGACCTGTAGTTCAAATTACAATGTACTTCCGGTTTCAACCGGAGGGAAGGGTCACGTGATTTTGCACCTAATATCAAAAATGAAGATCTTGGATAAATCATTATTCTATCAACTCCCGAAAAATGCAAAATCAGATCTCTCACAATTGATTTTATATTGATTCTGAAAGATTAAATCTAAAAATCTTTGGTTGTTTGTAATGTGATACTTGATGACGTTATCGTGACGTCATTACCAAAAAGCTTGAAAGCTATGTTAACTGTGCGAAGCAAACATCTGGATTAAATCTCGCGAGGATAATTGTTTAGCAATTTTCATTGTAACCCCCCCCCAAGTTAAAAATATAACAACAAAGTCCTTTTGAAGGTCTGTCTTTTAAAAACAGTGGATTTTATAAATCATATGATTTGCCTAACCAGGGTTGTTAGTGAAGATATTGTGTACTAGAGTTGTTGACAGGTTTGAAACAAGTTTTCTGTGTCATTTTCTTTGTTGTTCCAAATAGTCAGAATACACAAACTGCTTTTTTTGTGTTTAAATGGTGATCATCTTTGAAAGGATTGAGCAATATCAGTAATTATTTCATCTAAAAGTAGCTTATGAAATCTGTTTTCCAGTTACGTGTGACGCACGTACACCAGGGGATTCAATTGTACCAGTATGTACACCAGGGGATTCAATTATACCAGTATGTACACACAATGCTAGCGGTGGCCGCGCGTCGCGGCAAAATTGCAGTCAGGCAAGATGGCGTCAGTCATCCCCAACTGTACTTTCTTTGCCGATGAGGGGGGTACATGTGAACGGAGTGGATAGGGCTCTTAAGAGTAATTTTGAAAACGTTTTACATCCGTCTTATATTGACGGCACGCATTCAATTTTCATTGCTTGGTTAGATTGCTTATTGCCATTAGATAAAAATGAAATGGTGCAGGTGTCAGTTTAGAGTAATGAAAATTTGAAGGGTTAACAAAGATAAATATTTTTAGAACTTTAGAAGATCTTCAGAGTTAAGAATATCTTGGAATATTATAAATAATAATAATTATATCTAATTCTTGTTTAGCGCCAAATCCGTCAAAAATTGACGCTCAAGGCGCTTCACAGAAATAAAAATGAACCAGTTAAAATTTAAGAACAAATTAAAACTTATACAAGAAAAACCTTTAAAATAACTAGGTGAACAATTGAAATAAGTTGTCTAAAACAGGCAGGTTAAGATGGACAGATACAGTAAAGCAACAGCGCGACGGCCACGAAAAAGAGACTTAGAAAAGACTTACACAAACAGTGGGAAACACACACAAAACGGACTGATAACAGAATAACCATAGACAAGACACACATTATGGTTAATAAAAGACAGCCAAAACTGTCAAGACAGACAATAAGAATGAGACAAACGGATGGACAGGCTAATGAACAGTCCTACAAACACATTGATGCAATACAGCATGACAGCACAAGGTTAAAAATTGACGCTCAAGGCGCTTTACATAAATACGGATATACCAGTTAAAATTTAAAATACAAGAGATGTACAAATTAAAATTGTCTAAAACAGGCAGATATAAACAGACAGACACAGAACACCAATCAAGTAAACAGAGAGACGACCATGACAGAGAGAATTAACAGCACGACAGCCATAACGTACAAACAAATAAAAAAGTGACGCTCAAGGCGCTTCATTACAGAACTACAAATAAACCAGTTACAATTTAAATTGAAGTCTAAAAAACAAGCTAAATTATGCAAATACAAGTCGGTGAACAAATTTTGTCTAAAAAAAAGGCGGATAAGAAATGGACAGACAGATCATCAATCAAGCAAACAGCAAGACGACCAGAACAGAGAGACTTAAAGGACCACGACAAAGAGACTTGAAGAAAAAAAAAAGACTTACATCTACACAACAGAGTGGGAAACATACACTAGACGAACAGATGAACGGACTAACAGTAGACAAGACACACATACTGGTTGATAAAAGACAAACTGTCAAAAACAGACAATTAAGCACGAGACAAACGATGGACAAACAGATGAACTAACACACAGCACACACGGCACAAAATGTAAATAGCACGACGGCCACAACAGAGAGACGTAGACAACAGACTAAGAGACACACACAACAGACAGACAAGACAAACGAAGGGACTGACAGTTTAAAATCTGTATGCATGTGTAAGATGAACAGACGCAACAGCTGTCTACGTTTGCGTAAAGCTTCAGACACCTCGTTGTTATACCAGTTCGTGTTTGGACGTACTTTGAAGGTACGTGTTGTGGCTGGTGCATGCTTGTTCAGAATGCCAAGCAAAGTTTTGTTGTACATTTCAACTCCAGATGCAGGATCCTTAGCAGACTCGGAGCAAACCTCGGTAAACCGACATTCTGTAACGTCACTGCATGGAGAAGGTATTTATGTCAATGGAGCGAAGGTTCCTTGAAACAACAGTTGTGGTAGGGACAGCTGGTTTGTGAAAAGGCACATCAAATAGGAGTGCAAGGTGATCAGAGATTCCTTCAACGACTCGGATGTTTGAGAGATAATAGTCATGATCATCACAGCGTGTTATGAGTAAATCAAGAATGTGGCCACATTGATGGGTTGCTGTATATTTATGTGCTGTTGCAGTCCATGTGCAGATAACAGATCTGCAAACTGCGCAGATTTCACCGCTGAAGGGTTGTCCATGTGAATGTTAAAATCACCTGTTATAATAAGTGACGACTGGTCGAACAGGTAACTGTCGATGAAACAAGCAAACTCATCAAGGAAGGTACTGAATGCCACAGTGGACCCAGGCGGTCGGTAAATAATCACCAAGTGCGTTGAAGTAGCGTTACTCACTAACTCTGCCTACAGTACTTCAAACGAACTGAACGTCCTCCCATTTTTGCTAATTTTAACACTGATGGTGCTCCGGTACAACAAGCCGACACCTCCTCCCCGCTTATTGGCTCGTGGTATGTGATGGAACGAGTACCCATCGGGAGTTAGACCAGCAATAACAGCCGGGTCATTTGGAGTCAGCCAAGTCTCAGAAATCCCGATGACATCCAGATCATTCTCCCGCACAAACTCATCTGTTTTGTTTTTGATACTGCGAGCATTCAGCATGCAGAACGTGGTCAACTGCATTCAATGATGTTGTTGTCTCATATGTACTTGCAGCAGATTGTCGCGAGTGGATACATCACGAAAGCTGTTAAGTCTCAATGGCCGGTTCCCAACCACAACAGGAATGTCATTGTAGCCCAGCATAGGCGACTGCATAGTCAACATGTTTCCAAACGTACATGCACAACTCCTATTGAAAGGTGATTTCTGGGGCGAGCTGGTAAAAGTCACAACAAAATACCTCCAGGTCAGAACAACAATCACAACAATCACAAAAATCCGGGCTGTGATTTGTAGATTCCTGTCAAAATACATTCTACTTTGATCTATGACTCCTCAAAAAGGACAGCAGTTGTTAAAAAGATGATGGATGGCACACAAGAAAGGTGATAAAATTGGATTAAAAACTCAAAGTATTAACAGAGGGAAAATTATTTTCTGTGTAGTCATTTACATTAAATATGCACGATACGAGTTGATCATCAATTGGCCCATTGTATTATTTACCGGATTCAAAACAACTTTCCCCATTTTTTTTCTCGCAATAAACTTGTAAACACCAAACCTGCTACAATTTTAATAAGGTGGCTCCTTAAGCGTATATCTAACGTAATTGGACGGGAAACGTATAGTCAAATGAAAACTAAGATCAGCGAATGTATAAGCATTTTAGTCTACGTTCTTGTATCCTGTTCGGTACAAAATCTATTCTTCATAAAGATTAATGTCAGGAAATTCCAATCGAATCTTTAATGCAGATCGGAAAATAAAACCATTAGCTCAGAATACACTTTGCCTGTTTTTCTTTGTTAATTAGTACTTGGTGGAATCACCTGTCACGGTGAATGAAGAGGTGGGTGGGGTGGGGCGCTGTTCAAATGCAGACGGGAGTGGGGGCATAGGTGACACGATTTGGCGGACAAATGTGCAGACAAAAAAACTCTCTCAAGGTACCCACGCATCAAACCCGATTAAATTGCGTCATCCTGTATTAATCTAGGGCCTAACCAATGGCTACTGAAACTGTTTTCCCCCACGATAACGGGACTTCTGTTCGCAGGACATAATGACAAGCTACGTCGTACGTAACTGCCATTTTGTTGAAGTATAATAATTGGGGGATCCTACTGTACAAAGCCCAACGTCAGGAACTTACAATTCGGTATTTTCGCAAACTGTCATGAAGCATTTGCTGCAAAATTCGCCAAAGTTGAAATGTGTTCAACTTTTGCAAATTCGGTAATATGCATTCCCGTTTGCTTAAACACGTCAGGTATGAATCAACTTTTATGCAATACATTTCACAACCTCTTTAATAAAATGATTATACACAGTCTACTGGTCAAAGTCCCGAGCCTAATCAAGTCCATCTGAAAGTAATCTTTTGTGCTCGTTCCCTACTATTTCCCTCTATTTAGACTTGTAATAAACGACGAGGACCACGACAATTTAGTGAACAAGCAAGGTTTGGTTGCAGAGCGTGTTATGCGTTATGTTCTCCGTTATGTCGTGGGAAGTATAGAGTGCCGGTGTAGCGTGAATATCCGACTCCATGAAATACGGTAGTATTGCGCATGCGTAAGTACGCTAATATGCTATTTTTAGGATCATAATGGCAGAGTGACCTGTCACGTGCGAGGGATTATTGCAATAATAGGGAAAAGGAGTCCGATTTTCATTGCAGTCAGATATGACACCGGACGCAAGTACTTACTAACACTCATGGTGGACCTGCTCCAGCCTGCCATTAGAGGGCGCACTGTGGACACAACATCTCCCCTCTCTGAAAAAAAGATTCTTGAAGAAAAGTGACCTGTAAGGAACATAGCAATTGCCTAACTTGAAAAGGATTTTTTTTCTCTCTCTTTTAACTTCTAACTAAAATGCACCTCGCATTAAAATCCACACCTCTCTTTTGTTTCTATACTTCCCTTAATATGGCCTTGAAATTGGGAGTCAAATTTTCTAGAAACTGGGGAAGGAATTATGCATGGTTTAATTCTGGTTGATATTCAGAGAAGGTAATGAAATACAGCAAATTTTAGGTTAGATTGCAAAATGTTAGAATAATTAAGAAAACCCTTAATCGCTGTAGTCTTCAACTGTGAAGTTAACACTCAACTGGAAGAAGAAGAAGGCCCTGGTGTCCCTAGTTTATGTTTGATAGTCTTTCAGGCAAAAAAGAGAAAAACTAGAGGATTATGCCTGTTTTTAGAACAGGGCATAGAGCATAGGTGACAACGTGTTTGCTTACATTGCATTTTAATATGTAATTTCTCATGAGACATGATGCAGTCATGGTAAATTAAGTCCCTCTAATTGCATGTAATAGAAAAAGTGAGTAGTTTTAAAATTCATAAAAAAGTGTATACGTCATCGTGACGTCACTTTAGATTTTGCTAGTATACTCGTAATGCTGTCCAAGTAGGCCTACCCACAAAGTTCGTCGACGATCAATTTTCCTTTGTAGGTGTTTTGAAAATCACATTTTTGATGACGCCACTCCTCGCACATTTTTTCCCCACAATTTTCTGCATAAACCCCAATCAACGAGCTAGCCAACGTATTAAAAACACAGACCTTTGAACTTGGCTTGGTTCGTTTGAGAGATATCCTTAAAAACTTTCAAAAATCAATGAGAAGAAAATCACATAGCTGGTAGTGCTCTAAATATAGCGGACTTAAAAAACGCACCTTTGAGATGCCATGTGACACGTGATGGCGTCACCACAACATCACTTGTAGCCTTTTTTAGGACATGTTTCACAACGGGTTCTTTGTCTTTGCCAATTGTAAAGTCCATCGTGTTTCGCACATTAGTAGCATGACACATGACACGTGACACGTGATGACGACATCATGACGTCCAATTTCTATGCTGTATGGCTAAGTTTAAAAGGAATACATGCATATCAAAAGTGATGCAGAGAATAAAACGTCCATCGAGAATAAAACGGGTACAAACAGTGTGGGATTTAGGATAGAACAAAGAGAAAGAAACAATCAGAACAAAACAAAAGGCTTTTCCGCAACTATGCAGAAAAGAAGTGTTGACTGTCCACCATGCACAATACATGGTTTTTCCGGAAAATTGTTTGATGGTTTATTTGTGAATAATCAACATTTAAATGGTATATATTTATAAAAGTCACGATAACGTCAGCATGACGTCACTTCAATGTATATACTGAACAGCCACGTGTATATGTTATGCATACACGATTTTTGACTCTATCGAACTTTTTTCATATATATGCGGGAAAGAGTTGCACTTAACGGACAAGTTAGTAACGGACAGGTCCATATAGGAAAAGGCAAAGTGGTTGGGCTTTGATATAGAACGCTCAATTTATTGTTTCGAACTATATGCTGTCTATTTAAAACTACAAATGTATGTTAGTTAACCTCAATTTACGCATTAAAAGCTAATTTGCATGTAAATGTTTTTTTATTGAATGACGGTAAAGCGTTTGCTTCTAAACGTGCGATGAATTTTAAACATAATTTATTGAAGACCTCAGTGTTTTCAAGCAAAATAATTGAACCGATTTCAACCACTAGACATATTATTATGGTTGCATTTCAGATTTTAGATTGTCTAAAACAATGAATCTCCTTTTGGGATTCAGCAATCCTTAATCATTTATTTATAATTTACATTTTAAAATTATTATAGTATTTAAAATTCCAAACACATTATTACATGTACATACACAGTATCTGCATTTGAAAGCAGTCGTAAGTCAAATTTAGATAACGAAATCCCATTTAAATACATAATCACTTTTAGGATGACGATTTCTTATTTCAGTACTTTACTAAATATTAAATCGCAAATAAACATTTCTAAATGCTAAATATGTGATCTAAATTGAACAATAGTGATATTATATTGACATAAAACAAGTGTCGAGCAACCAGCGCGTTTCTTGAGTGTTAACGAGATATAACCTTTCCCGAAAGACTGTTTTAAGATTCCCTCCTAAACGGTGTGAAAAAAACTCTTTCTGCATATTTTAAATCATAAATTCTGTTCAAGATAAAATCATTATTTAGGAGGTAATAAGCATCAATAAAGAATATCTCTGTAAAACCTCAGACTGCGTCAACACGTTTGCATTTCCCCCACAAGAATCTATATCCAATTTGAGATTGAAATCCATGTTTGTTATTATGTTTAATACCAAATCAGTCGTTTTCCCGTAAAACTGAAATCCAATTCAACATTCGCCTAGTCTGTATAGCACTATATTAATATGGAAACATGCTATGTAAGTGATTAATGTGTAAATAGTTGATCAAATAATATTTGAATGTAAATAAGCCAAATAAGCATGAAGATCAAGCAATTTTATTGTTAGGCCTGGATATTAACCTATACTGATAACGCTATGTTTTGGTTCGTTCATAAACATTTTACAGAACATTATCGTGAACGAAAACACATTTATTTATGAGCTGTAGCAAATTAACAGATATACTTAAAAGCCCATGTTCCATGGGAAAAAAATCTAAAGCCCTTGGCTAATACGCATTTCCACCGACTTCACCTAGACCACGTGAACAAGGTAGCGGAGGCACACTTGTTCCTCGGTGTACGCCACATACTCGCTGTAGTCGCTCAGATGGCAGTACATGTGGTTTGAATGCAGCATACCAAGAGGTAACGATGCACCTGCCAAAAGGAAAACACGGACACATTCAAAACAATTGTTTATTAATGAGCTGAAATTGCAAAATAGAGATTGTGGATTGAGGGGATTTTAACTCACAACCTATGGTGACGGTTGTGCAGTTGTCGATATGTATTACGTATAGGTCATCGCGCTGGAACCATATACCCGAGAAATCGTCGGTTGCATGGGGTACGCTGTTCCATTAAATTGATCCTATACTCGGGATATTTCTTATAAATGGTCACCTGCAGGCCGTAATTTCTGTCCAGTATATTAAACGACTTGGAGATAATCGTGAAATTACCTGAAGGCAGACACACTTCACGCTTGCCGTTTGTACGGGTTCCACCGGGGGCGTAGGTGCTGTTGGAGTGTCGTTTTTCCTCGTCACTGATTCGACCTTTCGCCATCTTGCCAAGGGCAACCTGTAATACACGTGATATTGACTTGCAAATCAATTCCCTTCAAATTGTTGGCATCTGTTGTTGAAATATAAAGCTCGTCGACCAGTGCATGTTTAATACCCAATAATGTCTAGCATCCGAGCTTCAGGATTATACAGGGTGAGTAAAAAATAGCGGAACCCAAACCCCAACAATTATGTATCATACATGTATATAAAAAATATGTAGCACCAAACATAAGAATGACTGAAAAAAAATCACAAGCTACTTTTAGAGAAAAACATTACTGAAATTGCTCAGTCCGATCAAAGAATATCACGACTTAAACACAATGACCATAAAACCTCTCTCGTTCAAAAATGCGATTTCAAGAATCGTCGTCACAATTGTGTTCAAACATCACCAGTGATAAAACCTCAGTTTGAAAATTGAAAATATTCAACAAAGTCCTTTTAAAGGCCCGTCTGGAAAAAAAATTAAATCATACTGCCTAACCAGGGTTGTTTATATTAAGGTATTGTGTACTACAGTTGTTGGCAGTTGTTAAAACAAGTATTCTGTTTCATTTTCTTTTATTGTTCCAAACAGTCAGATTACACAAATAAAACTGATTTGGACGAAACAGGTGCTAGGGTCATTGCGTTTTAATGTGGTGATATTCTTGGAACGCACTGAAAAATTTCAGTGGGTTTTTTTTTCATCTAAAAGTAGCCTATGAAATTGGCTTTCCAGTCATTATTATGTTTGGTGCTACATATTTTTTTAAATATAAAATATATTTTGGGGGGTTTGGGTTCCGCTCTTTGTTTTACAAACCCTGTATCATTCAGTCTCGCATAACTGCGATAGACTGTGGCGAGCTTGTGGCGCACCGGCATGCCTGCACGATGCAAATTGACCACAGTTTCGGACTATCCCTTTGCTGGTTTACTCGGAATAGCGAGGTGATAAGTTTTTATGTGAGTTAAACGCCTCTTGGGTTTTTACTTTTTGATATGGTTGACTGGGTTAATGTTTGCAGGTATAACGTTTCTTGTTAAATATTTCTTGTTAACGTATTTAGAAATTCTGGAGGCAGGTGACATCGCCGACAAGCGATCTTAACTTAAGACCGCCTTTTAAAAATCTAGCACTTTTAAAATCTAGGATATGCAAGCCCAATTCAAAAGCTTTATTTTAGTACAAGAATAATTCAAATCACTCACGTTCTTTTCAAGTTACGGAATTTTAAACACAGACACCGTTTTAAAGTTCTGTCCACGGATCACAAAACTGTAAGTGTTCTTTCAGCAAAACGAAAACAAATCACATAGGGATGTGTGTGAATTTTTTTCGTTTTGCTGAAAGAACGCACACCTTTTTTGTGATCGCGCGAACTTTAAAACGGTGGTTGTGTTTAAAATTCCGTAACTTGAAAAGTACATAAGTGATTTGAATGATTTTTATTTTAAAAGAAAGCTAATGAAAATATGGCTTTCATATGTTAGATGTCGCAAGTGCTACACTGAGAACTTCACTAAAACAACAGTCCCGACATTTTGGTTTCGTTTTTGTTTAATCACCCTGTATACATACGACATGCCAAAACCTCACCTCACACAACAGCATGAAGTGGGAAGGTTGGTTTTGCTCCCATCGCCTGCAGTACGCAATACTCTTCGCAAACGCGTCCGATGTGTAGATACCCTTAAAATAAATCACATCAATGATTATTCTTTTAAAGTTGGATTAATAATGCACGATACCTCCAAAACCAATTTTATTACGCACATTAATTTAAAATAATTATTTAAATACAAGCTTCTCCGTACTTAATCTGTCAATAGTGTTGAAAAAGCCATTTATTGGAGTTCTTTTTAATGCAATCCTTTGAATGCGACCTTGTGTCAAATTTAACTTTACTTTCACCTTTAAGTGTGGCAGGTTTAAATGCTTTTCGGGGCTTCTGGCTTAGTTTTATGCTTTTCGGGGCTTCTGGCTTAGTTTTATGCTCTTGCGAATTTACATATTCACAAGCAAACCCATGATGTTAGTGTTTTGCCACGGTCAGCATTAGGAATTGCGTTTGAGTCGGTAAATGACAGTCACTTGATGAGCCACCATAATCCGAATGATTTTTTTTTTATTGAGCTTCAATTTTGGGATCAAAGTTTGCACAGAAGACAGTGTTGATTTGAGTGCGATCACAAACACAGCGCCCTCGGTTGTCAGAAAAGCATGGAACATTTTAAGTGCACTTAAAAATTAAACCAAAGAGGGGTTTCTCACAATTGTCTACAGTTCAGCGGAATAGATATTTGCTTATCGTATATGTTCCATTTGAAATATGTTTCAGTCTTAAATACCAGTTTAAAATGTTTGCAATCAAAAAGAGATAAAAAAGCGTTGTGAAAGAAGTTTATCATGAGATGGGTTAATCCTGGCATGTGACCACTGTACAAACACAAGGCCCCTTTCAATGGCAACACATTGTGCAAGCTATTGTGTGAAATTACTGCACGACGCTTTTGCCACTGAAGAGTTCTTTTGCAACAGGAGTGATAGCGTGACTTGATTGGTTGATGCCATAGACTTATATTAATATAGCTCTAAGGTTGATACCTACCTCTCCAAATCTTTGTCCCGATCGCTGGGCCTCTACCGGGTTAATCTGCAAACCTTTCTTCAGGATGCTAAGCAGGTTGACAACGCTGCTTCCATGCCATAGCAGTTTGTGATTGTCCAACTTGCAGGATTTCAGTCGCTCCTCTTCCCCGTCACGTGACAATCGAAAGATGGCTACCACATTTGGAGGACTGCGGGCACCTGCGAGAAGGTAGCACGCAGTCAGAGACGGTTAACACCTCTGAGGGCCAAGTGGATCCCTCAACAATATCCCTAAAATTATTGTCAAGCTCTTTTAATGACAGTTTGTGGACTGATGCCCTCCGGAAGTTTTAGCAAATGAATACATTTCAGACGTAGCGTTCACGCCAAATGTTAACCTTTTTTCCTTTTGTACAGGAAAACACATTCAATCATATCATTCATGTACGGAAGAGTGGTTAATGATCAAATTTCCAAATCGCTTCATTTGATTGAGCTGAGTCATTGCGTATATGCATCTAGCAATAATGTTTCTGTTAGTACTTTGAACATCGTGACGATCGGTCATAACATTTTTGAGCAAAGAGGAGGAGCAAACATTTTGTTTAAGGGTCAAGCCAAACAAAATTGTCAGAAAACAAACGTGCAGATAATAAGTAAATAATATCAAAAAAGACGATGTACACAAACATAACATAAATGCGATTAATTCACTGTAAAAAGAAAACACTTCGATCTGACTAGATAATAGTCAAAACCTGCACCCAGCCGACAAAACTATTGTCCGCTGGGATGATGACTGCTTTGTAGTCAAGTGCTTTTAGACGGCAGAGGACCTGGATACTAGTTAACATTTTGGAGTTTTCCGACGTACAATTAGTCTCTATGAGGCGTTGATACCCCCATCAAGCTACAATACTCACTTGACTGGTGGATATACTGCAGTATATGCTGTGTCTCTTCGTCGTCTTTATCCATGAGTTTCACTTTGCAGTCTAAAGCGCGGTAAATGTAGTCCAGAGGATTTATCTCTGAAAAAGACAATTTCCATTGACTTGTAATCGCTTTGATTCACAATACGTTTCACCAAATGCCGCCTAGTAATTATTTCTTACTAAATGGAGCACAGTCTAAACTTGCTCCTTTTGCATCTCTGGACAAAACATTTCTGGACAAAAATATCAACGCAAAATAGTGTTATCAATCATGGTCCTGACCAACTTGGAATAACAAAATGTGCTAAGCAAACAACTACCTGAAATATATCCACAAATATCATCGCATTACATTTTAATTGGTAATCTCTTTTTTGCCGGAGTATCTCCATACGTCGCACTACTTATTTTTGAAACTTCTCTTCATAATCAAGAGTAGGGGTGAATAGGAAAGAACCGTGCATTCAGATATTACTGCGCTTGAACCAGTTTCAGACACTAACAGGAACAGTTAACATAAACAAACCATGTTTTCTGTATGTCGCCCCCAAGAGGATCCTGTTGACCATTTCTAGTTCCAACAGACTGTAGAGTTTATTTTTGTGCTCTTCGACCTCCGTAGCTCGCACAATGGGCCTCATGACGTCATGTGCAAAGTTCTCGTGAGGAATAACACAGTAGTATTCGTTACTCAGTTCATACATCTGTAATAATATTGGGCAACGAAAATAAAACGGATTGTTTAGAATTAATCAAATTTTAAAATATTAATTTTCGTGAAATTGAAACTGTTTACATCTTATATTGGTATTAAAAAAAAGTTAAGAATGATACTATCAAACTCAAAAAGGACATATATTATTCGTCGGTCGAACGAAGATGCCAGCAATACAAAGATCAAGCTTGAATCCATAATGTAATTACTTTTAGTTTTCAACATTTCAACTTTGACCTTCAATTGCTGGCATTTTAGAGGGTGTGTCAAAAAAAGCGGAACCCAAACTCCCAAAAATTAGATTTCATATTTAACAAAAATATGTAGCACCAAACATAAGAATGACTGGAAAGCCAATTTCATTAGCTACTTTCAGATGAAAAAAAAAAAAATTGCTCGTTCCGTTAAAAACATATGACCATTTAAACACAATGACACTAAAACCTCTTTCGTCCAAAAATGCGATTTCAAGAATCGTCGTCACAATTGTCTTCAAACATCACCAGCAATAAAACCTCAGTATAAAAATTTAACATATTCAACATCGACGTTTTGAAGGCCCGTCTTTTTTAAACAAAAAGTGCATTGTATAAATCATTTTAATTGCCTAACCAGGGTTGTTAATAAAGATATTGTGCACTACAGTTGTTGAAACAAGTATTCTGTGTCATTTTTGTTGATGTTCCAAGTAGTCAGAGTACAATGTATACACTAAACTTATTATTATTGGACGGAACAGGTTTTAGGGTTATTGCGTTTAAATTGTGATATTCTTTGAACGGAATGAGCAAGTACAGTTATTCATTTAAAAGTAGCTTACGAAATTGGCTTTCCGGTCATCATTATGTCTGGTGGTACATATTTTTTTCAAAATATGAAATATAATAATTATGTTTAGGGGTTTGGGTTCCGCTGTTTTGACTCACCCTGTATATGGCTTTCCGGTTTGATGACTTATTGATGACTTATTCTTTACTTTTCAATACCAATAACACTACTGCAAATCCGTGATAATCTACCGTTAATCAGTACAAACTACAAGGAAATTAAAAGTAACAACCTCTAGGCAAAGAAAAGGATGGAAATTATAACAAATGACGTTCTTTATTTCAAACATCCAAAATTACAATTGCTATGAAACCGACCTTTTCACAGGACGCCAGATATGTTGCCTCTTCTCCCTTAGACTCAGAACTCTTTTTAATCACTTCACTGCGCAGGGATAAACGAAATAGCAGAGTTAAATGTCTGAACATTTGCTATTATTTCAAAAACGTGATCTGTGAATTTTTATGTTTTTGGATATCAAATTAAAGCTAAAAGTTTTGTCTTTCAACTACATGTACCGGAAAAATCATGAAAACAGCACATTGAGTTACTGAGAAAATGTCAATAATGTAAAAGAAGTGATTTTTTTCATCCTTTCCAATGGTGCTTCAAACATTGTAACATTCATTTTTAATGTCTTCTTTATTTGTGCACCTTCCTCGACATTAACGAGTGGTTCATGTCTCAGTAATAATTGAAGTCAGAGCCGAAGATTCTGAGTAATTTACCCGAGTTTGTCCAAGATATCAATGGCCTTTTGCAGCACTTCTCTCGACATATGGCTGAAATTCATGATGGAAGCGTCTACCCCTGTTTCCCCAAGAGCCATTTTCAGAGCCTGAGGCTTAGTCTAAGAAAAAGTGTTTCAAAACATGATCATTATATCAATTATAAATGAACAACACGTATATGATGGTATATCATTATGGTTTGCGGAAACACCATGTGGGAATAATTTCTCAAACTAAGAGAATGGTTTTGAAAAGAACAAGAGGTATAAAATCGACGTTCCGGTCAGTATGCTCAGAGAGTCTCCTGAAGACGGTCAGAGCATACTGACCGGAACGTCGAGTTTATACCTACGGTTCTCTTCAAAAGCAATCTCTTAGTTTGAAAAATAATTATTCCTACATGGTGTTTCCGCAAACCTTTCATTCATCAGTTATATCTACCATGCAAAGCCTCATATTGTACTCATCATTAGAATGTCACCACTGTGTCAACAATTTTAGTACTATTATTACGCTTTGACATTTTCAGTAATGAATACTGAATGCGACAATGATGTTTTACATAAATGTTAAATGATGTGAAACACTTGGCTTCTTATTAAACCATATTAGCCACAAGCTATCCTTTGTTTTAGCGGTAGTTGTTGATATGATTCGAGTTATCACCATCGTGATTGTGAAAGTCGTCCTTCCCATTTGACTACAGATTTCATCACCCAAAATACTCACCATCTCATGCATAACGTTCTGTACACTTTTGGGTAGTTCGGACGGTACCGATGACTCCAAATCAAACTGAAATTCCTTGATTGCTTCGTTCCTTTTCGCCCTCCATGGGTCGATTTCAACCAGCATGTACTTCTTGGGCTTCTTCTCAAAGCTGAGTGGTTTGAGGGGAAAAAAGAGGTTGGTTAAAACGTCATTTTTGATAAACTAAATCTGGATAACATCATGTGGATGCTGCTGCAAATACACAAGAAATACTGACAGAGAAATAAGAATTACTAACCCGTCCAGGTTTTTGCCCTAAATGTCATATTTCTAAATACGTTGCCACGGGCCTAAATGATGAAATCTGTTTTTTATAACAATGCTGCTGGAATACTCACCTTTTGACATTTTCCCAGTCGTTTCCACTCTTTGCCTTGAAGATCTTCTTGAATTCAGAGATGGCATCTTCCTTCGGGAGGGGTGTCTTTTGGAATTGGCCATCATCGCCAATGCGGCCCCAACGTGTGAACAACACAATCATGTCCTTACCTAACTGATGGATCAACTAAGAATTGATCGAAGATAGAAATTGTAAAAGAAAGAAATGGTCAGAAATTAAATAAGGTACCACTTGAAAAACACCGATATTGTATGCTTGAGCATGATGGAGAAAGCAAAACAAGCCAAATGAAAAGAAATACGGGATAAATCTGGAATTTTTTTCCTGAGGGAAACCAACGGTTTTAACAACGGAATCTGGCTCTTTACTGATAGAACCACTTTCTCTGCGCAATTTCTTCACAATGCTGTGGTCGAGAAGTTCACGATTTTTGTAGCTTGAATAGACAATGTGACACAATTGTTTGAGAGTTCTAGGGCATTGTGTCCTATCCTTTAAGTCCAAAATATGAGGGAAAAATTATCCGGTTGTGTGACTTTTCGAGGATAACTTTTTATTTAACATTTTAAAATAACGGCCAAACTCCAAAGTGTTGTGATTGGCACCTATTTTATATCAGCGTCCCTTTTTTGGTTCCACTATCACCACCTTTGCCCCCCTTCCACTAGAACTACAACTATTTCAACTGCTACTTAATGTTTGCCCTTCTTCCGTTTTCTATAAACAATAAAGTGTGACCTCAACCTCAGCAGGCATAATTATCTTGCTTTTTTCCAGATAAAATATTTTTGTCTCATATTGCCAACTGGTACAACACGCTAGTTTTGAAGCGTATTTTTTTAAGCACAGCAGTTTGACGTTGTGTGGGTCGAATTTGGTATTGAGTTGTATACTTTGTAGAAATGTGATCCATTTAAAATAAAGGAAATGATCCAGGAACTCATATGGGTCCCCAGGGTTAATGAATAAACGATTTTGTTAGTATTCTGAACTATTCAGAACCAGACAAAAATTCTCACCTGCATCCTGTAGAAGTTGTTCAAGCCATATCTTCCATACTGCACTTCAACTATTGTCATGATAATGTCGTATCCAATGTTTTGCTCCTCGTCCATTAGCACGACCCTGTAATCCGAAAGATAACTGTAAGGCTCCAAATAATGTGCATGCTGAACCAGATCATGCACAGATAATGGTTCCATCGATCATGAATTTAACATACGTACCGGTTTCATGAGAAAAACTTTGCTCACAATGAACATAGACATAAAACAAAATACCCTGAAATGGTATCGAGTTCGGAAGCAAACAATCATACATGGTGGTTTTAAATTGCGTACGTCAGCTACGGAATCCACTCGCGAGACCCCAAGAACTTGTGCGTGCTTTCTCCGTTTTCTCAAAATGTAAAGTAGCAAATGAGCTAAAAGTCCAAAAGTTAGTTGTCAAGCACCTTACTTCAGATTTTAAGGAATTTTGTTGCTTGAAACGCAAAAAAAGCAAAAAACTAAAAAAAAGCAAATGATTCCTTTAAAATAGAAAACGTGTTCCACAGGGTGGTATAAGTTTTAAGAATGCTTTCACATTTTTTACTTGGAAAAATGACTTTGTTAGTTTTACACCAAAAGATTGTATAGCCTTTGTTTCCCATTTTTCCTCGATATCGAAAAATGCTTGCAAATTTTAATCACATGTTGAGCCAATTAGGCCATTTGTCTTCATTTTGGACCTTCAGTTTAAATTTAATTTGTTCGTAACTTACCCTGCATCAGCCATATCCGAGTGTTTATCAACTGTGGGTTTAAGGTCCTCATCCTGTATTGTCTTGCTACGCTCTGCTTCCAGGATTTCAACCATAGCCTTGGCGTCATTGTCAACATTGGGTTTGGGTGAGGGGAAGTCTATACCATCCGACCACTCAGGGCTCGCAGGCTTAGGACGAACCTATTAAATATCAAGAACGATGTCACATTTTGTCAAGAACAGTTGAGAATCATGGCAAGAAATGTTTCTTATTACAAAAGACACATATCACTTTAAATTTAAATTGTTGTACGTCAAAGCATTCTTAGCGAGGTTGATTTTAAGATATAGATTTGACTAAACTGTCTTTATCCTTCCAAAGCAGATTTGGAATTATTGGAGATTCTTCGTTCCTCGTTGACAACACTGAAAACCGGAATGTCTATCTGGAATCAACTGTCCTCGCTTTTAGTCACTAACCTTTTTGTGTGGCTTAACCCGAATCAGTTTCTGTAGAGCAGCGGCCATCTTTTGTGAACCAGTCTCCATTGAGTAGTCCAGCGGTGTCTTGCCTTGATGATCTCGCTCAGACAACTTGGCACCAACTCCTGCTAACAATTCTAACATCTCTACGTTCTCGTAGGTGCCATAATCACAGGTCTTCATCAGGTAGTGAACTGCAGTCCGGCCCTGCGAGTCAACAGCGTTTAAGTTGATGCTGCTGGTCTTTTTACACTTCGGAACTGTAAAATATAAATGATAACATCAAACTTGTAGGTATCATCATGCACACCACGAACTGTCCGCTGGACTTAGTGTAAGTCGCAGGTAGCATCCTCACCCTAATTATGTGAAACTGTGTGCATGTACTTACATTTACACTGCTCTGGACTGCCTTCCAATTCGTAGCCTTCATCAATAGTGAATGTAGCTTGGCGGGAGCACGAGCCAGACTCTGCCACGGTTGAAATAGAAATGCATAAGAATTACATGAATTGTCACTCAGGGGTGGTTGTAAGTGCCTTGCATTATACAATGTGTAACATTGAGTAAGCAGTAGATAACATTTCAGCCTATCAATACAATTCTACGGCTGCCTACTTTTTTGCTTCCAAATGTTTGATATCCAAGGTGACACCTGTTGCACAGCGGCACTTGTCCTTTTTATTCCTGGGATCAGGGGTTCCGCATAATTCTTATTCATCAGAACACTCACAACGGCAATTTCATTCTGAAGAAGAAAAAAAATGTGTACATCATCTAAATTTTGTAGTTAATAGACAAATCTAAATGTAATCAAAGCGACTGTGGATGCATCAAGAGACATCATTGGTAAATGATAATAAATACTGGATTTTTTTTAATAAGGGTATTTTCATCACTGGTTACCTGCAAGACAGCATGCATGAGTGGTGTGACCCCATTCCTATCTGTCGCGTTGGGATTGGCACCATTCTTCAGCAGCAGTTGACAACCAGCGAAGTTATTCATGAGAACCATGAGGATCAGCGGTGTGACGTCAATCGTCTTCTCTTCTGGCAGATTGTGGTACCAATCCTGCAGGGATTCTAAGCGTAGTTGTTGCTTCATACTGAGGAGGCTCACATTGGGGAAGGCTGTGCACACGTCTAGGCTCCCATTATGTTTTCGAATCAGTCTGGAATGCGAATGGAAAAAAGTTGTTTAAAGAAGACATATTCTTCTATTTTTATGACATAAGTAATTATGTTTCCCCCTTTGTAACAAAGCTGTGTGCGTGCATCTTCTAAACATCAAAAGTGGTTTAAAAAAAAAACACCCTGTTTGGTTCGCGCACGTAGCCCATAGAAGGCCTACTACCAAGATTATATGAACTCTAAGAAAAATATTTTTTGTATATGATAAACTACCGGCATAACAACGAGTTCTACCTACTCAACAATTTCTTTGGTACTGTTGTACGATAAGCTCCAGAACAGCGAGGCCACTGGTACCCTGCCTCTGTTGTCAGCACACGTGATACAACTCTTGAATCCGATTGGATCTTCCTCTACCGAAGAAATCAATACAAGCACTTCAGATAAACGTTTCAGTTCGAAGAAACGGATAAAGTCTTTTTACGGATACCTGACAACAAAGTAAGTTGTTTTTTTTTAAAGTGGCTTTATAAGACCCATTGCAACTCAACATACCCAGTGTTGTGTACGACTAGGAAGACTAAATACCTGGGTGGTAATGGCGGTCGGTCGAATACATTCATCCATCGAATTTGCATTATCTTACCCAAAACGTGGAGGGGAATTGTAATCACTGTTTACCATCAGTAACTTACCCGCGAAGGCACTGCAAACCACCGCGTTCATGTTGACTGCAGCATAGTGTAATGGCGTGCATCCCTTGTAGTCTGTTACGAACAGTTTGACGCCATTGTGGAGCAGCGTTATGGCAATCTAGACTCGACATAAGCAAGTGTAGACAGAATTCAAGACGTATGTACTCAAGATCTCTTCTGAAAATTTCAAAAGGTCAGGGGTATGTTTCAGACCTTTGTGCTGCGCATATGTTGTACTTTTGTGATAATCACGCTAGCTCACTTGCTTCTCTACTCATGATGGAAACCTAACATTAACTGTGGAGAATTCGTGACACTAGCCATGAAAACAATGTGAAATTGACTCGAATCACATCGAGGTGTGGGAAAAAAATGCGTACGTTTTAGGTTCGAGATGGAAACGTTAAGTAGGTGAAAAGGACTCATTTCATGATTCTGGCAGCTCAAGACTAAGTTACATTGGAGTGTTCCTTAACGAGTACCGCAACGGGGAGATTTTTTACAACACCTGCCGCTGAAGGTGGCTTCCACCCTCTGCATGGATGGCCAGGAGATGCAGAAGGTTCTGACCCTTGTCGTTCGTTGTCAGCAAATTGCGTGGATTACGTAGTTTACGAATCATTTCATTAGCCAGTTGGAACTTCTGTTGTGCAAGAACAGCCTGTGCGAATACCAGAATAGCACATACGGAGACAACATTAGGCCTATATTTATTTACCTAACAAAACAAATACAATCGGAAATGTCATTTAAGATGGATGACAGATTTATTACAAACAGTAATGTCCTTGTCACTGTGGACAATATACATTGTAGATCTATTTCTAGATATGGATCACTTTAGGAGAGAAGTGAACTCTTCTTTGATCGTACTTTTCACATGCCTACTGACAGACCTCCAGATTGTTTTACTTTAAGAGAGCATTTATTTTGAGCAACATTTACATAACTGCACAAAGTATCTTTTCATTAGAATTAAGCAACTGGTTTGATACGTTTTTAATAAACTCCCACGGAAATCAAATGTTATCGTGAGATAAAAAAACACCAAACAGGAAGCATTACCCGGATGGCATCTGCGTAAGAGATACCACAGTTGGCGATGCAATCCATCAGAACATACACAGCTCCCTGCCATTCCTCATACACCACCGCCTGGAAGAATGAGGTCTGTGCCTGCGGATCTGGGGCGTCAGGGGTTTCTAGAGCCTTCCATTTCCAGTATTGGGGTTCTTCTGATGATGGCGATGATGATGATGATTGGGTTGGCTCCACACTCTGATCGTTGGCACTGCTTTCCAAACCAACCAGCTTCACTTCCCGATTGATGTTGGCGCCTCGTTGGATCAACCATATCACCATGCTGAAGGCAGGATGGACGGGAAAAGAAGGAGATGGAGCTCAAAGTCATTTGCAATGATATTCGTTTCTACTCAACAGAAGTAAGTATTTTTGCTGACGAAAGCTTGGTAAGGCATAAGAAAGCTTCTTTACCCTTTTCAATACCGTATGTCGTTTTGTTCATTGCTTGATAAAGGGAAATGTGTGTTACTGTAGTACATACGTTATGCAGGTATGGCATTTAAACACGTAAAGGGGCTGATAACGTTTGTAATTATAATCACAACTATTTTCCATTCAGCAGTTTAATGTACCTCCAGATATAGTATATATTTTAAATCAGATATATAATTATTAGCACTGGCCTGGTTACCTTTCTTGTCTGTTAAGAATGGCCAAGGATAGCGGTGTGTGTCCATCTTGATCCTCAACATCAATATCATTAATCCTCTATACAAATTTAAAAGGAGACAAAATCCAGTCGCCGAATCGTTAGCAAAACTTCTCACAAAATAGAAACTTCCAATATATATTACTTGAATAACAACACTGGTTATGATAGGCCACCGTACTGCTCGGTGATTGCATTTACACATAAACCAAAAGTCCTGAGTTGATTCCTTGTATAATATTCAGCATTTTTTTAATTATAAATATATGGTGTGTTAACTCTTCGGCTTTTCGTTTCCGATGATATACCTCCAAATTATAGCCACCATGTAGGATTAAGCAGCAGAAAATATCTGCTGTAAATTGGATAGACATTAATGTGCATATTGAGTATTTTGCATTGTGTGTATTTGGTATTCAATAGCCCAACTCACCCCGGCGATGTGCATAGCCGAGATCATGGCACCTCTATAGGCGGCATAATGCATCGGTGTGCGGCCATACTTGTCCTGGATATTAAGCTTTTTACCCTCCATAGCGGAAGCCAGCAATGACACAGTTTCAATGGGATCCAGATGGGACTCGTTGTTAAACTGACCACCACGGAGCGGGCTATTCTCACCAAATGAGCTGCAAGAAACACAGAATTAACAAGCGATACCCCAATGTTGTATCTTTCTGGTTCCAATGGTTCTCAATGCTACTTTATGTGCAGTGGGCATGGTTTAAGGTGAAGTGACGTCGCACTAACGAACCGTTACCGGCACGAATACACAGAGTCACACGCGCAGGGCAAAACCGCATGCGCAGTAGCTAGAGTATCACACCGACTACCCGCGATGCCCGCGCGACACTCTGCTGCGCTTGCGTACTGGTGTAAAAACAAAGAAAATGTACAGCAATGTTTTGCCCACAAAAAGTGCGCGTAACTCGACGTAACTCTTTGGTGAATAATTTAACAAGTATCCTTATTACCTGTTTTGGCCTCGGAACTAGTTTTTAACGTCCAAAACCTCTGGGAGCTATATAGTTTCGACTGTTCACCCTCAAACCATGTAATATTTGTAAACAGACTCATCTATCAGACCTGAACACTTTCGAATGAAATTGCTTGATAAACCTACAATTTAATAATTAATGAAAAGGGAATTAATTGTAAAATGATGAAACTTTTGGGGACAACAGAAACCCGTTTGGAACATTATGCATTCTGCGGGACGATCTTTAACGGAAATCCAAATCTTAAACCAAGGGTATCAAGGGTTTGCTTCAAATAACATACTTGTATTTGTAAATCGCGTAATGAACTGGCAACCTGCCGAAGTTATCCACAGCAAAGACATCCAACTTGTGGTCCAGAAGGAACTCCAGAAACTCCGTGGTCACGTGTGATTCAATCGCGTTGAACGCGTTGTGCAAGACCGTCCTGTTCTCATCGTCAACGGCGGACAGAGAAGCTCCGGCCGCAACTAGCTCTTTGGCTGTACGGAGCTTGGCATCAAGATTCTCTGTAAAGAGGAACACATGGATAAACCATAATTTGACGACGAAACTATAATATGCTAGGTAAGGTATCCCAATCAACCAGGGATGGATTAAGGTTGAGGGAGGCCCAGGGCACGGTCTAAGGCTCAACGGGACGAACCTGTGTTCACAGGAACAGAGTGGTCCAGGCCTTTTAAGCGATGTAGGCCAGGCTCGATGGAATGTTGTTGCTGTGGGGGGATCACCACACCTCCTCCACAGCGAGTCCGTTACCCTCCTAGCATGCACTGAATAATGCCGGCATACCCATTTAACACCTGGATTGAGAGGAGTAATTGAGGTAAAGCGCCTTACTCAAGGGCACTTGTGGGAGGCATGTGGGAGTCCACATGTAGGACTTCCTCTGGATTTCCTCACGAAGTGTCGCTCGCACCTCTTTAATGATAAGCCTAAAATTCACCCAGTTTAATATTGGTATTATTATTTCTATACGACTTTTTATGTTTAGAGATTTGAGGTCCGAAATTCGTAGAGGTAGTCTCCGGAAATTGGGGTTGCCTATCGTGGCGTACTTTAAGCCAAGAGCATCCCAATCATTAATTTCTTTAAGGTAAAGTTTCTCTACTGAAATATAAGAAATATCAATAAGAAATATTTATTTTTTTGAAACATTTAAAAGTGAAACATGACCCATGCAAATTCTTTATCATAGTGGTATTGCGCTGTTTATTGTTGATTGCCGTTATGGTTGTCTGATAAGATATAGCAACGTCTAGACAAATCAAACGCATGACCGCTTATTCCTCAAAAATGCAGTCTCTCTATTTTGTCTATGCATGGATGGTGCTACACTTTTGAATTCCAAAGTCTGACTCCTGAATGCTTGGTTAATGATCTTAACTTTTTGTTTCTCTTTCTCCCATGCTTGCTTTTTGTTGGAGCGTAGTTTGGAATAAATCGACAAGAAAACTGTATATTAAAAACGACAAGATCTTCTTTATCAATTAATTTAAATACGTACTTGTGTGTCTGTGTGCCAAAACAAAATGTAGTTTAAATTAGATGTGTTGAAAGTCAGAAACCAATAAGAAGCCTTACTTCTAATTAATCCTGGTTTTGCACTTAGCCTTGTAATTGTTATGCCGTAAATTTTGACACACTTCTGCGCACCTTAATTTATATAAGTTAAAGGGATTACTTAAATGTTTTGGGGGCTTTTTGATTTTGTGACTATATTTCCGACTATTTATCCTTTTCCTGAATTATTTATTCCGCTCTTTTGCTCTACTGTAATAAGGTACCAGATGCACAGTAAAAGAATTATTCCCATTTTCTTGTCTTTGGCACACATTCAACTGCAATTGTGATTCTTTTAAGTCATTGCTGGATAAAGTTGTCGGGTGAATTCAAAAAAATTATCCCATTGGTCACTCATGTCAACATAATAGACAACGCATTCAAACTATTAGCCCCACAAGAACTTGCACTACGGTTGCAACTGATTTGAGTCTAGAATCTAAGATGAAGATTTAACGTGTCTAGTATCGAAGATGAAGATTTAACTCACTGATATAGGCGGGAATGTAATGCATGATGCCTGGTTGTTTGTTCTTGAACAACGAGCCATGGATGTTTGCCCCTTTAGCGATGAGATCTGGAATGACAGCTGGTAGGTCGTTGCTGTTGGAAGAAAAAAATATCACTGGTAAGCATATCTCATGCAGCTGTACCTCCGAAGTGCCTACAAAGTTGCGTAGCCAGGATTTTTCATGGGGGGGGGGGGGGGCAACGTTCCATGGGAGCACCAAGAGTGGATCCACAATAAAAAAAAAAAATGCCCAAAGTTTCCTGGGCCGACTGGTTGGTACCCCTCATTTGACCGTAGGTGTGTGCGCTCTTTTTCCCTTTTAAATCTCGATTGTTTTCATAAATCTGTAGGGTGAAGGGAATTAGCATCATCAAGTTAAAACTATTCACCTACATCCCCCCTTTGGTTAAGTTACTTCAAACAGACACTTCTTGGGCGAAGGGCAAATTTCGGGTTTTTTTTGTCGGGAGCACTTGTGTACGGTGTGTGTGTGTGGGGGGGGGGGGGCACTGTAAATTTGTTAAGAAACGTACTCGATCCACAGCTCCTACCCCACATCCTGGCTACGTCACAGTAACTACGGTATATGGCGAAAACGCATGATATTGGCGAGAACGCATGATATTGTGTATACTAATAAGATGCTTAAGACCTACCACACAGCCCGCAGAAGGGAAAAATGTTCAAACTCGTCCGAGGAATTAGGGTCTGCTCCCTCCGACAACTGTAAGCAATGACAATTCACAAGGTGATCAGCAATTTTAATGTTGAGTCGTTTAGTTTATTTATGTATATGAATCACACAGAACTATCGTTTTTCTCATGACTCACATAAAAGATTTATCGGTCACAGAAAATTTGAAGGGAAAAAAACTAAACAAATGTAATGAACTTCTTCAATTTGATTACATTTTTAAAACGATTTAATGGTTTCAATTCAAATTGAAAAGCATGCCTTTTTGCCGTAGTTGTTCTAAAACAAGAATTTGTAGGAATTAAAAAGACAGATTTCCCGCCCGTTACTTGAGAATTGAAAGATTCGCGTCCCAAGCTCATAAAAAATATCTTCTTTTCTTTCTTCCAACAAATTGGAATATTTGTGTTTTGGTTAACAAGATTTGGTTCAAAGAAATAACCCTACTTTTTCCGATTTTGGGCGTCTGCAGCCCTCCGAGAAAAAGGTCTTTCATTAAGCCTGTGAACAAATGAACCCGCCCTCAACGGCATGCTGGAACACATACCAGTGTGTGAACATTTTGGGTTTGTTTTGCGTCTATGGCCATTATCAGCGGTGTTTTGCCATCAGCATTTAACACATCCAGTGCGGGTTTCATTCCAATGACCTTGGTCCAGACACGACCTGGTGGTTGAGCGGCAAGGAAGTGCAGAGCACAGGAGCCAGCGTGATCATCTGAAAGAAGAGGATGGAAACTATATGACACTTACCTGTGCACCCACGCACCCACCCACTAACACACCCCGACTTACGTTACATACCTTGTGTGGACATTGCTTTGTTTTCGTGTAGTTAAGAAAACTAGGTACAAAAAATAACTTTACTTAAACTGTGAAAACTCTTTTAACCCAATTTTTTTTCTATGATTCCCTATAGTGTTTCTCTTCATTCTGCTACTGATAAACCTAACCCAAAAATGCCTCTAAACCTGTTTTCCAGAAAGGGCAAAACCTTATGTGGACACGGCTTAGTCCACATAAGGTTAACACAACCTGCATTATGTGGACCTCTTTTGTTCACAAGTCCACATAGGGTATGTAACACAAACTCACCCACACACACACACACACACCCACTTTAAACAGGCTCCCCGGTCAGAATCGGAACTCAGTTCGCGTCAAAGCGACATTTTTGTTTGTGAAATGACACTATCCGGTTCACAACGGCCCGGAAAAGTTGACCCCTGAAAAGCGTCAGGTCACATTTGACGCGGATGTGGGGTTGAAACTGACCCCAGACTTCTCAGAGTGAGAACACAAGAAAGTCTTCCCATACTCAAGTGCGGATCAAGAACATATTTTTTTTTCGGAGGGGGGGGGGTCCCAAAAAATGTTTGCCCACAAAAAGTGGGTCCAAAAATTAACGCTGTCGAGTTGCGGGCCCGCTTATGCTTAAAGGCCCCGAAATGATTTTGGATCCTAGATAATCTGTGGTGCGATCTGAGGCAATTTCTGACCACTTTAACCAATATCTGTTAGGAAAAGATGGTGGTGAACGCAGTGGCTGCCTTTTTTGCGACGTCACTTTTAAACAAAAAGAAATGGATTCGATTTCTTTTTATTCATTTTTATTTATATATATTTGGGGGGGGGGGGGAAGGGGGGGTATGCCCTCCCCCTGGATCCGCCTTTGCCCGTACCAATGCATCTAGGCTTGCTGAGTTTGCATCATTGAGATGACTACAAAAGGCTCGGGAAAAAGAGAAACCATTCTCTCAAGCAATTCATCCTTAGACAATTAATGAGGCCATACAACCTTTAATATAAAGTTACATTTGTTGAACACACCGTTGTCATTTGCGCATGCAGTTGTCGGTTGGGTGCTAGTTTGACTGATTGCAAGTCAAATCGGAATACTGTTTTAAAGAGTGTACGTACATCATTCGATCAGCTATGGATCCTATGTTTACCATTATAATAACCTAATAACACTCTGAACCCGAGGCAGATTTGATGTGAATCCGGGATATTTGGATCTTATAGTTTTCAGAGTCAAATGACATTTTTCCGAGTCAAAAATATCATTTTTGCCAATTGGTTTGTGGCTCAATATGACCAGGAAAATGATCAAGAGAAGTACCAATTTGACCAGGTAAATTGTCGTTGTGACTCTGAGGAGTAGGCCTCTCAGTTCAAACCTCACCTGGACGTTTTAAGATCCTAGTCGGCTAGTTCTGTCGACTTTGTAGCTGTGGAATTATTTCGCAAATCTACCAATATCAATTCAACTTACTCGGAGCTGTGTCAGAACCACCATCAACACGAGCATCGATGTCTGATATGTCAGCCAGTGCCTACGAGGATCGAAAAGTTATCATTCAGACACAGTTAGACGAATCTTTGTTCTCTCTTCAAGAGATCGTCCAATATGATTTCGAGGGAATGTCTTAAAAAAATGTTTTCTCCAAAACACGCCCATCCACGCAAACGACAGTAAGTTTTTTTTTGATATATACCAGCTGTGCCCACAGACCATTAATATTCAGCCCACTGGTGTGAATGATACTGGAATATTTGTCCAATTAACCACTTTGCTTCAATAAAAAAGGCAAATAACTAATGCTTTTACATGATGTGTTTTACAGATAGTTATTTGATCGCACAACATGAAAAGTGTCGACTTGCCAACTGCAGAAATATTGTCTCTAAATTACAAAGAGTGAAAATTCACTCCATTCGAGTGAAGATTCAAGATTTTTTAGAGTTAAATTTCTTCAATCGTAAAGATCGAGTTTTCACTCGAGCTTTGTTTGAGGTGGTTTTTTTTCAGACTATTTCAATCAAACATGCGAGTGATTTTCACTCTAAAACGTCTAGTCCCTATTTTCACTCTTGAGAATTTAGATAGTTAGTCTGGTATACAGGCTGTCCCAAAAATGTCCCTCTAAAGGGTGAATCAGAATTCTTATATTTTATGAAAATTCTCAAATTCAATTATAGAATTGATGAGCCCAAACATTTTTGCAGTACATTCGCACTACCAACAGCAACAATGTAACATTGTGACGAGAATGATTATCAGTTACTTGCGCTCAAAATTTCACTACAAGAAACTTCAAATCCACAACGAGGCACGAATTCTTCTTTACCTCAAGTGTGGCAACCACATGATCCGTTGTGAAATTCTGTAAAAAAAAGAAAAGAAAAAAAACCCCACACATTAAATATTAAAGAATAAGAGATTGTTGATTGAATTCCATAACGATCTGTACCGTACCTATTACTGATGACTTATGCACCTGTTGTTTGTTATTGTTTATTCGAAGATTACGATTACATTTGCAAGGAACAGATGGAGAGATAACTAATTGTACATTTCCCAAAACAATCATCCTGAAACAGCTTCGCAGTTCTCATAGTTTATAACATAAATTCTCTCACGAGCACAACAATTACTACTAAAGATTATAACGGAAAGAATCTGCGTCTTACGCCTCTGTTATCTACGATGCATCTGAGGAATGGTGTGCATCCTTGCCGGTCTTTCATCTTGACAGCTTCCTCCAATTTTACAGCCTTTGCCTGGAAACAGATGATGTCAGCGGAAAATGAAATAGAATTTTTGATGAAATGCTCAAAGAGGGAAATGGAATGTGCATGTGCTATCAGCATAGACATGCCTGCTCAGGCAACACTAGATCTTGTCGGCGTTTCTTAGCCTATACGTTTTCCTCCATCTTTAATAGTTTTGCCCCATCTCCATCATTATATTCGAAACGGAGACATCAGTGTAAAACAATGAATTCGATTACCATCAGAACGCAGACAATGATTTTGTTCGCCTGACAAGACTTTCATCAGCAGCAAGGTATTGGGACAGCAAAACACTCTATCAAAACGATGTCTACTCTGGGAGTACATGTATTCAGACCTTTTGTATCGTTGTCCCTCTACATATAGGTAGCCAAGCCCTAAGATGTCAGGCTTTTCATGTACAAGACAGCTATTGCAGTGTGTCTTTGCAACGACCACATTTGAGTCTTTCGGCAAACTCGGAGCACGTTATGCTTATTTCAGCTGATTAGCGTAGGTCTTATTGCGTCAAGCGTTTATTTTAGAGATTAATCATATCAGTTAGGTTCTTGGTATCGGCTTCTCCTTTGGCTGTATAGATAAACTATACTAAATTGATATTGTCGAGCAATGGAATACTATTCTGGTGACTTACCATGCCGGCAAGTAGCTTTATAATAGAAACCCGCGACTGGCTACAGTTTTTAGCTATGTGGTGTAACGGGTTGTCACCAGTCTTGTCCGCATCCAATGGCACCACTGCATCATTGACCAGGAAAGCCTTCACGTATTCAAAGTGACCCTATTGCCAAGATGAGAGTAAATTTAATCATGCCGAATGTTACATCACCAAATTGTGGGTCTTCCGTCCTGTTGAGGCACATAAAAAAACACCTGAACTCTAGTGTTTGAACATATCTAAATTATGTAAAATCAAGTCTCGTACAGTAAGAAAGAACATGTCACTTTCAACAGCATTTTCTTTCAAGCCCGTCCTGTTGAGGCACATAAAAAAACACCTGAACTCTAGTGTTTGAACATATCTAAATTATGTAAAATCAAGTCTCGTACAGTAAGAAAGAACATGTCACTTTCAACAGCATTTTCTTTCAAGCCCTCTGCGAAAACAAGTTCGCGAAGGCCCCTGATGGTTTTCTTTTTAGCAATACCCCATAATTTACTTCCTGTTAATGTAAAAACCGCAACAGCGACATATCCACAATTTACACTAGGTCCATGAAGTAATTACTTTTTTCTTTTAATTTAAAGTGAAATATAGTCTGAAGTAAGGAAATTAACTCACATTTTGCAAGGCAATGGATATAGGCGTTTTTCCCTCGTTGTCTTTGTGTGCAGGGTCGCAGCCTTTGCCAATTAACAGCGCTACCACTTTAAGAGCTACCACTTTAAGAGCTAATTGAAGAGGATTAGGCTAGAATGGTTGAAAATCAAAGAGCGTTTCTTGAATTATGTACACCGTCTGGAATGCACGAAGTAAACAATTATTTCAAACATTCAGGAAAGCAAACGTAGGTTTGAACTGTACTACTCAGAGCAAATGTTGGTTTGAATTAATCACTTATTTTCAATTTGTAACGTGCGTAGCCAATCGGTTTCCCTAGCCCTGCCGGGTCTAATGACGTCAGCACCTGCGGTTGAATTCCACAGCTCCAGGGATGCTTCTAGTTGAGCCCTTCTGTATCTAGTGGTAGTGTGGATTACTTGTGGTTTGATTTGGGGGTGGGGTGGATTGGGTGGATCACGGTGGAATGAGGTGGATTCGGGTGGATTTGGGTGGATCATCAGTGGATTGGGCGGATCACGGGTGGATTTAATGTGAATCACTGTGGACCACACCCTTTTACCAGGTGTAATTAATTAGACAATCAAAAAAAAATTAAGCACAGGAGATTGGTCGGACTTCTTTGGCTCCACCTGATCAAGAAGTAAGTTTTATTCTCATTAGCTCTGCCTATTCAAGGCCAACATCCCTATAGTCTTGTACACATAGTGCTGAACTCAATACAAGAGGATTTGACCAATCAGATATCAGTAGGTGACTAAAGACACGCCCACTTAACAGTGCTATTGGCTCATACAGTTGAGACCAGGGAGACTAATATAAAATGCGTTGTTTGTGATTTGTCACACTATCAAGAGGCTTCCCACGAACTACATATGAGCGTTTCCAATGTGATTTTTTTCTCATAAAAATAACCTACATAACATGTCTCACCTGCGCCCGCAGTTGTGCAGACTGCTGGTTGCCAATCGCAACGAAATGGAGCTGGAAAAGGTAAATTTGAACAGAGAGTTAAACACTCAACACTGGAAAATTATTATTTTTGTACCACTACCCAAACTGTCCTCTTTGTATTGTCATTATTAATGAACGAGTTCTTTCCATTATAAGGGCACACAATCATTAAACAACTCATCAAAAAAAGTCCGTTGACACTTGTGATTATTCACCCATTCAGACCTCAAATCAACAAAGTGTCACTAGTTAGTAGGATTTTATGTGTATGGTTGGATCCAATGTTTCATTGAGAACACCTATCGCAAGAGTCGGTCATAATCACACGTGATACTGATAAATATAATACATATTCTGTTGTTGACTTAAAAGAAACCAAATAATATAAATCTGCAGGACTTGAGATTATTGACCACAATAGCTCAATATGTAATAACACATCTTCTCGCTAAAGGCTTTTCATACGAGATTATCATCTATGCATATATACACTTCCCGAGCCACACTTACTGCATTTTTGCCATTAATATCCACCGCGTGCACATCGGCCCCTTTCGTAATCAGATACTTCAACAGGTCCACTGTGCTTTGACTCAGGGGTTTGTCACAAGTCGTCAGCAGTAGGGTGGCGCCATTGTCATCTCTGAAGTTTACATCCACGCCCGGCTCCTTAAGTAGAAGGTCAGCACATCCAAGATGACCCTTCAGATAGGCTAGACCTAGTGGGGGAACCTAGAAATAAATACCAAGATTTCTGTTATTGACAATATTTGAAAATAAGACCAATTTGAATGAGGGTTAGACAACGAAGTGATGTTTTGGCATTTGCGCTGTCAAAAACAATGTCTTAAAATCATGTCTCCTACTCAAATCAGTGCTATCAGTGTAAATCAATGCGATTCAGACCACTACTCCGAGAATAGATGTTTAAAATTTTGGGCCCTAGGTCAGTGTTACACTTGGATCAAAGCTTAAAATTCCTTGTCTAAAAGGGTTAAAAGGAACACTGAGACCTTCCAGTCGGTGAGGATGTTTGGGTCCCCGCCAGCTTTGAGCAGTAGTTTGAGGCAATGCCACCAGCCATAAGCAGCAGCATAGTGAACGGGACTGTTTCCTGACGAGTCCTTGGCGTTAGGGTTAGCTCCTTTCCTTAGGAGTAGAGTAGCTACTGGATAGTGGCCGTTTATGCAGGCTAGCATCAGAGATGTACGCTTGATCTTATCTGTAAGATGATTTAAACCCACCTTGTTGTTATTTTAAGCAACAGTGAAGCCCAGGAGACATGAAACACACACAAGAATACATTTTAAGGGAACACACCAAATTAGTTAACCAGGGAAAGCTTTCCTTTCATCACCTTTTTTCTCGATTTCAGCTCCTAACTTCTCAATGAGGACCTTTGCCAGTCGGAAGTAGCCCCTCTCTGAGGCAATCATGAGCGGTGTGATCTTGTTGTTGAGAGCCGACTCCATTGCCTCAACTGAAGCTCCATGCTTGACCAAGCTCAAAACACAATCCTATCAATTCATAAATAAAAAAGGCATGCCATCAAGACATTACGCCATTTTGACGAGCAAACGATTGTATGGTCAAACTCAAAAGAAACTTGCACATTTTGATGTACAGGTGTATATAATTGGTTCAAGGAATAACCAGCGTGACATTGCACTTATAACAATAGCTACATACATAACAAGATGCAATTATCATCTACAGGGTTGTGCAAAAAGAAGGAAACCAACTTTTCACAGAAATTTTTACCTACATACTTAACTTGTTTGAACTGTTTTTGCTATGCATGTATAATGTTGTGAACAATAGCTCTTCAACCGTACATGGTGAAAAACAAATCTTTAAAAAAAGAAAAGCGTTATTATGCTCATTTAATTACAAGCCACCAAAATCACTGTTGTCCACGTGTAAGTCTAGTGTAGTGTTTTTTTTATCTTCAAATCAAGCTCCGGAGCTCCGTCAAGCGGATTGAATAAACCCGTCCGTGGACAAACAGGTTAGGCACATGCAATTTTAAACTACCTTATCTCAGAGACAAAATATGCATATGCAATAAATTGTTCGTCACTCATATTCAAAGATCGATATTTGAATGCCATTAAATGGAATTTTTGAAATATGCTCAACAAATGGGTGAAAATTGCTGTGAAAATAGGTTTCCTTCTTTTTGCACCACCCTGTATAAAATAGTACATATTGATAACGGTCAACCCCGGAAGAAACCACGTTTTTATTCATTGTATAAATTACAAACACGTTAATCACATACCACGTGTCCTCCTTCTGCTGCATAGTGGATTGCAAAATGGCCTTTATTGGTCTTCTGTTCCAACGCCATCTTTACTGAGTTTTCATCAAGGGAGGCAGCAACTACAATAACATTTTGGAATAGATACATCAACTTTTAAAAAACAAAACAGAATGAAAAGCTGCGTCTATGTTCGATGCCGACAAAATACCTCACGTTACGGTTTTGAAATACGCCCAAGCAAATTAACATGACTGACGCTGAATTCACAAACGGAGCATGCACGACTCAGGGTTGTCTTTCTTTACAAGTTGTGTGAAGTTGTAAATGAGAACAGTTTACTTTATTGAATGATTTGTGAACTTTTGATGTTCTTATTTTTTTTTTCGTTTTCGTATTGTGTACTGAATCCTAGACGCACCAGACTTTATATTCTCGATGAGTGTTTCGATGTTTTGGACTCGACCATACTTCGCTGCTATCATGAGTGGGGTCACCATCGTCTTCGGCTGCAATTCGTCAGCTTTCGAACCTCTGAAAATAAAATGATAATGATCCATAAAAGGCTCCATGCAATGATGTTTTTCTTTTGAAGATATTCTTTTTTGCAAATTTCTACTCCTCTTAAATGCTTGAACACTATTTGACATCCCTTTTCGATTAATTAGTGTATTGAAAAGTGCACTTCTTCAGACATTTGTAGTTGTCCTCTCTTTTCCGGACAACTAAGGAGGCGCTGTTGCTGTGATATCATTTCAGGAAGACACTTTTCTATTGATAGGTTTTCTGTGAAAATTGCAAACCCTACAATTTGCTTATTGAAAACATTTGTGAGAAAAGTTTGCTCATTGGCTTACTTCCATGTACTGACACAACGAATCACCAGAGCAAAGAAAATCAATACAGCAGCAAAGTGTCCAAAATTCTGGCAACTTCTGGTGCGGCAATATTGAAGTTATTGCCTGAAATGACATCACAATTTTGTTCTTGAATATGGAAACTAAAATTAGCATAAATCCCCAAAAGGTGCATTTTCAAGGATTGCATAAATGTATATAACGAGGGGCCTGTAAAGTTAATGACTGCCTGAAGATGGTGTCACTCCAACACAGATTGATAAAGCATTACACCTGTTAAAAGTACCTTAAAGAGACATTTTGTAGGCATTATTACACCTTAGGGAGACAGCATAAATTAGGGAGACATTTATGTAAATCACACAAAAACATTTCAGTTTATAACGGAATGCGATTGATACTAAAGGAGTCATTTTGTCGTCTTTAGTTAGTTATACCTTAGGGAGACACCGGACATTAACAAGACATTTCAATGCTCCTTAATGCCACAACTCCTATTTAGAGGCAACATTTTAAAGTCGCAAATAGGTTAGATCGATTGCACGAGGTCCAAAACATATGTTCAACCTTTCTTACCTTTTCAGAAGCAGTTCTAGAGGACCACTGCCCTCACAGGCCGCGGCATAGTGAATGGGCAAAAACCCAACCTTATCGAGAACGAAGGGACCAGGCGCGATGGATAGGAGCTTGTCCAGGATCTTAGGGTTGGGGTTGATGGCCGCACAGTGCAAAGGAGTGATCTGTGGAGTCATAGAATGCAGTATAGAATATTACTCTGTTTATAATGCCCCTCATCTATGAAATGACAAAACATTACTGCACTTTTAAGCGTCATCCTTGTCATAAAACCATACATAAAACACTGGGACTCATTCCCAACGACGCGATTATCTCAGCTTATCCTGGAGTTTGTACGGTGTTTCGCATTATTAACAAGGTTATATTAAGGATGTTGTATCTATATTTAGATTTTTTCTGCAGCTTTAACTCAAACGTTTTAATTAATTGTAAACATAAAGCCAACTCCACTATGAATGTTTTTAATTATTGGCACACAAATCTAGACGTTGACAAATAACTCAAATGCGATGTCGAATTCATATGGCAACTATAATGCTTCAATTTTGAGAAAAACAAAAAACAAAATCATATGGCCCTGTAAACAAAATCAATTTTTCAAAAGTACGTTTCTTTGAGTTAATATGCAATGTGCATGGTATTGCGAATTCGAAATTAATCTTTAAAAGAAATTAAATGGTAAATAATTAAGGACTCCTGAACCACAAAGGGAGAGGAGGTTTTTGAGACTGAAGAGTGTGTTTGTTGATTTCAAGTAACAATGAGTTCATCAATGGCATTAATGTTCGATTACCTTGCCATTTGCGTAAGGTTTCTTGCGCACCGAAACAGCTCGGAATGGACTCAGTTCTTCCGGTTTACCGGCAAGCAGAACCTGTCGTTAAAATATATATTGTTTGAACATCAGTCAAGACAAGCAACTAATTTCAGCTGCAAAGAGAGGCCGCATGACCGGACCCCGACCTCTATATCATTCTAAGGGCCACTGCTTCTTCATCGCAACTCGTCTTTGTTCGCAGTTCTCTCTTTTTTTTTTTTTTATTCTGCTATATGATTTCTGCTCCTCAACTAGAAAATCGAGTAAGGTAAATAAATCTGCATGCATTACTGAAAGTAAGCCATCTCAAACGTTTGTCCCGCTACACGTTTGATTTTCAAGTACAACAGATTATACGTGTCTCTGTCTGTGTGAGATTATACTTACTTCTTCGTGGAGCTTGTTGAAGCCATATCCTCCGCCAAATTTCTTTATCAACCCTCCAGCCAGCTGATGATGGCCTGCCATCACCGCCAGATCAATGTTATCTGCGAATTCACTCTTCAGGCACAAATTTCGATAGATTACTGATTTGTGTTCGGATTGTATTCAGCCTCAAAGAGCTTGGTCCACTGAAGAGTTCAAATGAAGTCACGTTTATTTTCTTGTAAACAAGTATAGCACGGTATATAATACTATCCTCTTGCGTCACGGTCAGTTTCCAACACCTCCCCCCCCCTCCCCCAGAGTGCTTAATCCGAATTACTTGTCTACGATTATTGCTTCGTCCTTCGGATGGGACGTAAAGCCGTAGGTCCTTCGTGTTGTGTAATGCACGTGAAAGAACCTCAGTAACACTTATCGCTAGTAAGAGAAGGGGTTTGCCCCGGTGTTTCTGGCAGTGGCTGCAATATGCGCCGCAGCACCTTGTATACCCTGGCCTTATAAGGTGCTACACAATTGATCTCATAATTCTCATAAACTTCATTTACCTGTCTTTAACAAAATATATTATTACCAGCGCCTTGGGTACCTAATTGTTGGTAGATACGTGCGCTAAATCGCTACCGGTGTGGAAACAGATTCTGTCGCATGGATATTCTGTCCCACGGACGGAAAAATCCGGCCACCCCGGCACTGACACATGCGGCCGAATACTTGTCTTTACGCATGTGTACACTGTTGGTTATATATAACATTGTCGAGTGTTTTACACTAATAAGGAATAACGGCGCCAGACCTTCATCAAACAAACTAACTTAGTTTCGATCATAATTTGTCAATAGTCTTTCAGCAGTTCTTGGCAAGGAAATGATCGTTAACACTTTATCGAGGTTCAAACATTTGGACAGTTTATTGGCGTCATTTCAAGTGTTTTCGCTCCCTTCGCAACAGATTCTAAAGCTAACTCAACATTAAATTAAAATAACAGATAGTGCATGATCCATTAGAAAGTGAATGTTTCTTTTTTTTTAAAGGCAAGTGAAACTTACCTCATCTTCATGTCCAGGAAAAAGGCGCATAAGCAGGTTAAGCACCTGTGGTGACAATCCAAAGGTCATATGCTTTTCCCAACGTAACATTTCGTCTATGTTCTCGTACTGTTCAATATCCTAGAGAATAAAATCAGAAATATGCAACTAAAAAAATGAAATGCTGTAAAAAATAAAATGCAACTACATGCATAGGGACCCCCCCCAACAAAAATAATGATAAAGGTGAGAATATAGGACGCATAAAAAAAAGAGGCGGGGGCGTGCATGGCTACGCGATTTTAACTGCAAAATACAGCACCGGCAACGGCACATGTGACCATGATACCCCAAAATAGTTATTGAAAACATGGTTCGTCTTTTGTGTCAACCCAGTGGGCTTTATAAAACAACTGAATTCGCATCTTTATTATCCAATTTTTTATTTCATATTTATTTTTTTTTCCGTTTAATTCCAGTCAATTTCCAAAACTTTCAGAGTCTCCCCTCTCCGAACACAAAGATGTGCGATTTTCTAAAGAGACTGACCAACTTAATGATTTTCTCTAATTTGCTTGATTTTTACACGATAAACTTGATCACTTTTCACATAAATGCTGCATGTACAGGTTACCTTACTCTTGTTAAACTTCAATACATTAGAATTGAATACAAACAAAGTCAACAGCGTTTTTCGAGTATTCCGCACAAGACGACATGATGTTCACTTTTATAGCATATCAATCCGCCACATGCAAGCAACCTTGTAGAGAGTATAAATGCCAAAATGAAATAAAGAAAAAAAATCAATAAATTTTGACTGCATATGTTTTTCTGATTTTCGTGAGTGTATTTTCTGCGAATTCCTTATATTTATGCGAATAAGATTTCCTTCCTCTTACGATCACCTGTACAAATTATAGATGTGGTTACCATTGCCTCTATACATTTCTTTGCATTTTCCTTTTACATTGTCCCGAAAGTCTGAAATACTCAAACTTAATGTTAGTTTACACAAGCGCAGTTAAATACAGGGTGAGTCAAAAAAGCGGAACCCAAACCCCCCAAAATATGTTTCATATTTAAAAAAAAAAATATGTAGCACCAAAAATAATAATAACTGGAAAGCCAATTTCATAAACTATGAAAAAGAAATTAAGTTGCTCAATCCGTTCAAAGTATATCACCATTTAAACACAATGACCCTAAAACCTCTTTCGTCCATAAAATGCGATTTCAAGAATCGTCGTCACAATTGTCTTCAACCATCACCAGCGATTAAAACTCAGTTTAAAAGTTAAACATATTCAACAACATCCTTTTGAAGTTAAAAAAGGGATATTAAAAATCAAATTGTTTGACTATGCAGGGTTGTATAAAGATATTGTGTACTACAGTTGTTGAAACAAGTATTATGTGTCGTTCTCTTTGTTGTTCTAGACAGTCAGAATACACAATATTTTTTTTTTTTTTTTTACGTAAGAGGCGTTAGGGTCATTGCGTTTAAATGGTGATATTCTTTGAACGGATTGAGCAATTTCATTATTTTTTTCATCTTAAAGTAGTTTACGAAATTGGCTTTCCAGTCATTATTATTTTTGGTGCTACATAGTTGTTGTTTTTTTAAATATGAAATATATTTTAGGGGGTTTGGATTCCGCTTTGTTTAACTCACCCTGTATGAACTGTGGTCACATAATTATCTGTACCTTTGTGAACGCGTTGTTGCCCTCTCTAGATTTCCTGCCAATGTTGATTCTCCGTACAGCATGTCCAAACGTTCGGTAATTATATCTAGATGTGATAAACATCATAATTAAACGTATCTTTATATAGAACCCAATGAGCAATATTGTGGGTTTTTTTTTGTAAAGTAAATGAGATAAGAAAAGCAAACATTAGGGACTGACAACTCACCCCGTCACAATTTATAAAGACTACACTAAAAAACTTGAGGTGCAAAACTTAACAGCGCGCGTCATCAGAGCAAGTAAACTGGATTATTGTTTTAAAACATTTTTTTAAAAATCAATCACAGATCGAATTCACAAACGAAACGAAATTTGTGTGTGCATCTTTTACATCGCATCATCGTACAATATGGAAATCTTAAGACAGAGGTGGTTGTACATGTACATTCTAGTTGTCTGAACAACATTTACATTCGCGTCAATAATACAGCGGTTTAAGCAAGGAAAATGACAAATCAAGTACTCAACCCTACCTGCCTGTTCTCTGATGATCCATTAGTGCTTGCGACATAGATTTGCGAGACTTAGTATTACAAAAACGCTCTTCGTAGAGAAGCTTGATAGCATCGATGTTCCCCGTCTTGACTGCGTAGTCCAGGGCGTCATCTTGCAGACACACGCTTCTCGGAACAAACAACGAGGGTATCTCCTTGGTGTTATTGATCAGTTTCTTCAGGAGGTCGCTGTCCTTAGTCAAGACGGCGCGGATGGCCTGTTTGCAGTCCACATAGTCTGACACTTTCGGAATCCGTTTCTCAGTCCTGCGTAAAAAAAATAGACTCTGACATTCAAAACTTCAAGTCAATTTACCAAAGTTTTGAATTCAAACAACTATTATTAGGGGTTTTTTGGTTCCATCACTTTGTCCGTATAGCCCGTCTTTGACAGCAGCTTAAAATTAAAACCGTGAAGATACAAAAATAGGATATAACATACTTGACTTCAAACAGAGGATCTTTGTCAACCACTTGGATCTTTAGGTTCGGAATCAGCTTGCTGTTGGGGTGGCGAGGCAACTTCTTCATTTTGCTTCCAGTCTCCTTTACTGCTTTCCCTTTCTTTTTACCACCCTTTGCGATGGTCGCTCCTTTTGGCTTGGCCACCGTCGCACGCTTCTTCATCCTCCCCTTTGCGGTGGTCGCCACCCTGGTCTTTACTGCCGTTGTTCCCTTCTTTTTAGCCCCTTTTGCACCAAGCACTTTCTTTTTTGATGTCCCCTTGCTGTCTCGAATCTGCCGTTTTCCTTTTGCGGTAGAAGTAGTCGCTTTCCCCTTTGCCTTCGTGACACCAACTGGCTTCTTATCTGAAATGAAATTTTTAAGTGCAAGATTTTGAAGAGGCCTACCTGCCATACTCGTCTATACCGATGGATTTCCACCGTCCTCTTTTTTTCCGTAAATGATTTTATATTAAATCAGTCATTTCTGGAAATGTATAAACGTGAGAGGAGGTACTGACCATGATTGAGTTTCTTCTTGACCTTAGTAACAACGACGCTCTTCTTCGGCTGACGGGTTGTGGCACGTGCAGGAGTCTTCTTGGGAGAGGTCGCCCGTGGCTTTTTCCTTGCTGTGGGAGATGCCTTGGGGAGCTTTGCTTCCCTTTGTGAGAGCTGTCGCTTTGGACTGGTTTTGGTGGGGGACGTTTGGCCTTTTGACTCTCCCGGGGATGAACGCTTAACAGCTTTCCGTGATTTGTCTCGTCTGTCACCACCACCTCTGTTCGCCATCATCATACTTTGCCGGCCTGAAATATGTAATTAACGATGGGCTTAATGCAAAGGCGATGACTGCATCTACACTTTTATCAAGCATATTTGTGGAGTCACTGATGTAAAATTGTAAAAAGGGACCATCGTGTGTGTTTGCTTGCCAAAAAATCTCGCCGGATTATGAAGCCCGGGAAGGGACAGGGTGGAATTTTTTTTTGGAATTTCCTAATTCGTTCGCACGAATTTCCTAATTCGTTCGCACGAATTACTCATTCGTTCGCACGAATTACTAATTCGTGGGAACGAATTACTGGAGTTATTCGTGCGAACGAATTGGTAATTCGTGCGAACGAATTACTGGAGTTTGCCAATTCGTTCCCACGAATTAGTAATTCGTTCGCACGAATTAGTAATTCGTTCCCACGAATTAGTAATTCGTGCGAACGAATTACTAATTCGTTCCCACGAATTAGTAATTCGTGCGAACGAATTACTAATTCGTTCCCACGAATTAGTAATTCGTGCGAACGAATTAGTAATTCGTGCGAACGAATTAGCAAACTCCAAAAAAAAAATCCACCCTGTCCCTTCCCGGGCTTCATAGTTTGGGGTATTCATGAATTAGCATTCTTAAATTAAGAGGGTTTTTTTTGCATCTTTTGATGGTTAATTGATGCATTGAAATTGAACGTCGGAGCACATAGGACTGAACGCCCTTTCAAACCATGTTCGTTAACAATTGTCTAAGTATTTGTATTCATTTTTAAATAATGTTTGAGTATTTGAACTTTATGTGTTCTTGTTTCACTTGATTCTTCTCAACCTTCTGTTTTTTAAGGGATATTTGTTAGTTTTTTACTAATTTTTTTTTTACATTTTGTTTCCGTACCGTATCTCTTTTTGTTTACACGTACCTGAACCTTTTATTTTTGTTTTGTTTTCCTTATTATTAGCGTTCATTTTTAGTAACGTTATATAATTTTTGCTTGCTTTGATCTTTTCTTCGATTTTGCTTTTGTGTTAAGTGCATTATTTCTTTGTTTTGTTCCTTTTTTTTCATTTTAAGCCTTCCATTTGTGACATTCATATTATAAGACTATTTTAATGCAGGGCCCTAATAAAAAAAAAACAATTCTTTGCTGTTTGGGTTTACCCTGGATAAATAAAGGTATAAATAAATAAATCAAATCCTCATTCAGACGGAATTGAATAAACAATGGGATACTATTAATTTGAATGCATCTTTTATATTGTGATTTTTGTGTAATATTATTTATTATTTGAAATCAAGTGTTCATTAATGTGTTTAAATGTAAAAGGCCAATGGAATTTCCCGTCAGGGGTAATAAAGTCAAATTCAATTGAATTGAATTGAACTGAATTATAGGGACGAACGCAGCTTTAAAAAAAATGATAGAATGCTCGGATAGCGAAATTGAATTTTTTTTTTTTGATTGTCGAATGACGCGTCGACGAACTGCGTGATATTTCAAGTGTAATCTAAATTGAATGAGCCAGGCGTGCAATTGAATGAAAACTTGGTGAAACTGGCCGGAAAAAAACTATATTTAGCAGGTATGGTTTTGTTGAACATAGTAGATAATACTTCCGCCATAAACATGTTTTTATCGCCTGTAGTGTCTCCATCCTTCAACTTGAACTTTGGTCAATGATTGCGGAGTAAATATCGGGCCCACGTCTTATCTCGTAGACGAGCCCTTTGCTCAGTCACTATTGTTATACTATAACTGACATAATATCCTTGTCATCTGATTGGAGGAACTCACATCATGTGACATTTATTATTGCTTCCATTCACCCAGGGGATAACAAAGTCCCATTTGCCCAGGGTGAACTGGATTTACTATTCAACAGTTAGGATCATGCTTGGTCCAATGTTCAAAATGTATGCTGCAGTGTGTGGGCGTGGCGCGTATTGTTCCCAAGAGCAATGTTATAGTTGGCTTCAAACATTTTCGTGAAACAAGATTTCGGGAATGCAAACATTCTACTGCAATGGGTCGAGCGTCAATTTGTATTTTAATATATATTGCAGGGGCGTAGCAGCGTCATTTTTAGGGGGGTGACAATTTCTTGAAAAAGGGCACTTGCACATTCGTGCTGAAATGTGGGAACGGTTTTCTGTCTATGTACCCTTAGCCTCCGTAAAACCATGGAGGGTTATTCCTCCATGGTAAAACCGAAGAGCTGGGGTGGGGGCTGGCACCGTCTGCCGACGGGGTCGCTGTTCAAAACCGACGAATGTACACAAACGGCCGTTTGCACAAAAAGCGCACGATTTTGGGAAGCCTAGCTAGCTGTATCGTGTTGACCTTAGTACCTTGTTTGATCAATGGTTGACATGTAATCCAATACAGTTACACGTTATTTTGGCTCGGTACATCTACCACATTAGCCTACACATTACATGTACATGTATATCTTAACTTTGCGAAGCGTAATTTTTGTCAAGAAAAAGCAGGGCGGATCCAGGAATTGTTGCGGGGCCAGAGGTTTCCTCAGCAAATCATTGGTGAAATGTAGACAGGGTTGTTTGTCTGGACACTTTACCTCGTAAAATCAATAGGTGGGGGCGGGGTGGGGGAAGGGGCTCGTACCATACTTTCAATTGGAGCGCTGTTCAAATCCGACGATTGTTAAACTATAGTGTACACTAAAAATACCCCTAACCCAGCTGGCTCTGTACGCATTTGTGCACAGGCAGATGTAATTACCATGTATATTTTTTTTCGGTGTCAGAGCGGGGGGGGGGGGGGGGGGTCGCATTATTTTTAATTAATTCTATGAAAGAAAAGTTTTGGTCAGAACTAAGGATCCGCGCCTGAAAAGGTAAACTGGAAAATAATGTATGTCGAAGTTTAAGTGAAGTCTTTCTTCAAATTAATGTGCACAATGTACATCTTTTGTTTAATATTTCTGAGATATATGTACTTGTATTTTTTAATATTAATTTCCACCGTATGTATTGTGAGTTGAACTTTACTTAACATTATTTAATAATTTGTTATGCATGCAGGTTCCAATGGAAACCTGGGTAAAGAAATGGAATAAATACAACAAATACATTTCTCTCTTACCTTCTCCCCTCCAATTACGATGTTTTCGAGAAGCTGTCACTTCTTCCAAGCGAGAACGTGTGTGCTAGGTATCTCTTGCAATGGCTGAGTGCGATCCTTGGTTTAAGGCAAGTCCTGGGCAGCTATTCAGCTGACCGGCGGCCGGCGGGGAGTACTCCGTGCCAACAGCACACCGATTTGCTCGTCCCTTTGCCAAGCCAGGTGTAAGGCTCTGTGTTTATAACCGTACGGCAATATCCGTCTGGTCCCTGCCCTACTATATCAAGCACCCCACTGAGGTCGGAACATTGGGAACTAGACAGACATGTTTGCGGAAGTGACAATGGAATTGGTGGGCGTGCTGCGGCATGACCCGACACGACGCTAGCAGGTTGGATGCGTCATCATATTCATATCCAATGAATGAAGGCCACAACGTATAATTTCTGTATCCGACGGCTGTTTAATACTATACCGGTACTTTTTATTAATATTATTTTTTTTTCAACGCACGGAAGTTCTGCCATCCATACGCACGCAAGTTCTGGCATGCATGCCTCTTAGTTAGGATTTATTTCCGTGACTTATAGGAAACGCAGGAAGAAAAACAATCTAAGTATTGTTTTGAAATCCAGATCAGAGTGTTCATTCCACTAATATTGGGACGGTACACATGTATTTCCTTCCCAACCGATACGTTTTTAGTGTATGGATGATTAAAACTAGACACATTAAGATTTAGATTATGCGATGAAGTAGTTTTATTTTTATTCAGCACAGAACCGAGAATTCACAGTATCGGGCAAGAATTAAGTATAACTGGAGAAACATATAGGGATGTGTGTGCATGGTTTTCGTTTTGCTGAAAGAACGCACACCTTTTTCGTGATCCGTGGACAGAACTTTAAAATGGTGATTGTGTTTAAAATTCCGTAACTTAAACAGCACGTAAGTGATTTGAATGTAAAACAATTGGGGCAAATTAAGGTTTTGATCACTAGAACCCTCTCCCCAAAAAAAATGGTCAGACTACTCCACCAAAATCGTTTCGTTGTAACAAAAAAAAGGATCTATGCTCACAACCACACTCTCCCTCTAACAAGTGGAAAAGGTTGATTTTGTTTAATAATACAGACTACTTGATAGTGCGAAATTAAATTCTGGGTAATTTCTGGAAAAGTTCGAAATCCTTTTCTCTTGAAAAAAAAAATAGTGACCGCGAATTTTGGTCTACGTGCCATTGCCAAGGCGCGTACTAACAAAAGCTAAGGGTGTTGCGGTGTACGTCATCAATCGCAATGCTAAAAGTTAATCATGTAAAGATTGTGCAGGTTATCTGGATGTCAACGTTTTAAGGTTTCTACACTATTCATCCTGTAACGGATTTTCCAGCGGGCTGTAGCTTAGACTTGATGGCAAGTCGTTAGACTTAAGTGGTTTATGTCCGTCTTCAGCGCCAGAATCCGCATACCGGCCATGCCACTGTGGCAGGTAATGCTGTCCCCCGGTAAAAGTGTCCGGGGGGACAGAATTACCTAGGTAAAAGTGTCCTCCCTGGCCCGTTAATTCTGTCCCCCTCCAGGTAATTCTGTCCCCTCCAGGTAATTCTGTCCCCCAGGTTTTTTTGTCCCCCTCGTTTTATTTCTCCATGTTGAAACCCAGAAGGTTATTGTTTTGATGAATTCACTCTACAAGGTATACATTTTGGACTTTTAGTCTGCCCTTCATGAATATAAATTTTTTAAATTTAGTCTATTAGATGATACGTGAACACAATGTTTCGATTCGCAGTACGGTGAAGTCTATCGCGATTCTACCGCGATAGGCCAACACTATGGAATTCCATACAACACAGCGGCGATGCATATCGCATGGCGATGGCCCTCGTCGCATTGATAGTATGATACAACGTCTCCTTGGATTGGTCTGTGTTCCCATCATAGCGCGTAACGAAATTTCCTATTGGACGAATTTCCATTGTAGAGGGAGACGCATATATATACACATGTTACATGTATAATCACTGCCTCAAATCTTGCAGCATGCACTGGCGCGTGCATGCAACACGCTGCTGCTCTCATTACATACTGCATGGGGACACATTTACCAGGGGGACACTTTCACCGTTGGGCAGGGGGACATTTTTACCTGGAGGGGGACAAATTTACCTAGGTATAAGTGTCCTCCCGGACACATTTACCGGGTCACGATCCGGTAAATGTGTCCGGGGGGACACATTTACCAGGGGGGACAGAATTACCTGTCACACCACCGCCGTTCACGCAACGTGAGCGCTACAACCATTCATGCAAAAGTCATGTTTACATGTATGATGTACATGTACATACGGTACATACACGTACACCGCGCGGCATGGTCAGTACGTGTCTAAAGCAGTACACGCATGGGATCGCACACGCATGGGGTCGAAAATGTACGTAGCGTCCCCGCTACTAGGACAGCATGCGGTATGTCGTACCCCCGGCACAGAGCTTGGCAGTCGCGCGCGGCGGACGCGATTAAACCCACTCATTACAGACTTGATTTCAAGTCTAGCTGTAGCTAAGCCTTTTCTTGATTGTGCGGTCGGATCGGAAGTACAAAGGTCACAAGCACAAAGTAATACCAAACTTTGTTGTTGACATTCCACAACAATAGATTGGGATTGGAACACCTGCCTGTATGTCGAGGGTATTAAACATTAGTTATACTTGAGGCTCCTGCTCATTCTTGCCAAATATTTGCTCACCAAATACCGCTATCGGTGTTATTACTATGAAGTTATTAGGTCCAACAACAGGATACACCTACTTTTTGTGATTTCACAACTCACTGGAAGTTTGGTATTTCGGTAATAAAATGCCAGTCCATCTTTTAGTTGAAAAGTGGTCCTTGTTTCAATTTTAACACATTGGATGCAATTTCTGAGAGACAAAAAGTTGACAACCCATTTTTTTTTCATTTGGGGGAGGGGCAAGAGGTTGGTTGTGTAAAATAATAAATGACAAACAGAGGCTTCATCAAAACCACATTTGTTGGGGGGCTTTTGTTTTGTTACAACGGTTGTAGAAATATTGGCAACCAATACTTCCAGCTTCACATCAGCTGAAGTCAGGGTTGTCATTGAAGAAATCGTTAGTTTCGTCGAAAGCGCACATAATGAGATATCCGTGTAACAATCCTTGAAAGAAACTAATTGACTAGAAACAGGAAAACTTGCACCCAGTTGATTAAACAGCTACAGGGTCAACTGGGTGCAAGTTCGACTGCTCTTTTATAGTCAAATGTAACTAGCGTATATAGCGTGTGTTCATATTGCATATACCTCATGCAAAGTTCCCAGATAGGTCTCTAAGGCCAAAAAAAAGTCTCCGCATGAATTTGTTGCCCCCACTTTTGTTCACTTAATTTCACAGTTTAAATCTGGCGCGCAGAGTATATACACAGACTTACAGGGTTACATAATCGGATTGACGCTGGCCCTGTGCGGCTGTGCGCGCGTTCGACCCTAAAATGTGGGCCGGCACACTCCGTTCATAAAATGGTTAAAACAAAACTTTACAGTAATTTGGAGGCGCCGAGATAGTCGTCAAAGAAAAATCCAAATTTCTACAAGCAGAAATCTGATTCTTTTTTAAACCGGTGTTGCAATTTCAAAAAACCTAAAATTCAACTAGCAGAAAATGGAAAATAACTGTTGTCCACTTTTGGCACTCCATACAATTCTTGAAAGTTGCTTTCGTGGAGACAATGGCGAGTTTTCCTACTGGTTGTGGTTTCTAGACTAAGAGTAAAAGTTTGTTTGATGTGTTCTATCATCCATAAACAGAACTGGGAATATTAAAGATAAAGAACAAAATATTCAAAATATAAACAATCATGCTGCGCACGCGCAAAGTGATCAAATCAATAGTTTTAAAACTAGCTACCGGTCCCCCATATTTTATGGGGGCGGGGACCAGTCTACGGGTTAACAGCCCAGACTGTTCTATTTCGAACGAAGGAGTGTGGTGTGACAGCTGGCAAGTTGCATCCAATTTAAGTTAAACAATTTGAATTTGAGTTTATTCACTTTCGGTTCACGACCAAATTTCTGCTAGCAAACAAAGTGGAGATATTCGTTTCAAATTCTACAATAATTTCAACCCGAATGTTTACTAACAGAAATTACGGGTTTTTAGTTGTTCACTTGTAATCTTGGGGCGTCAAGAAAAATAGTGTATCGCAGTCGTTACACACAGAATGTTAACAGACTAAAATTACTGTAAATTCAAACTTCCCAGCTAACACATTCACGTTGTAACAACGTTGCAAAAAGGTCACGTTTTCGTGGCGGTAACGTTCAGAAAATTACGTTGCGGCAACGTAAAAATGTTGACTCGCGTGCACGTTGCCACAACGCTATTACACAACGTTTAAAAGACGTTATAAAAACGTCAATGAAACATTTATTACAACGTTTTCAGTACACGATCCTGCAACCCTCCAGCAACGTAATCATCACCTTTATACAACGTCTTGGCACGTAAATGCAACATGATTACGACATGATTACCACCATGACGGAACGTTACTGCAACTTAATGGCCACTTAAAATAAACATTTATTCAACCTTGTGGGGACATGATTACACCATGATTGGCACGTTACTGCAACTTTTATTGGGACGTTCCTGCAACCTTATAGGCACGTCACGACAACTCTTTTGCCACGTTAATGCAACTTGTTGGACATAACTACAACCTGATAGGCACGTTTCTGCAACCTTTATGGGGACGTTCCTACAACCTTATGGGCACGTCAGGGCAACTTTTTGGCCACGTTAATGCAGCTTGTAGGACACATTATTGCAACTTCATGGCCACGATGTGGGGACGTTTCTACAACCTTAATTGTTAGCACGTCAATGACTCATTACAGACGTTACTGCAACTAAGTCAACACGTTCCGGTAACTTTGTGGGCACCTCACAACTTTTCAAAAACGTTCACGCAACTTATTAGATACATAACTGCAACTTTGTGGGGACCTTGTAGCAACATTGTTCCTGGCACGGTTAATTAACGAAATTAATCGTGCAACGACGATATACCTGTCGGCAAACAATAAAAAAAAATTAACCATCAGACTTACTGTTTCTACATTAATTTTATTACAAAGAATGTATCCGGTGAATGCATGGAAGCAAACCTTCGTCAATCATTATTATTACAAAGCTAGTATAAATCTGATATAACAGTACAATGTCGCTTTCAGTTCGCCTATTTAAAAATTACACATTAAAGCCTCTTGATTCAGTTAGAAAACCAATGATCTAGTTTTCTGTGTGTTTTTGCTGGGAAGCAGGAACAGTAAAACAGATTGCCCGCCAACGGCATTATTTTGTCAGTTTCCCTTCAAAACGATAGAGTGTCAGATTTTGTTCATATAATTATACATGTATTCATCTTCAGCAAGGATGGGCACAAGTCTATTTATATGCATAAATTGACCTTTAGCAAGGATTTAAATGTCCTGAAATTGCTAAGCTGGGCAGGCGTACATCTCCGGGTGACTACCAGTTATGCTATAAGTAACTTTAACGTAAAATAGTATTCTTCAGGCAACGTGGGAATGAGTTTTCTGACAACATATTTTATGTTTTCTGTTATTTTTGAGTTTCATCCCGAAAACACAATTGGTTTTTAAACATTGCTATCTTAGTAATTCAAAAGTTACAAAATTTGAACGAACTTTGTCAACAAAAATATCAGGACGATTTTACTATTGGCAAGTAAGTTTATATAATTTAACTGTTTGCGTTCTCATTCGAGTCAATCCCATATCCGTTACAATCGATTATACAATGAAAAGGGACATCATGAACCAGTCTACTTGCATAGTGGATCTGCGCGGCCTAAAATGATAAAACCTCCTATTTTTCCCCAATATACAATGCTCCCTCCCAAAAAAAAGAACTAATAATACTTTCTTCATTACCATTAATTAGTCATTGGGGCTTCACCTTATATTTCTTTGGTTCTCATTTTTTAATCGACCCTATTTTGGGATATGTTTTTCCGCCGACAATTTCCAAAACCCCATTCACAGACGATTTTTTTTCCAAATTAAAAAACAAAGAATATTGCATTCGAGCAACTAGCTCTGTGTTATTCTGAAATTTTTTTCTCGACTTGAAAATTACGGCTTACGGAAATCAGAGGGAGAAAGACAGATGAGGGAATTTTGCCTCTCATTATAATATTGCTGCCACTACAACTAAATTGTTAATGAGATGCTTCGTCCAGACATTACTGTAAGTCGTCTATAATTGGCCAAAATGGTTTTTTTTTAAAATTGTATTCAGTGATATCAAATCATGATAAACTTATTGCATCATTTAGTTTACCATCTTTACGAGTGCAACTTTAGTTCAGATTGTTATTGCTTTTTGACTGACCGACTAGGCTTCATATAAGGGCAAATAAAAATAATTATGAGAACCACGGAGATAAATAGGGAAGCCCTAATAGGCCTACAAGAAAACAAATTTTGACGAGCACGAACGGTGCATTTATTTTCACGCAAAAGATGCAGTGTCGGTATTCATCATCTGCAGGGTTTGCAGGGTCGACAGGGTCGGCGGGCTGAACAGCGTTGGCAGGGTTGGCAGGATTCTGCACACACACACAAAATAGAAACAAATAAATGTAAAGATTTTTCCAGATGGTGGACAGCCGATGATGACCAACCGACTTATTTTTGGATTATCTGTCACTTCTTTTTGGATCACTATTGTGCATGAGAAGGTAAACAAAATGTACTGACATTTCATTTTTGTGTTCCGCAAGCGTACTGCGATTAATGCTTCAAAGGCAATTCTGGTAAAGAGTACACTACCTGCAAACAACTTCCAGTGTACAAGTTTGTATATGTTGGATAGATATTACACTGTTGTCTTCAGCCATTAGTGTGAAGTCGACATTAAGATAACTTTGCCTTATATAAAAGAGTTGTTTTCTTACTCTGTAGGCCCAGGCCTACTTGTTAATTTTACAGGCAACTTAAATACTGTTCACAGTAATTTGATGTAATTAATATTACCCTGAATCTTGTCCCTCCGGGCTTGTTAGTCGGGCAAACTTCCAGAATGAAGCTATGTCCTCCCCTCGCCTTGGCCTCTGCTACTCGACGAGTTGTCATGCAGGCCCCTAATAAATGATAGAAACCATGAATTTTATGCTATATCAAAATGTACACGAGAAACTACCGACATTTTAAAAGGAAACAGCAATTCGTCTATTTCGACCAAGGTGTATTTTCAACACATTAAAAGTTAATTTCACCATCTTACAGAGATACATGTATAAAAAGGTCATGTATGTTGAATTACTTACAGCAACAACCTTGAAGAGATGTATGGGTTGGTCTTCAAAATAATTAGAAACTTCTTCCCTCGAAGACTGCTGAAGTTAAAAGTTAAAACATGCCACATCCAGCAGCCAGTGCACTCACGTATAGCAAACCTGTGTACTGCCTACCTGGAGAAAGTAACGATGTTTGTTAAGGTTGAGTAATATGTAAAACTAATAAAGTTTGAACACAGTATAAATATGATGTCCCCGTGCTCTTCAACCCACATAATGTCTTATTTTTCACACACAAAAACTAGTCTACAAATGACCCTAGTTTTAGAAAAGGCTTTTATAGTTCGCGTATTTTTCATTGATCTTGTAACAGTGCTGACCTGGCCCTGAACCCTACTCCATACACTTTGGTCAAACTCCCATAAATCACGCCAAACCCTGGGAGCTATACAGCCCGAAAGCCCGGATTGAAACTGTATACACTTGTTATGTACAAGCCAACGAAAGCCAGATGACCGTTTATACGTGTACAGTCCTGGTACGTGAACTTTAGGCCCGACCCTTGGGACTGAAATAATAATGCGCGTTGCTAATAGTATTACAACCGTACACTGTGTCTTTGAGCGGGAATTTTATAACGGACTGTTTATGCTTAAATTTGCGCTAGTTTTAGTTGAGAGAAAATCAAATCAGATCTATAAATTAAGAGATACCCCAGGTAACAATTTCACGGTTGTTGGCTCGGATATCATGGGTATGTCAATACAATATTGTTACAGTTTGATTAATTCATCAATTTGAAAAAAAGGACAAACATAAGCCTATACTATAGTACACAAATCAAAAGTCTTCTCGATATAATGTATACACTTCCAACATTTTGCCATTTGCTAAAACAATATCTGTTTTATCTAAAATTATAACTATCGAACAAATAACTTTCCAACCTAAAATGTTGTTTAAAAGGTCTAACATGTCTCACATGAATTCGAGTAAATCTGATCCACATGGATGATGTATATTATTTCCTTGGAATATTACCAAGATTTTATTATTAAATTGAAAACCAGATGACTTGAACGTTTCTTTCAGTGTATGATCCTCCAAAACTGTTCGCATTGACGAGCCTCCAATCTCAATTGAGGCACATATTTTCACTCTTTATTAATCTACATTTATTCTGATCGAGTCTGAAGAACATTTTCAACATTTATAAAAAAAAACAACAAGATGATAGGCATAGGAAAATCTTCATTTTTTTACAGCGACTTTGTTCGAAAAGTTGTTTTACTTTAATTTGATCCAATTTCTTCAGATTTTTAGACAATGTGTTCGACACAAGAATGAAGCCAAGATACAGAAAATGTCATTCCTACCTTCTAAGAAATGCTGTAGTGAAAATAACTTGCTTGGTGACCATGGCTAATTCACATCAACTGGACGGCGAGTCGGCGACCGTTAACTAGTGAGCTGCTGCTGCTAGATCGCTGACTCGACTGAGCAGAGCGATTCAAATAAGCTATCACGCGGTCTGGACGTGGAATTTCTGCTGACGCGCATGCGCCATGGTAATATTTTCTTTGAGAACAGGAATCATATTTCAAGTAACGTTGGTGTGTGCAATAAATATATACATTGAGTATACAACAATTAATATGAGCGGGAAACAGTCGCGCTTTGACCACGATCTCATCCATCTTAGACCATTATAAAAATATATGGAAACATTATATTCCTACTACGACAAAACAAACATGATGATGTTCGAAATTTCATGAGTTACATTATTAATGCAAGGCGGCACCCAAATGTTAATTATTATCAAATAAAACATCATTAATTAAAACATTATGTCCACTTCACATTCAGTAAATCGTAATCACAATGTTTTTGTCAATACCACAACAGCATGGATCATAACCCACAGCATAATTACAACTTAAATTCAGTGTCAAAACACCTTTATAAAACGTTACAGCAACGTGAGGTTCACAACATAGCAGCAACGCTGTGAAAATACCAAACTGCAATGTCACGACAACATGATATTTACAACTTAACAACGACATTATGATGAGACTTTTATGCAACGTCATCATAACGTCATGAACACAGCAACGTGGTGTAAATTTTTATCTACAACGTCATGACGACGTGAGATTGACAACATACCAACAACGTTGTGAAAGTACCCACATACAATGTTATTACAGCGTCATGATTATAACATCACAGCAACGTTTTGAAATACCAAACTACAACGTCGTGTCAATGTGATTTTCACAACTGAAAAAAAAAACGTTATAAAATAACGTAGATGGAACGTTAACTCAACGTCATGATTATAACCTCACAGCAACGTTGTAAACATTCTAAATTACAACGTTCTGACAACGTAACATTGACAACTTAAAAACAACGTCATGAAAACACCTACATTCAACGAAACCACAACGTCATATTTATTACTTTATTACAACGATTGTGAAACGACCACCATACAACGTCAATACAATGTCATATGATGACTTTCGTACAACGTTGTACAAATTACCGATATACAACATTTTTACAACCAACAATTATACAGTCAAACGTTGTGTCAACGTTGCTTGAATGTCATCGTGACACGTTACCGAATGACAACATTTTTACAACTTTGCACAACGTTGTGGCAACGTGATGTGTTAGCTGGGTTGCAAATACCTACCGATGACGGCATGTCCATTGAACGGTGCGAGCCGTGGTGCATGCATGACCAATACCTGACGATGAGGGCAGTATGTCAAGTTAAAGGTGTATGCAAACTGGCAAATAACTACCGATGAGGGCAGTATCTCAAGTTTACGGCCCATACACAAAACCTGACGATGAGGGCAGTAAGCCAAGTTACACCACACGTGCTTGCGCTGGAAACAGGTCAACTCGTACGCGAACCAACTCGTACGCGAGACAACTCGTACGCGGATTGGTCAACTCGTACCCGAGACAACTCGTACGCGAACCAACTCGTACGCGTGCCAACTCGTACGCGAGCCAACTCGTACGCGAACCAACTCGTACGCGACCAACTCGTGGTTTCGAGGATTGGGTTGGCATGGTTGGGAAGAATTTGGGAATAGTGACGGAAGAATCGGGTAGTCCGTAGTTCAGTGTGTGACCGTTGTGTGTGATTGGGAGTGAACCCGTGAATGATGATAATAAAGTAACTGATTTTCAGTTGTAGTTAGACGAGTGTTGTATCGTTTTGTGCATACCTGTAGCCTTGTCACGTCAAATTTAATTCCATAAATTAATGCAACGATGTACCAGTTGCATTTTTCGGGTTTTTTTTAATCAATGTACCTGTCAGTCAATTAATTGCCACCATTGTCAAACTGACCCAATTGCAACGCTCTGGACTACCATGGATCTGTTCTCGCGGTTCGGTGTCCTAAAAGAACCGGCGGGTTTAGAAGTCGGCATCCTTCATCCTTTGTATCGTAAAACCATCAAAAGAGATCGATCAGACTTGTCAACTGCCTGTCACTCAACTTTCATTGTGGTTCACAACCATTGATCAATTAAAAAGCAGACACGCGGGGACATCCGTAGGCCTAGCAATTTCTATTTACAACTGAAATGCTTGGTATAACCATGGAGGTATGACACATAACACATCAGGGTTCGAAATTAGCGGTATAGCCAGCTAACCAAATGCTTGTCAAAACAGCGGCGGCCGGGGCTAGACAAACTATTCCTTAACCAGGCCCGGGCGTGCGAGTGAAAAATTATTGGGATACGGCAAAGATCAACGAACAGAAAGAAAAAGAAATCATAAAATTCAAAAAGGAAACCCCCTTAATTTGTGTCTTATTATCAACTGTTTTAAAGGGTTAAATTATCTGATCTGTTAATCAAAAACACCGACAAAATTCCCTCAGAATTGCGCTTGAAAATACGCCATTTTGTATCTGATATAAGAAAAAAATGCGGGCTAGTAGAAATGCCCGTGGGCCAGTAGCCCGGCAGAAAAGGTAAAATTATGCTGACCGTACCGTACCGAACCTAATTTCGTCTGTCCATGTGAGCCAAACCAATAGTCTAAACTCACGCGTACGAGTTGGTCCGCGTACGAGTTGGTCCGCGTACGAGTCGGTTCGCGTACGAGTTGGTCCGCGTACGAGTCGGTTCGCGTACGAATTGTCCCGCGTACGAGTTGGTCGCGTACGAGTTGGTTCGCGTACGAGTTGACCTGTATTCCTTGCGCTATGCATGCATGCTATGCCGATGTACTTGTACTTGCATGACTCGCGTGCTATATAATGCTGCTGCTGCATGCGCTAGCTAGCGCTTGCTTGATCGAGTGCAGGGGGCCTGGTCTTGATCTTCTCGAATATTCATGATCCCACGTACGTAGGTTATCATCAATCATGGAACAGAACATACGGTCCTAAATGTTTTCATGTTATGTGTAAAGTGTATCGATAATTGATCCTCGATGTACCGGTGTAAATATGTAAGGCATGTAAGGATTTATTTCAAGCAAGAGAGAACTTAGCCCGACTGCGTCTGGCCGTACAGTACTATCGCAAGCTCTGTAGTACGGCCAGACGCTGAATGCTTCCAAAAAGACTGAATTTTTTTGGCCGCCGATGTAGCGATTTTGCTACATCTTTCGATCGCAATTATCTTTTCATCCAGGGCACAAATTTCCAAAGTTAAGGTTCGTAGTCGTAGAGCAACTCATACCTTTTCGAAAAAACGTTGTTTGGTCTCAATATTTTCATCCATCTGGCCACAAGACGAATTTCAGTCATCAGATTCCACAAATATCGTCCCCCATGCGATCCCCCATGCGATTTCAAAATGGCGGCCGCGCTGTAATGTATGCAATATGCAGGCGCGCCCGCGCAAACTCATGAATATGCATAACAGTCTGTGACGTACGACTTCGTGTTTTTGGACGTGCGTGCGGCGGGGCCGTACGTCCAAAAACACGAGGTCGTACGTCACAGACTGTTATGCATATTCATGATTTGCGCGGGCGCGCCTGCATATTGCATACATTACAGCGCGGCCGCCATTTTGAAATCGCATGGGGGATCGCATGGGGGACGATATTTGTGGAATCTGATGACTGAAATTCGTCTTGTGGCCAGATGGATGAAAATATTGAGACCAAACAACGTTTTTTCGAAAAGGTATGAGTTGCTCTACGACTACAAACCTTAACTTTGGAAATTTGTGTCCTGGATGAAAAGATAATCGCGATCGAAAGATGTAGCAAAATCGCTACATCGGCGGCCAACAAAATTCAGTCTTTTTGGAAGCATTCAGCGTCTGGCCGTACTACAGAGCTTGCGATAGTACTGTACGGCCAGACGCAGTCGGGCTAGAGAGAACTATAACCTTCGCCGCCCCTTCGGTTTTAGCCCAGGTTGGACGACGTCTTCATAAAACATAACGACTGTAGGGAGGTACGGGTAATTAAGGGGCAAAGGGAGTCCACATGGGCTAGCGTTGGAACACATAATAGTGACATGACCGTATATCGTCATATACCGCACACACAACAAATCAACTATTTGTGTGGCCGGTCATGTACGAACATCGGTTCTGGGAACATAGGTATCGGGAACATATATCGGGGAACATACATAGCTGGGTATGCACCCATGTTTCCATAGGAGAGTTAATAATAGTATACAAAAATACCCAAGTTTTTGTAATCCTACAATACAAGAGTGGGGAAGGGGGGGGGGGGACAATTGCATAGGCGCATATTGCATAGGCGATTGTGTACAAAGTGCATGGAGATTCAAGAAAATTTTCTTAGTATTTCCTAACAAAATTGGAAATTTTTCTCCGTCCCATATTCATGTCTTTAATAATTATCTTTTTTGCAATGAATGAGATGATAATATGTCAATATAAAGAAAAACGTGGCGTCAGGTTGAAGCACTTGACCGTAAAAACCTTCTGGAAGTGGACGTAGCCAACCACTGACTAGTAATTTTGTATACATGTTTCAAGTTCTTGAGTTTTATAGAGCGGACCACTACGCCAACAATTGTTGCCGTTTTTAGTCGATACCTGCCATACAAACTGTTTCCTTGGTTAAGATGTTTTCAATCAGTGTTTCTAATTATGTTCAAATTGATCTTTTCCGAACAGAAAGGTGCATTTTCTGGCTTGAATGTCCATCAACGGTAGCACAGGTGTACTGACACATTGTTATGAACGTGGGAAAATAAGCAACTTGGAAGAATGTCTTTCAAAATTGTTAGCTTGCTGAAGAATAGTCAAGCCTTTGATTTGAAGGAGCTTGTGCACAGCATCATTGACTCGGCTGTGGAGCTGCACGGTGGCAGGGACACTACCCAGGCAGAGGGAGATGGCAGAGTGGATTCCACTCTCTGCAAACAGCAGGTGTCGGAAGTGATCCTGTTCTTGCTGGACTCCATGCAAGCTGACCCAGAATGCATCGCTCCGTCGGATCTCATCCGATTGGTCGAGACCGTGGGCTACGGTGCAATAGAGCAGTCTCACTTGCAAGGTCAACAGAGGTCACACAGTGAGGAGATGATGCAGTCGGTTTACAAACTCTTCGCTGCTATATTACTGACTCCTAACATGTCAGGGTATCGGGAGTTAAAATCTAGAATCCAACAGACATGTTTAGAAGGCCTTTGCAGTTACAGTGAGGAACAGCGGTTGCTGGTCAACCTGACATTAGTAGAAAATGATGACGGAAAGACTTCAAGCTCCTCATCAGCGTTTTCAATAAAAGACATCTCGGAGATTCTGTATTACACCTTAAAGACAGCTGGACCATGGGACACCGATTCAGAGTACCCACATGTGGGTGTTGAAGACTCTTGGCTCGAAGACTGCTTCAGGCATCTCTTGGACATCTTGGAGTACAGCGATGCAGCCACTTGCTCACATGCCTCAGGGATCTTGCTTCCAAAGTTACTGAGTTTGTCGAAAGACAAACTTGAGATCCGGCTTTCCTCGATCTGGCAGAGACTCCTCAATGTTTACAGAACTGCAGCAGACGAGAAATCCAAACAGACCTCTAATGTGTACATTGCTCTGTGTGGTCTTTCAGAGTTTTACATCCCTGTTGTATTACCTTCCACCCCTGATCAACAATCTGCCTCTTCTAGCTTGCTCGCTGACGGTGCCTTTTGGAGAGTGGTTCAGGCGGGTCTTGTCCACACGGACCCTCTTGCTCGCAAGCAGGCGTGTTTCCTGATGAAGCGATCCATCGAAAGTGCATCAGTAAATCATGTAACGATCCCTAACGAATCTACAGTGCTTTCAGCAGCTGGGATTGCCACATGCCAAGAACAGTCTTCAGAGCCAGGGTAAGTCTGCATGGGAAAGGAAGAATTGTAATTAATCATTCATTATAACGAACATGATGGGTTCCATCAAAAATGTTCTTATAGTGGTCGTTCGTTTTAGTGATTGTGCATTATAATATAATTTACTATTTCGGGGATATTAGTTATAGCCACATGTTTGTTTCAGCGGTTTTCGTTATAGCGACATTTTGCTATATTTCATTTGTCAATTTTGAAGATAAATACAGTGTAGTTTTAATTACAACAAATTATTAAGCTGATACCCTTCAAGTAAGCCCCTTGTCTAGTTCATATCAAGATGGGCAAAGTATGCCTGGTTCTATACATGTAGATAGCTGGTTCTGGACTCTCATACAGGTGTAGATGGTCAAATTGATGCATTGCAGCAAGGCAGAGATAAACAATATTAATTGTGTTGACTGACATGCAAACATTCCAATTTAATCTTGCAGGTGTACTGCCTCGGAAGCTGCTTCCTTATTCTGGTGGTCTCCAGATTCTCAGAAGAAGCTGTTAGCTGTCTGGGGAGATTTCTTCCTGATGTATGAGACACTGGATGAGGTTCAGGTAATTACAACTCCATCAAATTCATCAAGTTGCAATCAGGCCAATCACCAGTCATTTACAAGTCAATCGCAAGTCGGTCACAAGTCCTAATACCTGGCTGAAGTATTCTGTGAAGATCCTATTAATATGTGACTTGACTTGTCACTGGACTTTTGACTAACTGTACTGTAATTCACAGTAAAGTTTTTCGAGTTTTTGTGATAATGGTACACGTTTAATATACATATAAAATGGTAATAATTTTCACACATCCAAGGGGGTTAGGATTAAACAACTTTGCAGGCATTAAATGTTTTAATATGCCATCAATCTTCAAAGTTTACGGACTTGGTGTGCTCCTAGGCTAAGAACAATTTCACACATATTCCGGTGTAACAGTAAACAAAAGCATCATTTGAAGGCACACATTTGGAAATTGCTATTATTTCCTTTCAGTTTTTGTTTTGTTTTGTGCATTTCAGGTACATGTTGTGACACCTGTGATGCCCAGAATGACTTCTCTGATTCAAGCTGCTTCCACTTTGCATTCAAGTAAGCACTTATCGTAGATCTTCAGTTTTGACAACACAAGGGTTTGTAAAATTTATACAATATACATGCATTCAAGTTATTCCATGGTGCCTTATTTGAATTAATAAGGAGATGGAAATTTCACATTTGGGAGGAAAACGTCTGCAAACAGTTTAAGCCTCAAGCAACTCCCAGACTAGACCTTTTACAAAGTTGTGATCACTTTGTACGAACTGGAAGCTACATTTGTAGATCACCAAGCATGCCAAGTGGCAGTAACTGCTTGACATGCATGATCTAAAAAATCAAAATGTACTCTTGCACTTATAGTTATATATTCCAGTAACCACTGGATTTTACCAATAACCACTGGATTTTACCAAATGAGATTCAGCCCAGTTGATTTATTAAAGTTGTGCCTACATTTTTTTGTAAAATCAAATCTGTGGGAAATATATTAATATAACATGGGTTATAGATAGGGTGGATAGTCGATGTTAGCTCCTCAAGGTAGTTCCCAACTTCCAATACCGAGGGGAGCTAAGTAATACTGTACATTCGGTATTGCTTCGTAAAGCACACACGTACTAGACTGCGCACAGGTAACCTGTGTGACAGTCTACTGCGCATATGTACTCACCATGTGCGTGAATATTCGCACGCGCTCTTGGTAAACAACAAAAATAGCATCTGGTACAATGTACATGATGGTGAATGGACCAGTGGGAATTCGCCTCTCGATTGTGAATTGTATACAGAAAAAATCAGCTGCCATAAAGAATCACATCCCAGAAAAAAGTAGTGTCATGATTCTCATTCTGAGTTTGGAATTGATTCCATTACATGTACGTGTAGTTTATGGCATTTGTGTGTGTATGGGTCATTCTTTAGATATATGGTCATTCTATGTAATTATTGGCATATATGATTTTATGATTCTGATGCACTCCTGCATGCTGTCATCTTCCGAGAGTGATTATGAATAGCAAACTACTTGTACCAACCCAACAAATATAAAAATCAATCTGAAGTCATTCTTCTTGAATGGTAAATTACAGGGTGTAATTCTGTGGTTCTGTTGTGTTCTTCCAGGTGGCAGACGCATTCTGCATCCATCATGGTTGACCGTTCTGTTCTCCCGATGTTTTGTGCATGAAACCAAAACTGTCTCAAAGTGGGGATTACTGGAGTATCTACGGCTGGACATCGCATCCTGTCCTGTGTTGCAGGACATTGGAATGGAGGTACAGTAAAGCCTAGTTTACATATTGACGTAAGTAACGCAAAGTGAAACGCAAACAGGACCCAAACTGCAACGCAGACATATGGACAAATTTTAAAGTGTCGCCGACAACCCAGAGAGATGCAAACTATCTCACAGACAATCGGCAAAGTTGAACCTGGATCAACTTTGGCGACGGTTCCGTGCACTGTCTGCGCAGTCTGTGTAAGCTTAACGTCGATATGGAAACCAGGCTAAGAGAAAAAATATTGCAGAGAGTCCCTTTTATATCTACATGTACTTTAATGCATAAACTAATTTTCTCACAAATCATGACAATTTAACAGATTTTGTACGATTTACATTCTTTAAACCAAAATTATGTGTCCATATCTTTGAATGTGAATGTTGCTTGCCTCCATGTATCTAGCATACTGTCTAGAATGGGCTGGTGAGTTGTGGAATTCAGCATCAATAATCTTTTTTGGTCACGCCTTTTTCCCTTGGATCCTTCCAGTTTTTGTTGGGCACTGTTTTGCCTGTGCTGAATGATGACAGCCTGTATGCTGGCAAGTCCCGGGGTATGGTGGCCCGACCACTCATCGCAGAAGCATTCACAGGATTCATGCATTCATGCATCAAGATTCTTGGAAAACAAGATAGTGAATGTAAGTGGTCTGTAAGCTTTGTATGGGCTCCGTGTGCCAACAAAAGAGGGCGCCCTTTTACCTAGCAAGGACGTCCCATGGGCAGGACATAGCTGGTTGACGCGCACTGTTCCTTGTGTGTGACGCACGTACACCAGGGGATTTGTACTATGTACACACGCAGTGGTACGGCCGTGCGTCGCGGCAAATTTGCAGTCGGGCAAGATGGCGTCAGTCGGTCACCCCCAACTGTACTTTCTTTGCCGGTGAGGGGGTACTTGTGAACGGAGCGGATAGTGGAGATCTGCTTCGTACAAGTTGTGCTGGTACACCATGTGAACTGATTATCTCAAAAAGAGACTCTTAGAAGAATCGCAGCACTTGAGGAAAATGGAAAATATATCTTTTGTTCTTCTCAGGACAACCTCTGTAAGAATATTCTGACAGAGATAGTCACTTTTGATATTGTCTCTGCAAAATCTGTTGTTACCTTGAAAGCTTTCTGCAATTTTGATTTGAATTAAATCTGAGACAGATTCGCTGCGTTTGGAAGTACGATCTTTACCAATTGATGATTTAATATTTGAAGCAATTTTAATAAGTGGAATACTTAACCTGACAAAGTTCTGCTCACAAATGTTTTTGAGAAAATAAATGAAACCTTTGAATAATTTGTCATCACAAAATGTGATTTGTTGGTTGGTGTGTGTAGTCATATTATTACAACATCATCGTGCATTGGTTATGAAAATTACGTCCAGTTAACATACACATTCTACATGTATTCCAGAGGTTTGTTTGGCACACTTACACAAAATATTTGGCACACTTACACAAAATATTTTTAATCATTTTTCATGGCATGGTTTCCATTTATACAAACTCTGCACAAATCAATTATCCGATATCTTTGTTTTTGAGTACAAAGTGCTAAAGTTGGTGTATAAACAAATGAAATCACAGTTAACACTATTAGATGTATTTGCTTCATCTCTGCGAGCATAAGGGTTAAATTGAAATCGTATTGTGAAGAATTGTGTTTTTTTTACCTTTGTTTGTTGTTTTTGGTTTGCGCCTAGCTTTCTTGCGGAAGTTTCTTGCAGCAGTTTCTGGTCAATCCTGGAGCCCCGTTAGTCTGACGTTTGTCTTTGATACATTGACACACCTCCCTGAATGCAGTGCATGGGGACCATCTGAACTACAGCTTCTGAGGTACCTCAATCCCGGCGAAGACCTTTTTTCTAATTTCACTGGTTCACCAGATCCCCCATCACGTCTTTTTCACCATTTCAAGTAGACCGCAACGATACCTGCCGTGCCCACACACATGCCCGATTCTGTTCTTTACTTGGTCACATGATGACCAGTCACATGATGACCAGTCACATGATGACAAAATGACAGCCGTCTATTTTGTATGGCTTCCTTCGTGAATCTGATTGGTTAACATAAATACCACATCCGGTGAAATCAGAGGACTGCCCGCACACCTTTCCGGTGACATCAGATCCGGTGAAATCGCATGGGCAGAAATGAAGCATGATTGCTTTCATCCAGTCGCCCGGTGTAGGGTAAGATCGGTCCGAATTTTCAACACACATCTGTACGATGGCCCAACGATCCGTTGAACCAGTAAAATCAGCAAGGTGTGCACCAGGCTTTAGTCTGGTGAAAATGGCTGTTTTTATATTGGCAGCAAATTTCACAGGTCTCAAAATTGTGTAAGTTTGATTCATGAGAGAGAGAGAGAAGTTGATTAAAAAACTGATTACGTGCATTTATAGTTAATTTAATTTGAACAAAGAAAATGCCTAGAGCGAGGCTTTGAACCTGCGACCTCCGGATTACCGTTCCGGTGCTCTGCCAACTGAGCTATCCAACCCTATGTTGGCACTCCCCATTTAGTCATCATACACCCGATATGCCATCTAGCCAGGGAACACGTCCAAAGTCTTGATGCTAGCAACGTTAGCAATGTGGCAAACCCCAGGGAAATAGCTAACGAGGATCACTTAGAGAGGATAGTGCTTTTATTACCAATTTTTAACAAACCACACAGGGAAACTGACTACATGTAGGTGCATTATAATTAATTTAAGGTTGAACAAAGAAATTGACTGGAGCCGGTTTGAACCTGCAACCTCCGGACTGCCGTTCTAGTGCTCTACCAACTGAGCTATCCAACCCTACATGTTGGCAGCTCCCCATTTAGTCAATATCTTTAATGTATAGATCCAGATATGGTTCAAGAAATTGATCAAGACAACCCTTGCCATGCTTATTGTTAACCTTTCCTAAGTATTGTAAACAAACGTTCAAGTCGTGTATCTGAAGAATGTAAAACTTGGTTAGACACTGAATGATGAATGACTGATGCGTGGTCAATTGTTTTTTTGAATGCGTAATACCAGTATAGTGCTTGTGTGTTGCAGAGAGATGCAGTTTTCCTGTGTCGGCATGCTGCCACTCACTTATCGTAGTGTCGTGCAGTGCCTAATGCTGCAGGCTGTGCTGAAGTTACTTGACAAGACCACAACCAGTCTCCAGCAGCTGTCTGGCCTGTTGGGACTCTTCAACATTTGTCTGTGTAGGGGCAGTCCTCTGTGGAAACAGGTACAAATAACAAAACGTGGAATAGGATTAGATCTAGAATAGAGAGAGGAGGCTATGGACTCCGTGCACAAGCAAGAGAGGGCGCTTTTTGACGATGTTATGAGAGCCCCGTGGATGGGACACACTGTGTGCGCACGCACGTGTGTATTTGCCTGCAATGGGGGACCCCTTATTGTCCCCCTTTTGTTTGTACTTTAAACTTTATAGGAAGACCTCCCATATGTTTTGTACATGATCATAAATTGGGGACTTCTTGGGAATTGGGGACCCTATTGTCCTCTATGGTTCAACGTCCCCTATTGAATGCAGACACAGACTCATGCTGGTTTGTGCGCGGAAGATGCATGACTTTATTCCTGTATGTTATTCTGAATGTGCACAAAGCCATATAGCGTCTTGGCGTGAGCGTCAGGCATTGTCGGCAGTGCATTCGAATATCTCTCTCATGTCTCCCCCTACTCTCCCTTCCGTACCGTTGAGGGCGTGCTTGTGCATTGAGCCCATAAGAGACCTCTTTCCTCCATTGTACATGTACATGTATTAATATTTGTTGTTTTGATTCTCAAGTGTCCATAAAAGACGGTATCCATACATTCACTTGCAAAGGGCTCTGTACGCAAACAAGAGAAGGTGCTTTTTGACCAATTTTGAAATCACCGTGGACGGGACACACTGCGTGCGCATACACGTCTTGGTCTCTCCCAACTATCTCTCTCAACGTATAAGGGTACTTGTGCACAGAGCCATTATTGGAGCCTCAAGTTAGTCTGAACTGTGGCTATTGTTTCATCCTTTTTCATGATTTTGTTAGTGAACCTGGGGTTCAGGAGGAATACGTGTAGTACATGTACGGTTTTTAATTTACGAGTTGGAAAATGAAACTGTAATTGGTTGACTGATGGGATCTGTGATTACATTTCATTGGGTTTTTTTTTCTTTTCCAGTCACTATTTTCAAACATTCTCTCAGAGCGTTAGTAACTGTGTCAAACTTGAAGAAAAAAATTGTTTTCACACACAAATTGAACTTTAACTAGGAAAACATAACATAAGCCATTTGTTTTTATTGGGAGGGTTAAAGGTATTGAAATTTAACATTCACAATTCCATATCTAGCAAAAAAAGAGGTTTTTGTACATGTGTCAAAGCGTGCAAAAGCTTATTAAATGTTATCACCCTTTTAACTTTTGAGGTATGTGAGTGGTTTACAGCGAGCCAGTACACCCAGATATTTGGTTCAAGTGGTGACATGGTGGCTGTTGTACGCTCTGAGGTCGCTACCTTACTGACCTTTGACCTTGGTCTATTGTCAAATGCTTCCATGGATCTAGCGGACAGTGGAGAGTCTTCCAGAGTAGCTTGTCTGGTGCTGCTTGCAGTAGATACTCAGCACACAAACGTAGAAAGGTGAGTCCATATTTTGGCCGTTTCTGGTTGTCTAGTGACGGCAAGTCGAATTTGCTCATACAATCCCTGGACCTTAGGACTTTTCTCAATCTCTTCTACATGTCAGCTTAAAGTTTGAGAAATTGCCTCTGGTTGGTAAGCTGGGTCTGCATTTAGGGTATTTGTGGATGTGGCTTTGGGCTTAGCCATTGATATGTTTTGAAAATTGAAGCCACCTCAGACAATTTTGCCCAATAAGCTATTTGCGAGTCACCTATACCCTACGGGATTTAAATTTGAAATTATCTGGTACATTGACTTGTTCAGAATGTTTGGCACATTTTAACTTTGAATTCTCCAGACCAAAGACATTGTTACTAATCACATGATTCGGGGCAAGTTCTTGCATAGGTAGGTAAGAGACGCTCAACATCAATATATTGTTCACAATGGGTGAGGATGGCACAAAGACACCAGACCATTCCGGAGCTGGGGGTTGCTAGCATAAGGTTGCCTGAATTACGTGATATAGTAACAGTCTCTTTGGTCAGGAGAATGCAATGATAAAACATGCAAAGCATTGGATTACATGTAAGTCAGTGTTCCAGATTTTATTCAAATTTAACTCGCAAATGGCTTATTCTGACACAGCCATACTGTGTGGAGTCCTGCCCACACCCTTCCCCCCTCCAGCACACAAATACCTCCATGCACAAATACAATAGCGAAATTAAAATAAAATTGTGAAAGAACCTAAACATGTAACTCCACTGCTGCTGTAAGGTTCATTTTCAGGTTGGTTCCTAGTTAGCTCCAACCCAGCACTATGGGCCTTATGCACGAGTCGGCCATATTGAATTGAAAGTGAGGTAAAATCTTAATTTTTTTTTAACTTGCGAAGAGAAACGAAAGCAAGTTAATTACTAATTAATTCAAGTCTGCTTCAATAAATAATTTACAATTTGAAAATAAACATTCCGTAATGTTTTAAGCCAGATCTAAAAAAAATGACAGTAAAATAGTCTGGCGCCATCCTATTCAACAGTTAACAATAATGAAATACATTCAGGGAACTCAACAAAAATGGCCAACTCATGAATAAGGCCCATAAGATCTTAAATAATGAAAGGTTTGCGCAAACACCATGTGCGAATAATTTCTCAACTAATAGAATGGTTCTGAAAAGAACCAGAGGTATAAACTCGACGTTCCGGTCAGTATGCTCTGACCGTCTTCAGGAGAAATTATCGCACATGGTGTTTCCGCAAACCTTTCATTATTTGGTATCTTCACCATGCAAAGCCTCAAATCTTCCATAAGATCTTGTTCACATTCAGATGAAATTTGTTTGACTTATTCACATGAAACATTGCATTGAAAGCCTTGCTGTATTCCTGCTTGGAGTCTGCGTCAGTGCTTCTGCATCATTTCCAATACAAAGTCAGCATGGTTTGTAGGATTCAGAGCTTTTGTGAATTTGCAGCTTGAATTCTTGTAACGTCACAAGGTCGTGTTCACGTTCCCTTCTGCATTGATTATGAACTGGCCTTCACTGAAAGATGAGCTTTTATGGTAACTTCCACTGAGTTTCTGTATCAATAACATTTGTGTTGCAAACAGAATATTAAATGTACTTAAAAAAAAGACTGAGCAATTATCCATTTAGATTAATTTTGTTTAATCGTGTTTTGCTTCTAAGGCTTTACCGTGTATCCGTATCACTACAGCAAATCATTGTTGTAGTTGTTGATACAGAAAACAAATTAAATATGGAATGAACAATGTGTAAAGGATCTGTAACGTATAAACAACTACTAGCGGTTGTCAAAAAACACCTACATTTGTTTATGTCTAGTTTTTATGTCCAGAGGCCTAGATAAGACAACAGTAGATCAGTAATTATTTTGCTACAATTTAATAATGATAAGAATAAGTAAGGCATTTATATGGCGCTTTATGTAAAAAAAAAAAAAACTCAAAGCGCCTCACAATAAAACTATAAAACCTATACAAATGTAGGCAATGAAAATACTAAAATAAAAATATAAAAGTTACTTAACCCTAACCGCCCTGAATCTTCCAAAATCCTTTTTGCAAATTGGAGGAATTTGCAGGATTGAGGTTACATGGCAAAAGTGGGTTGCTGATTTCGGAGTACGCACTGTGTCAAGGTCTTGGGCCAGACCTTGTGTTGTTTATGCTCAGCCGTGCATAAATTTAGTCCTTGATTATACTTGACATCCTCCGCACTGCTCCAGGATGTCACTGCCTCTGCCTCAGCCTATTGACAGTCGTAGCCGGAGGATTTTGCAGGATTCAGGCAGTGGTCACCCCTCCATGGACCATATTCAAGAAATAGCGGAGGAATTTGCAGGATTGAGGCTATATACTATTTTTCCATGAGGCCAATTGGAGGATTTTGCAGGATTGAGGCTACATCCTAGCAAAAAGGCCTAGGGAGTTAGGGTTAAAGTACTATAGTGACAAGTACTAAAACATGGAAGCAAATGAAACTAAAATGCAAGTTAATATGCCAGAAGAAAACAATATAAAACCTAAAACTTTAAAAAGCCAAATCAAATGCATTCAAAATATCAATTATTTATAAATACCACATGCACTTTAAGAGTGCTAAAAGTAGAAAACGTCCAATGCAACACAGGGGGAAAATGGCTACAGTAGCAAAAAGGTACCATGCAACACATAACACCAAACCAAAAAAGTAAAATCAATAAAAATTAACCACAAAATGTATATGAAAATTGAAAAAAATGTCTGATATTGCATTATCTTGCTCCCCTTCTCTTGTAACCATGGTAACTGTGAAACGGCATGAATTGCTGTCATGTCTGGGTTTGCGTTTTTGTTCTTTATGTCAATTGGATTCTGCTTTGAGGCCAAATGGCACTTGTGTTTTTGTTAGTCCAAACCTAGAATTGCCGAGCTTAAAGTACACACAAGGGATACATTCGTGCACAGTGATGTCCGCTCTTAACTTCAAGTTCTGATAACATACTCTTTCTGATTTCCTGACATCACAAACAGCACATCCGTGCTGACAATCCACATGTACATGTCGCTGTCCTCAAAGGTAATCCACCTCCGAGACCCAACAATAAGATGCTTCACATGTGCCATCATCGTACTGAGTGCATTCGTCTTCAACCTCTTACAGCTTTTGTGGATCATTCTCGGTGATATTGTTACGGACCCCTTTGTAACCTTTTTCGTGGTAGACCTGCCTGTTCTTACAAACAGATGACTGAACGTGGTCATCTATTTCTTCAGGAACAAGGACATTGTGCGGGCAAGCAACCAGAAATCTCCTGAGGACTTACATGTACATGTAGTTGATATTTTTACAGCAGTAGTTATAATATATGTACAGTAGTTGCAACACAAGTTGAACCAAAAAATTCTAATTATTTTTTTTTCTTTGTAAATCATTTCATTTTCCTTTGATCCTTTCAGTTTTCTCAAAGCGCAGCATAAACTAGATTTTTTATTGCCTCCTTACAATGTAGGAAATACCGTACTATTTGAGCTGTTTCAAATTTACACAGCACTACATGTACATGTACATCTCCTTAATATCTTGAGTGAGGCAATGTATTCTTTTTTAATGATTGTAGACCAAATAATATTAGATGGTGTGGAACTTTGATTGATGTGCTGTAAATGCAATGCAATAGTACACAAACCAATAGCTGCGTTTCTGTGAGAATGAGCAAAAGTTATTTTAAATCTCCACGTACGCACTTGTGTGTAACTGTAATTTGTGGGAAATGAAATGAAGTACACATTTACTGATTATCCATCTGGGCCTGTAATTCATTTATTTTTAAATATACACAGAAATACAAGCTGTGTATACATGTGAATTTAATCTGTTGAGCATTTGTAGGTTTTGTACCACTATTGATGCACCAAGCGTGCGTCATTACATTTGGTGGGTTAAGTAATTAGGCCCTATTTCATGGTTTCCTTCCTATATGTAAAATGAACATTTGGTACACCCATAAAATAGGTATTCATTGTATACATGTACATGTATGTTTGTTCATTGTCTGATTTCAAGAAGATTGCAGTGTGCTTTGCCTCTTCCTTGGTCTTGTTTTTCTAAGGTATATTTGCTCATAAAGGCAGCGAGTTGGCATGCAACAGTTCATATACCGCGACAGTGAAAGAGATTGTTTATGTTCTTCTGGGCCATTAGGCCGCGTTGGTTAAAATGTAAATACTATATTGCCAAATTGTATGCCAATGAGTTTGGAAACAGTTGGCGTCAGGCAGAGTGGTGGTTTTCTCAGATCTGGTGCAGGTTAATTGCCATGCATGGGCAAGGAAGACATGTTATTGCATTTTGATCAATCAACATTAAAAAGGGATCTGTGTTAACCAATCAGAGGCGGACACAAGACATCTGCGTGTAAAAATATTTCTGGATGACGCATCCTCTTGCCACCAAGCCACACCTACATGTAAATGATATTTTAGCAGCTTCTTGTTAATTAGTACAGGAGATAGGCAGGAAACTGATAAGTCCCAAATTTGACACCTCTTTTGATATCGCGCCCATTCCACAATGAATTCTACTTCAGATTTTATTGATTGGGGAGACTACGATTTTTCAACGAGGATTCCGATTTTCAAGTGTAGCATTCTTTGCGTAACAACGATTCTCCTTTTGACACTGAACCCACTTTGTCTTCTCGTACTGAGACGTGTTGACAGCATCCAGGACACCACCAAAGTCTTTCTGAGAGCTCTGACAGCTGCCGATCTTGGAGTTGGGATTTTCTTCGCCCTGCCAATGACATTTGCTGCATTTTACCAGGACTGGCCTTTTGGTGATGCTTTGTGTGGATTGCAAGCCTTTCTCTTACCCATCAGCTTCAATTTCTCTCCTCTGTCTCTGCTCATGTTGACAGTAGATCGTTACATTTCAGTGGTTCATGCACTCCGCTACCCTTCACTTGTAACTGTGAAACGGGCACGAATTGCTGTCATGTCTGTTTTTGCAGCTCTTTTGTTGATATCCATTGGATTCGGCTTTGTAGGTGAATGGTACTTTAGTTACTCTTCAACATTGCTTTCTTGTGCTTCTTTAAGGCGAACTTTTTTTTACTTGGAGTTCATGCAAGTGATATATTATTGCACAATATTTTCTGCTCTGCTCACAATTCTGATAACGTACATCAGACTCTTCCTGATTGCCCGACATCACCAACAGCGCATCCATGCTGACAATCCAGCTGCCCTTGAAGGTAATCCACCTCATCAGAGACCCAACAATAAGATGCTGTACACATTGCTCATCGTTGCACTGAGCGCATTCGTCTCTGTCCTCTTGCCGGTTTTGTGGTTCATTCTAGGTCACTTAGACCACACTGGGACGTTTTTCATGCTTGTGCTGCCCATTCTTACAAACAGTTGGCTGAACGTAGTCATCTATTTCTTCAGGAACAAGGACATCCGCCAAGCAACCAGAAATCTGCTGAGGACTTACTTCACATCTTTGCAGCAGCATTTTCCATGCAGCTCATAAATTGAACGAAGATATCAGATGAGCACAATTCGGTATATTTCAATCAATTTAGCATTCCTATGGTTGACTTTGCAAACCATTCATCCCTCATCTTGCTTTGCATCACCTATGGACTCAACAATTAACATTTGAACTAAGAGAGCTAGGTGACAGATACCTGAGCTTCATTGCTGCAGTATATTCGCATTAGCAGGGGCATTCCTGACACTGTGGGTTGTGTGCATTCAAACAAACATTTGTCATCCAAACTCCGAGTGGAAATTGTCCCAAACATTGGAGCTGTCATGAGTTGGTCTCATAGTGCCATGTACTGGTATACTGTTCCCACACAGAGGCCAAAGTTCACGGATGAAGACTTTGGACTGATTTGACGGCATCCGCTTAGTGCACTTTGCAAGCGTTTCTTGTTTAATCCATGATCTCTCTGTTGAGAAGGAAGAACAAGATAAAAAAAAAATCCTTTTCAAAACAAATTCTTGTTAATGTTCTGAAAGATTTATTTCGAACATATGTTTGGACAACTAGTTGTAACTGTTTTTAATATTTTTTTTTTTTAATATAAAATGTGTGCTTGGCCAGTTTTAAACAAGTACTGGTACGTTTAATTCGGTCAGGGACCTGCACATCCCGTTCATAAATACTGTATCGATCAAAAGGTTCAACATTTTTTTATTTCAGGTTTTGTGTAACACCCCCTTGTTTGTTTTTCTGAGACACAATGTCTGTAAAAGATAGAATATTGTCTAACCGAAGTCAATAAAGGTTGTTTATGTTCTTATTAGCCATTTCAGTCAAGTTGAGACAAAATTAAAGGTCAGGTTTCCAAATCGCAGTCATTTTGTCATTTGACATGTTTGATTGGCAGCAAATATCACTTTTTAATTGCAAAGAGGATAACACAAATTGATTGTAATAGGAAGAATATTGGCTTAAAGCAGCTAATGAAGGTTATTTTCATATCAGCCAAATAGCCAGAGTGTATAAGGCCAGGGCCAAGTTCGTGCAAGGACTATAGTTGACCAATGGTTAACTAATGTTTGCCCGAACTCTGTCTAGTCGACGGTGGTTGACTACGCTAGTCGACTTTTTGGAACCAGCCTACTGGGGTTGGTTGCTTCGCTGGTAACCAATAGCCGCGCGCATTCATAATGCTAGCAGAGAGCCAGGATCCAGAAGTTTTGCGATGACATTTTGACCAGCGTTTGACTAGAGACGTTCGCACTTTGCTATCAGTGCGCAGGCGTAAGGTACGTCACAAATCAACCACTAGTCGACTAATGGTCCTTGCCCGAACTTGGCCCAGGTTGCCAAATTGGAGGTAATTTTGTGATTGATGGCTAAATATAACTTTGTGATTGCAAAGAGGATTCTTTGTGTTCTTAAGATGACAGAAAAACTAAGGCTTAAATGATCAGGGTAGAGCTTGGCATATGCTGCAGTCTTGGTGTTATCCGATTGGAAGGATGCATGCAGGCAAGAAGTATTCTTGCATATTAGCAAGACATCAGCAGACGGGCGATTAATTTGCCACAATTAATGTGTGATGCATTATCTGGCCAGCAGGCAGCGCCCAGTTTTGCAGACCGTAGACCATCGGATGGTGATGACATGTTGTTAATCATATTTTTCAAAAAGAAATTTCATCCTATCCTGAACTAAGAGCGTATTTGAGCAGGAATTTGAAATCCTAAGTTTGCCACGATAGGTTTGGGTTAGTGTATTCTAGCCACAATGAATTCTACTCCAAATTCTACAGATCTGGGAGACTACAATTTTTCAAGAGCACCGGCATCAACAGACAGTGTAGCAGACAGCCTTAGGATTATCCAGTGTATCATTCTTGTGGTAACAACGATTCTCCTTTTGACACTAAACCCACTTTGTCTTCTTGTACTGAGACGTGTGGACAGCATCCAGGACACCACCAAAGTCTTTCTGAGAGCTCTGACAGTTGCCGATCTTGGAGTTGGGATTTTCTTTGCCCTGCCAATGACATTTGCTGCATTTTACCAGGACTGGCCTTTTGGTGATGCACTGTGTGGATTGCAGGCCTTTATTGTACCCACCATCGTCTTTTTCTCTCCTCTGTCTCTGCTCATGTTGACAGTGGATCGTTACATTTCAGTGGTTCATGCACTCCGCTACCCTTCACTTGTAACTGTGAAACGGGCGCGAATTGCTATCATGTCTGTTTGGGGGACACTTTTGCTAATAGGAATTGTATACAACTTTGTGACAGAATGGCACTTTGAGTACCTGGCCACTTTTTTTGTGTGTGTTTTTATTATACCTGAAGAAGAAACTGGGAACTTGAAGTTCTTTCAAGTGATATTTGCGTGCACAGTATCATCCGCTCTGCTCACAGTTCTGATAACGTACATCCGACTCTTTCTGATTTCGCGACATCACCAACGGCGCATCCATGCTGACAATCCAGCTGCCCTTGAAGGTAATCAACCTCTGAGACCCAACAATAAGATGCTGCACACGTTACTCATCGTTGTACTGAGTGCATTCATCTTAAACCTCTTGCCACTTTTGTGGTTCATTCTCGGTGACATTCTTGCGGACCCCTTTGGAACCTTTTACATGCTTGACCTGCCTATCCTTACTACTAGTTGGTTGAACGTGGTTATCTATTTCTTCAGGAGCAAGGACATCCGACAAGCAACCAGAAATCTGCTGAAAACTTACTCCACAGTTGTCCAACGGCATTTTTCATGCAACTCAAATTGAATGAAGAAATCAAATGAGCACAATTCTAATATATTTCAACCTCTTCTAACTTTGAGTTCCTATGGTTCACTTGGTAAACCATGCGTCCCTCATCTTGCTTTGCATCACCTACGGACTTTAAAATTAACACTTCAACTGACATGACTAAGAGAGAGATGATGGATACCTGAGCTTCATTGCTGCCATACGTTTGCGTTAGGGGCATTCCTAACGCTGTGGGTTTATGCACATTCAAATGAACATTTTTCATGCATTACATGTACCCAGTAAAAATTAAAAGCATGTAGGCCTACCATGTCCTAAACACTGGAGCTGTCATGATTTGGCCTCAGAGTGCCATCTACAATGTACATACTGTTCCGACACTTGGTCATTAGCCTGGGGGTTTGGTCGGTGTCAAATGTGGGGAATATTGGTCATTCATTGTGTCATTGTGGTTTTTGGCAAGGTACAATGTATGCACCCCTGTACATGTAGTTGGAAAATTTGTGATAGCAATGCAGTGGTGGCAGTTGTTTGGGTGCTACATGTATCACTTTTTTTTTTTTAAATAATGGCAGCCAAAACATGCCTGTTACCTCATAAAATTAATCTGGTTCAACCTATTGGTGGCCATTTCGAGAAAAAAAAATTAAAAGCGATAACACCCAAAAAACTGCCACTGCTCACACTACAAGGCTATCACACATTTTCCAATTCTAGTTGTGTATACATACATGTACATGTACCTTGCCAAAAATCACTATGAGCATTGCTCTTTTTGATCGTTCGATACCGCCGCCATACCGATGGCGCAAACTTTGGACCTAAGCTGATAGCCTACACAGAGACCACAGTTCACTGATGAAGACTTTGTAATGATTTGGCAGCATCCTCTTCTGTGCAGTTTACAAGTGTTTCTTGTTTAATCCATGATCTCTCTGTAGGGAAGGAAGAACAAGATTTATAAAAAAAACTCTTTTCAAAAACAAGCTCTTCTGAATGTTCTGAAAGATTTATTTGAACGTATACATACATGTAGGACAATTGTTAACCAGGGATTATCAAACCTTGGAAACTGTTTAATTTTTCAGTCAGGGGAATACATGTACATGTAAATGTGTGCTTGGCCAGTTTTAAACAAGCACACATGTACCTTTACTTCGGCTATAGTGGCCTGCACATACATGTACATGTATTTATTCAAATTCATGAATACCTTTTCGATCAATTAGTCAAATAAGTCAAAAATTGACAAAATTCCAACGATTTGTTCAACAATTTTACTTTGTGTTTTGTGTAATACCCCTTTGGCCATGTTTATGGTATTATGTTTCAGAGATCAGTGGAGATTGGCATGCGTGCGGCTTGTACATGTACGGTACTATACGATGTGGGGCAGAACACAGCAGTGCTTTACAGGCAGTTTGAAATCACCCATGTGACCGGTGGTTGTCCAATAGCATTAATGCAGCCAACTTTTGGGTTGCAGTGCCTTTGGTGCACAGGGATATTTATGAGAAGACCTCTTGTCTTGTGCATTTATTGTCTTACTGATATCGGATCTTTTACATCTGAAAGACAGCCTAATCAGTAGGCCTATAGAAAGAAATGCATTCATCAGGGTTTCAAACCTTTAAATTGACAATCTCATTGATACTGAGGAATTACACCTACATTCCTTTTTGTGAAAGGAGACTTGTGGAATATACAGGCCCGTCACCAGCCCTGAACATGGGGGGATGAGGGGGGGCATATACCAACTAGGGGGCCCACTACTTTAGAAAACCCCCAAAATACATACATGTAGGCCCTATACATGTACCGTATGTATGGCTTTTGCCGTGGGGGGGGGGGGGGGGGAGTGCTCCCCCCCCCCCCCCCTTGGCGACGGGCCTGGGAATATAAGGGGTCAAATAAAGTCACATCCAAATTGACTTACAAATGTAGATGCACCCTTTATGATAGGAATCGTACAACAACAATGTATGTCAATGTTTCTTTTATCAGATACATGTACCAGTACATTAGTGAGAGTGGCACTTTTTCATTCTTTGTTTTTCTGAGACACAATGCTTGTAAACAGGTAAAAGATAGAATATTGACTAACAGAAGTCACTGAAGGCTGTTTATGTTCTTATCGGCCATTTCAGTCAAGTTGGGTCAAAATTAAAGGCCAGGTTTCCAAATCGCAGTCATTTTGTCATTTGATTGGCATCAAGTATTACTTTTTAATTGCAAAGAGGATCACACATTGCTTGTAATAGGTAGAAGATTGGCTTGAAGCAGAGTGTGTTCATATCAGCCAATTAGTCAATGCCAGGTTGCCAATTATTGGCAATTTTGTGATTGATGGCTAAATATTACTTTGTGATTGCAAAGAGGCTTCTTTGTGTTCTTAAGATAACAGAGAAACTAAATGATCAGGGTAGAGCTTGGCATATGCTGCAGTCTTGGTGTTCATCCGATTGGAAGGATGCATGCAGGCAAGAAGTGATCTTGCATATTAGCCAATCAAAATTGAGAAGTATCAGTGTCATCCAATCAGAGGCCTAAGCACATGAAGCAAGACATCAGCAGATAGGTGATTAATTTGCCACAATTTATGTGTGACGCGCATTATCTGGCCAGCAGGCAGCGCCCAGTTCTGCAGACCGTAGACCGCCGGATGGTAATGACATGTTGTTGTTCATATTTTGCAAAAAGAATTTCATCCTATCCTGAACTAAGAGCGTATTTGAGCAGGAATTTGAAATCCTAAGTTTGCCACGATAGGTTTGGGTTAGTGTAGTCTAGCCACAATGAATTCTACTCCAAATTTTACGGATCTGGGAGACTACAATTTTTCAAGAACACCAGCGTCAACAGACAATGTAGCAGGCAGCCTTAGGATTGTCCAGTGTTTCATTCTTGTCATAACAACAATTCTCCTTTTGACACTGAACCCACTTTGTCTTCTCGTACTGAGACATGTGGACAGCATCCAGGATACCACCAAAGTCTTTCTGAGAGCTCTGACAGTTGCTGATCTTGGAATGGGGATTTTCTTCGCCCTGCCAATGACATTTGCTGCATTTTATGAAGCCTGGGCTTTTGGTGATG